TGAAGTGGTGTGCACTTTCGATCATAAGGTCACCATAATGCCATACTAAATTGAAGAAATCTGATCGCTTGCGCACAGGCTTTCAGCTTATTGGTGGATACCGTTAACCTCATATAGAACTGTACTATTACTGAACTCTACACTTCTCTTTTATATAAATAGCCCCTTCTTTCATAGCATAATAGATTGACAGAATAAAATATTATACAAAATACCATATTAGTAGTAATCGATTAGTATCACCGAAGTGATACTAACAATGACCAATATCTTGTCTCCCATCCATTTCAATTAGAAAGAAGTATATTGGAATTCGGAATTCCCAACCTCATATATCAAGAAAGACAAACCATGGATCAACTTAACGATTGTGCTTCAATCTTTTGTTATAATACACTCGACTTTCGTAACACACATTAGCATAGTTCCAAAGCGAAGAATGTTCACGGCGATCGAATTATATGAGACTGTAGGCCATTCTGGGCCAGGCATCGTCCAACAAGTGGGACAAGTGGTAGAAGGAATTATTCTTGATTGTTTGAAACGAGTTGAAAAAAAGGGGCATTTCTTGTATGATAAACCTTGGACCGAAGCCTTTCGACACACAAACTCCTGCACAAACATCGAAATTTGATAAATCACACCCGATGTCCTAAAGAACTTCTCTAAAGAGATGATTTTGTGGTGATTGTCGTAATGATGATGATGTCCCTTATTCCCAGCTATTTGTAGTATTGTAAAGGGCATAATCAAGTAATGTGACCGTCAAAAAACCGCAGACGGGCAAAAACGTCGCGATCTGGCGCCTCTGCCTCTTCAGGCATCATTGTATTTATGTTGTAAATACAGTATGATAGAGAAAATCACACGATTGGAATCTGAAACCCAAGTATGCATCAAATAATCGTTGCTTGATATCCTTTCTGGTAATGTTTTCCCAAGGGATGATTTCTTGATTGTGATTTCGATGGAGTTTATTATAGAAGCCGATTGAACGACATGACCGGCACTATGAGTTTAATTATTTTCGTGCCTTTTTTAACTGGTTTGACGGAAGCAAAGTGGTCACATGAAAACCAATTTGAGGTTATATTCTTTTTAAGAAGACTAAAGCTGCATATATAACCCCAAAACGTATAGATTTGTGGCCTGGATCAAGGTGATAACCTTCCTCTTGTCTCTACCATCTCCCCTTGGTCGGCATTGAAAATGTTTAAAGAATATGATCAAGTTTTCGCCTTTGCCGTCTCCGATCACGACAAGCATAAAATCACTCCGCTGCGATTCGGAATACAAGTAGTAAAAATAACACGAATGCAATCCCACAAAGTATAGCTGCTACTAAAACACTAGTGAATCGGCTTATATCCCGAACGCTTTGCCATGGAATACTATCAAGAGATTCTACAGCCAGTTCCAACTGCAAAGCATTCAAGATAATTGATACTATTCCAAGAATAAACAAAAAAGGACTATAGAAACGTCCAAAATAAGCACCATATTGGCCATAGACTTTATAAAAAGTGCTTTTCCCAAGAATAATCTTGATATAAAAATTCAATCTTGAAAGGCGCATCTCCCCAAATGCATAACGTCCCATAGCATCGCCATCATCGATTCTGCGGAGATTTGAAACAAGTCTGGAGAAGGATTCCCATGTCGTTGCTTCCGGTAAAAGCCTCCTTCCTATGGCAATATTGAAATCGGATTCATACTGTACGAGATATCGACAAGTACGAAGAAAGCCGAGTGCTGAGCGTTTAATAATCTCTCTCTTTGAGCCCAAGGGCGAAGTTGATGATATGAGATAGGTATGCCAGAAATCGAAAGATAATAAATATTTTGGTACAGGTTTGATGAAGATCTTGTCATAATACCAAATCAGATGAAGCTTAGGATTCTCCGAAATGATAATATCGTGTAATTTAACACCTTGATAATGGAGAGGTCCAATATGTGCGCTTGATTGTATAGACATCCACCATAGACAAGGGGAGATTTTCTCTAATATTGGTATACGAAGATCTTTAAATATAAAGGTTGCTAGTTCCATTGTATCTTGAAGCAAAATTTGAGGATAGTCAGGTAGTCGCTGAGCTTCATTTGGATTATGTAGTCCATTATACAATTCGTGCTCTTTCTCGAATGGGTATTTTAGCGATGTTGAACTGATACTCATATTGTTGGTTATTTTATTGTTGCATTTAAGCTCAGTGTAATATTCACAATGTAGAAGAATGTGCCAGGAGTGCTTGAGGGGGTAATAATTAAGTTGAATATACCAAATTCACATTGAAAATGGGTTTCGTATATACACCGAGTACATATATACATCGTAGCACCGTATCTGCCTCGGCATTATTGCCTGCCCAAAATGTGTCAGCTTGCATAACTAATACTCCAATCGTATCAATTGAATATAAACAACATATAGCATACAGCCTCAACATAGCCTTCTTATTTCTTGTTGGAAATCTATCCTCGAGAAATTTTTGAGGGCATAATAATCGATACTTCTCTTGAGGTATGCCAATCTTTTCGTGATTGCTCAATCAATTGTTGTTTGTCTTATATAGTTATACACCAAAAAACCCAAGGCGAAACGTAGAAGGCAAAGCTAAGATGGAAACTTTGAAGATGCCAAGGCAGATTGATCCGCAAGATTTGGGAATCCATGTACTTGTCGATTGCGAAAGCCCTCTTGTTGAGTATATACTCTTATTTGTTTCACTTTATCTTCGGATAATACTATTTTCGAATACTGACTCTTATAAAGTATAGTAACTGTTCATAGACTTAGGGCCATACCAATGACGACCTGGACCAAAGTACGGAAAGCACAAGAACATATCGATCGTAATACTGAATCTAGTATTGCATACTTTTCTATCCCAACGAATAAATCCGAGGACTGTGTTAATTGGTTAAGCGATCCAATAATGCTTCCAGCAAATATCACTAATGCCCGAATAATGGCCTTCAATTATGATAGTAACTGATATAGCGATAATGCTATCAAAGTTCGTCTTGACCATGTTGTGGATGATTTGAGACGAAAGGTTTTGCGACAACGAAAGGTAAAGAACGGTAATGTAACGTATGTGACTTATATTATAGGCTAATGATTACTAGAATTGTTCTTTACGACCATTAGTGTTTATTAGGCATTGTTTTGATGGTCTTGTGATTGAAAAGGTATTTTGGTTAGCAAACTATGAATTTACTTGTCACTAACTTCAGATGAAGGCTTTGATCAAACCTCAAATGTCGAAAATACTCGATTTTACGATAGAGGTTATGGTTGAATGCTTCATAAGGCTGTAGGTATGAACTTTAGACTTGCCTACTGAGGCTTATTGGAAGTGGCTGAATTATGGTCCATGCGTTGATACCAAGCTAACATAATACCAAGTGGGGAGCCTCAAAGCTTCATTGAACGACTCCAACTAATATCTACACAGTACATATCATATCTACACAGCTCGAACATCAGGATAATGGACGTGCACCGTATTGGCTTTACTCAGCTATCGGACAACAACAATGCTAAGATCAAGTAAGTACCCACTCAAGCTACCTTCTATTTTCTATTTCTGCAATACAATTGTGCAACATATTAACTCTTATAGTATCATTTTCATACATGGTTTAAGGGGACATCCAAGGTATACATGGGAGTCCGGCCGAAAAGTGTCTAATACAGATATAAACTCGGCTTCTGCAGCGTCGAACAAATCAAAATCTCGCAAATCTCTCAAATCTTTCGATTCTTTCAAATCTCTCTTCAGGTCTAAGTCTTATAAGCCTTCCGGGTCATCTACTACCAGCCAAAGTTTATCTGATATACGCAAAGTATTCTGGCTTCAAGATTATCTTGTTGAGGATATACATGAAGCTAGAGTATGGACATATGGATACAATGCAGATATGATTGATGGCTTGTTCCAGGCCAACAATCAGAATAGCGTGTTACAACATAGCAGAGATCTTGTAGAGAAGATTAAGGGAGAGATCGAAAATGAGGTAGATTATACTATAATTGCTTTATAAGATGTGAAAAGGTATTAACAATGATTTCAGGATTCCTTTGTGTTTGTAGCACATAGTTTAGGTGGTATTATCGTAAAGGATGTGAGTTCGCTTTGAAATTAATGATCGGTAATAAATATTAATTTCTGAACTAAGGCGATACACAGCTCTCAACCAGTTCACAGGCGTACCAAATCAGTCATCTTTCTTGGGACACCACATCGAGGGAGCACATATGCTGGATGGGGCGAAATCGCATCAAACCTTGCTCGACTAGCCCTACGAGACTCGGATAGGGAGATTCTGGAACCATTAGAGGTGAATAGCGAGCTCCTCGATAATATTCATAAAGGGTTTAAAACGATTGTATGCGAGTATGGGATCAAGATTCATTCATTTCAAGAAGCACAGGCAACATCGGGTATAAAGAGGTTATATGGTAAAGTAAATGATCAAATAATCTTATATTTTTGCATTTATATTAACGCAATCATACAACAGATAGTTAACGATTTCTCTTCAAAACTCGATTTACCACAAACCCTTGAAACGGTTGAGAGTATCGATGCAAACCACATGGAAATGGCAAGATGTAGTAATAGAGCAGAGTCACAATATCGTGCTATTCTGGGCGTCCTCCGACAAGTTATTCACAATCTGAGTTTGAATAAGGCAAGGTCTACACCCTCTCTAACATACGAATACTAATTTCATAAAATATTAGAATATATCCCTCCGTGATGAACATTCCATCGAGAATACCACCACATTCAATTCACAACTCCGCGAACACGAAATTCGAGATCTACCCGGTATACAGAATGACCTGCAAGGCAATTTTACAAATGCGGGCGGGTTACAATTCAATGCACCAAACTTTAATACTAAAGGAGGGTCTATTAATATCAATACTCACACCTTGCAAAACCGCTGCCTAATTGACCTACGAACCACCGATCCACAATTAGACAAGAGACGTATCGAGGAGACTAAAGGAGGACTACTCGATAATGTATATAATTGGATTTTGGAGAATAGTGATTTTCAACAATGGCGCTGCAACCAAGATAATCGCCTACTTTGGATCAAAGGAGATCCTGGCAAGGGCAAGACCATGTTGCTCTGTGGTATAATAAATGAGCTGCAGAGATCGGATGAGACTGCCTTAGCCTATTTCTTTTGTCAAGGCACTGACGTACGCATTAATAGTGCTGTAGCTGTTCTACGTGGTCTTATCTATATGCTTCTAGATCGGCAGCCTGCCCTTCTCTCGCATTTACAAAAGAGATATGAGAAGGCAGGGGAACAGTTGTTCAAAGATGCTAATAACTTTATAGCACTCTCTGAGATTTTGAAGGATATCTTGCATGATAAGAATTTGAAGCCGACGATCTTGATTATTGATGCACTTGACGAATGCCAAAAAGACCTGCCACAATTACTTCGCCTAATTGTTTCGGGCTTATCCATTTCTTCTGGTGTTAAATGGCTTGTCTCTAGTCGGAACTGGCCCGAAATCGAAGAGCAGTTACAACAGGCCGAGCAGGGAACCCGGCTCAGTCTCGAGTTGAATGCTGAATCAGTATCTGCTGCTGTCAGGTGGTATATCCGAGAGAAGGTGAAATATCTTGCGAGAACAAAAAAATACACAACGGAGACAAAGGATACTATCGAATGTTATCTCCTAGAACATGCAAATGGAACTTTTCTTTGGGTGGCTTTAGTTTGTCAAAATCTTGAAAAAGCTCGATTATTCACGAATTCAAAGCTACAAGATTACCCTTCCGAACTTGATCCTTTATATAATCGTATGATGGAACAGATAGTAGATATGGAAGATATCGAGGCGGCTCGGATATGCCTTCAGATCCTGGCTATTGTAGTAATAGCATATCGGCCTCTTACGCTTGACGAACTAATGTCCCTGATGGAGATGAATAATGAGATTCCGCTAGAAGAGATGATACAACTTTGTGGTTCCTTTCTGGTTGTTCGTAATAGGAATGTATTCTTTGTTCACCAATCAGCAAAGGATTTCCTTTCTAAAGAGGCTATTAAAACAATATTTCCTGATGGAATTGGGAAAGTTCATAACAAAGCACTTCTAAATTCGATAACAGTTATGAGAAAAACTCTAAAACACAATATATACGGTTTGGGTTATCCCGGCTTTCCTATTGATAAAGTCAAACAGCCCTATCCCGATACATTAGCTTCTATACGGTATTCCTGTATTTACTGGATTAACCATTTAAGAGATGGAGATCCTGAACAAAACAGAGAACACATTCAAGATAACGGCAATATTTATGAATTCCTGAAAAATCATTTGCTACATTGGCTGGAGGTTATGAGCTTGATGGAGAAAACTTCAGAGGGCATCAACGCAATAAGTTCTTTAGAATCATATGTTTCCGTATGTTAATCCTCACTATTTATTTTTTTCTTTTGGGAATTCAGCTAATATATAATAAAGAAGATTAAAGATTCTGAACTTTATACCTTTATATATGATGCTAAACGATTCTTGCTACACAGTCGGAGTAGGTATTAAACAGGCGCCTCTTCAAATATATTGTTCAGCCCTTTTCTTTGCTCCAGAGAATAGTATTATTCGAAAAACATTTCAAAAATGTATCCCGAGTTGGATTTATAAAATGTCAAGGACACGATCAAATTGGAGTGCCGCCCTCCAAACGCTCGAGGGTCATTCGGATTCGGTTAGGTCAGTTGCCTTCTCACCAGATGGTACAAAAGTAGCTTCGGGCTCTTACGATCAAACAATCCGGCTTTGGGATGCAGCGACGGGCGAATCGCTTCAAACGCTCGAGGGTCATTTGGGTTCGGTTACTTCAGTTGCCTTCTCACCAGATGGTACAAAAGTAGCTTCGGGCTCTCACGATAAAACAATCCGGCTTTGGGATGCAGCGACGGGCGAATCGCTTCAAACGCTCGAGGGTCATTCGGATTGGGTTTTCTCAGTTGCCTTCTCACCGGATGGTACAAAAGTAGCTTCGGGCTCTCTCGATAAAACAATCCGGCTTTGGGATGCGATCACGGGCGAATCGCTTCAAACGCTCGAGGGTCATTCGAATAGGGTTAGCTCAGTTGCCTTCTCACCAGATGGTACAAAAGTAGCTTCGGGCTCTCTCGATAAAACAATCCGGCTTTGGGATGCGATCACGGGCGAATCGCTTCAAACGCTCGAGGGTCATTCGAATAGGGTTAGCTCAGTTGCCTTCTCACCAGATGGTACAAAAGTAGCTTCGGGCTCTGACGATAAAACAATCCGGCTTTGGGATGCGATCACGGGCGAATCGCTTCAAACGCTCGAGGGTCATTCGGGTTGGGTTAACTCAGTTGCCTTCTCACCAGATGGTACAAAAGTAGCTTCGGGCTCTGAAGATAAAACAATCCGGCTTTGGGATGCGATCACGGGCGAATCGCTTCAAACGCTCGAGGGTCATTCGGGTTGGGAGGCATCCTCAGCTTTTGAACGGTACTTTGAGTCAAACCATTGGATAGCTGAAAGATCAGATGAAGAAGTGCGAAATATTTTTTGGCTACCTCCAGACTATCGGCCAACTAGTACATATTTTTGTAACGGAGTTATAGTCATGGCATTTTCCACCGGTGGCATTTTCTTTCTGAAATTTGAGTGAAAATTTCATATTATCTAAGTAAAAATCAGTTTCAATATATCTATTAATCACTAACTTATTTATGTCTTGAATATAATATCCTTTCTTTTTTTTTTCTCTCTTTAACAGAGAGGTTGGGGGAAGTCTATGATTATATAGACTTTCTATTTGCCACCTTGATCCCAGTATGTTCTAGTGTTGACCTCCTGGGATCTTGGCAGCATATGCATATATATTGCATGATGCATATAAGGAGCAAACAAAACTCAACTTTTAATTCATTCTTTCCTTTTTGGTATACTGTTTGTTTGCTTTCAATATTTTGATTTCAAAGCACTTTAATTCCGAAGGTTGAATACCTAACCTTATTCCTTCATTTTTTGAATATATACTCGCAGCTTAACTGCTTAGCTAGAGAATCAATCAATTCAATCTGATGCTCTTTCTGGTCTCAAGAAACCCAACACAATCTCTTCATGCCTATTTGCGGCTGGATAGAAGATAGGTGATCGTCCGGAAACACTAGTGGCATTGACATTGACGGATTTAGTCTCAAGAAGTAATCGGACTACCTCGATATGACCATTCGTGGCAGCGATCCAGAGAGGTGTCACCTTTCTAGGGTTTGAAAGATCCGACTCGACCCCTCTTTTTAACAATCTTTGAATTTTATTTTTTTGCCTAAGTTTGGCTGCGTTGTAGAATTGAGCAATCGTGAACCACTTTTCCTGACATGGTAGCATCTTGAGATGTGTGTCGATGATATGTAGAACTTGTTCTTGCCCACTTGTAGCGGCGGCTTTGATCACCTCTCCGTAATTACTACCTCTGCCCCTCGTTTCTCAAGCAAGAGCATCATAATCTCCCTTCCACTATTCCAATTCCCCGCCGCTGCCTTCACCACCTCTTCCGTGATTACCACATCTGCCCCTCGTTTCTCAAGCAAGAGCATCATTACCTCCTTTCCACTACCTTTATTCTCCGCCGCTGCCTTCACCACTTCTTCTGTAAACAAAACATTTTCCATTTTTTGGTCCAACAAAAGTTTCATCATTTTCTGAGTAAATGACCTTCCAACCTGTATTACATCCTCTTCACTTATTTGAATATCGTTTTCGATTCAATTCGCTAGTCCTATCATAATATCTCTCATTCCTACCCCCGAGTGAAGTTCTTCCATATATATTAACGATAAATTTGCCATACTGCTCAACGTATCTTGATGGTAGTTCCCCAGCAGATCTTTTCTTATTTGTATTACTTGTAAAAAGAGATTCTCTGCTTCCCTCCATTGCTCTTGATTCTTGTATATCCATGTAAGGCTTTCTTTTAATGCTAGGATATATAGATTCCCTCTTCCCAACACTCCCTCATAGTTCTTTATCCCTTTTTGGATTATATTTTCAGCGTTTTTGTAGTTTTTTGTATCTCCCAAAGTTAGTGCTATATTAATTGATCTAACAGCTTTGTTTGTATCCGTCTTTAGATATTCTGGTACCAAAGTATTTATCTCCATTGTATCTTCATATCCTACTTGACCTTGCAAGTTCTCCAAGCTCTTTCCCCAGTTCCAGATAAGTAGAAAGTCACGTGGGAATTTCTGCATCGAAGGCAAGGGTTGTAGAGACTCAACATATCCGCTTTCTCTTGGTACGTGTTGTTGTAAAGTAATTGCAATGACGATAATAGCAAAATGGTCCTTGCATGTTCTAATGATAGCTGGCTTTGAAGCCCCGTGTAGAAGGCAAACGAGGTCACCTTGTCGGATAGACTTTGCTGAAGCCTGGAGAGCCCATCGAGTGCCGTACTCTTTTTCGTACTGCAAAGATCCTGGCTGATTGTTGAAAACGATATTTATGTGCTGTCTGTCGTACCGAGCACTAGCAACATCTATATCTATTGAGGATACATGACCAAGGACATAACCCTTGCTCTCAATTACTGCTATCTCCTTGTCCTCCCAAGTCTCTACAGATACCTCTTTGAAGAGTACTGATTTAACAAGTCGCTTCAGGAGTATCGCCCATGGAACCGTATAGTCAGGCGACAAGCCAGTTGGGTTGAGATTATCAGAACTCATGCTAAGCAAGGCATATACCTTATCATGGCGTTTAGTAGCCATATGGTTATGGTACATATCTATTAGCTCCCCTATAGAAAGTGCACCTGATGGACTAATTGAATGTTTCGGCCGGAAGGTTGCTCCTCTTATTAGGTAGATCACTGGACGGATCAGATTTGGCAAGTCTGAATCATCTTCATAGAAAAGCCTGCTGAAGCCTAAGGAAAAGACATACCCGTCTACCATTGCAGAACCACACATTATGAGGATTTGTCGAGCCAAGCCAACCTCCTGAAGTACCTGCATCGAATATTGTTAGTAATTTCTTTGGGTGTCGTCGATGGTAAATTAACTTGCCCAAATACGCTGGAACCATGGTCGTTTGAGCAGTTCAAGAATTGGTCTCTGATCCATTTCATTGACTATTACATTCGGAGATTCACCTTCTGCAGCAACACGTATACCTTCGAGCGCTTGATCGCTATCATCTGCCGCCTCTCCGAGATAAACGATTACGCGATTTGCTTGACCAAAAATCTTCGCCATTAACTGAATCTGGCGACTCTTTTCTGTGTTATCTTCTTGATTCATACAAATAGAATCCACCCATATGATTCTTTCAAAAGTGCGATCTCGAAGATGCAACAATGCTGTATGAAGGTTCGCTGTGATTGGTAGAGAATGCTCGTTTATAAAGACAAACTTGGGCTTATCCGAGCTACCCCATACATAGGATAATGCTTCGTATAGATGAATCCCCTTATCCAATTCTTGAAGAGGATAGTTATAAAGTCGGCATTGTATTGGGGCGGTCTGGTCTTTGTTTGGCATTAGGCCGAGCAAGCGAATACTGTCAGAATCCAGTGAGTGTAGGGAATAACTGTACTGAGACATGATACAGGATGCAGGATACAATACCTAAGAGCTAAGAGATTTTGGGATGATTGAGCTCAGTGTTGTTATCTAGTCGATGTTTGCTAAGTATCAATAGGCAGGCATTCCGGGATGCGATGATTCAACACCTGTACGTGGTGCATCCTACGAACCTGTAATTTTTCTTACAGAGCCAAGATTGAATCAGGCTGAAGCTGGGCAAAGGTCGTGCTTTAAAAAGGAGCGGTACTGGGAGTGAAGGTATCGTGAATTTGGCCCGGAACAGAGGACTATCAGTCGAACGGAGATGAAAACTACCCGACAATCAACGAAACAACGACGGATTTCGAAGCGGAACCACCTTTACGAATCTGCAGTGGGATACAGAGCCTGAGAATTGCTTTAAGGAGCATTTCAAAGCGGACTGCCTTTACGAATCTGTGTGGGAGCAGAGCCTGAGAAGGAAAGCGTTGTGCCGGTGATTGACAGGGCACCTCTGGGGCGCTAGCGTGCAGAATTTTCACGACCCAACAATGCGTAAAATCTGCGGGTATACCGGATTGGAAGTTTACAGGTGGTTAAGGGGAGTAATCGAGAATGTATAAAGGTTGTGATAGAGTCTTATTGAGGCCAACGGAGGTATGGGTGGATTAGGGATGGAGGGACGCTTTTGGCACTTTGCTCTACGAATGTACAAGAGCGGTATCATGGCGGCAGAGGAACTCTCGAACGAGGGGGATGCTTTTAGCAAGTTTCACTCTTCTGCGAAGCATTCGGCAGACATCACGGCAGCGGATGAGCTCTGGCAGAAGCCACCTTATGAGACACATATCCGATACATTCTCAACCCTCCGCATTATCGATTACAAACTATACATTGGGGAAATAGACTTTGCAGGCTGTGCTTTGGTTAGTGAGCTAGAAACGTTGTATTTTTAGTTGCCTGGCTAGGGGTTAAGACACAGCAAAGCTTGCAAGATACAATCGGCCTTGTTGTGCAAGAGAGATCTGGCAAGGTAACGCGAAACGGTGCACAAGCCGCGGGGCGTAGCGTATAATGGCAGCGACAATGACACTGTCTATACGGCTCGAGAGGATGGATGCGCATATCGGTCTACAATAGGATACAAGGCAGCTGGCAATGGAGATATCGGGTAGGCTTAGGGAGCAAACAGGATAATAGGTGTAGAAAGGTTGTTTTTGCCTGGGGGCAACCTTCTCAAAGGATATTGAGACTGACATCTTGTATCTGGGAAAGCATGGTAAGAATCGGTTACTCTTACTTATATTTGTAGTCTCACTGGATATATTATAAAAGACTCATAGATTTGCAAATATAATATTATCACTGCTTGATTCCCTTCTCGACAAGAGCCAATACATACAAGTATTGGATAAAGCTGCAAAAGAATTCACCCGAATAATCACTTATTCGGCTGAAACCAGTATACCGAGAATCAAGTCCACAAAAAGAGCTAAACCCTGGTGGTCCCTAGAGCTGAAAGCCCTTCGAAAACGACTCTCTAATGCATTTGAGAACGCCAAACTTTACCCGGAAGACAATATGTTCAAGAAAATCTATCAGTCAGCCAGGAATCATTACTTCCAAGCTATTAAAACAGCAAAGAAAAACCATTGGAATGAGTTCCTTGAAAAAGAGGATACCCAATCCATATTCAAGGCAATGTCATACACAAAAGATATACAAACCGAACGAATCCCGAATATTCGATCCAATCCCTCTAAACTAGAAAATTCTTTCGAGGGAAAATGCTCTGCATTTAGATCGACCCTATTTCCTCCTCCTCCATGCACCCCACCGCCCAATTGGGAAAGCTATAAACAATCTAAGAAATGGGAATGGCCTGATCTTACAAAGAGCGAACTCCTAAACGCGTGCTCTGCAAAAATCAAAGGAAAGACCCCTGGCCCCGATGGGATCACTCAAGATATCATTATTCAAGCGTACAAAGCAATACCAAAAGCATTTTTCACCCTCTTCAGTCATCTTATCAACCTTGGTCACCATCCTTCTTGCTGGAAACAAGCCACTGGAGCGATACTCAAGAAACCTTCAAAACCAGACTACTCGGCCCCAAAAGCTTATAGAGTTATCGCCCTACTAAATTGCCTTGGCAAAATAAGTGAAAGAATTCTGGCTCAAAGGCTTAGCTACTTAGCGGAGACTACGCAATTACTTCATTACTCTCAAATGGGTGGAAGACAAAAGAAATCAGCCATCGATACAGCAATCTTACTCACTACCGAAATCGAAAGGAATTCAAGATCCAAGAAGAAAACCTCAACTCTCTTCCTGGATGTTAAAGGCGCCTTTGATCATGTATCTATGAACAAATTATTAGATATCTGCAAGAACCTAAACCTCCCAACCAGCCTAATCGCCTGGATCTCATCTTTTTTGAAGGAAAGGTTACTCAAGCTCTCATTCGATGGCCAAATTGAAACCTTCAAACCGATCAATACCGGGATCCCCCAAGGCAGCCCTATTTCGCCAATCCTCTTCTTAATTTATATTCGAGATCTATTCTCAGCAAATTCAATCAAATATCTCTCATATATAGATGATATAGCTTTAACAACATTTTCAACATCCTGGAAAAAGAACATCATCTCCCTCGAAAGAGCAACTAAACAGATATATGCTCTGGGCAAAGAAAATGCTATTCAATTTGATCTAGCGAAGACGGAACTAATACACTTCTCTACATCCAAAGATACGAAGACAGCCTCAATCAAGCTTCCGAACGAGGAGATAATTCAACCCTCAACATTAGTCAGATGGCTAGGCATATGGTTCGACCCTGGCCTCAGTTTCAAACAACATGTCACAATCCGAGCTACCCAGGCTAAAACCTCATTCTACCGAATGGCTAGACTTGCTAATTCTGAAAAAGGCCTTAATCCCAAGGCAATGAGACAGCTCTATATGGCATGCGTCACCAGTATAGCTGACTACGGTTCAATTTTATGGTGGAAAGAGCAAAACCAATTCAAGAAAACCCTTCAATCCTTGCAAAACCTCGCCCTTCGAAAAATCCTAGGAGTATTCAAAACCTCACCAATAAAACCAATGGAAATAGAAGCTGCATTGTGCCCTCCAGAAGTACGGCTAAATGCTGGAATCAAACAATACACCTTCAGATTATTGAAAATCTCGCCCTCTCATCCTATCAATTTAATAGCTACAAAACTGGTTACAGAAAAGGAGAATCAAGATGTAGTTGCAACCCCTCAAAGAAAGCAATTAAAACCTACTCAACTCGAAAAGATTAAAAATTCAATTCAGAAAGACTTCGATCCTCTCACTTTAGAAGGAATCCATCATTTCTACTTTCCTCCTTGGAAGAAAGAAGTTCCATATAAAGTCAATATCAGCAAATTAGGAAAAGAAGAAGCTGCGATGATTCACAATCTGGCTTTCAAATATAGGTGCAAAAATACCATTACAATATACACCGATGCCTCATCCACTTTAGAGGGAATAGGGATTGGAATCGGGATAGCGGTTATCTTACCAAATAACCGAATTTCTCATCAAGAGACTATCAATATAGGTGTGAATCAGCTTGTCTATAATGGGGAGCTTCTAGGAGTTGCTAAAGCGATCGAATACGCAAATTCAATAGCCCAACCAGGAAACAAGTTCAAGATATACTCAGATAATCAAGCAGGATTATTCCGGTTGAAAACCCCCTCCGATTTACCTGGTCAATCATGTCAAATCAAAGCTATAAAAGCTGCGGAAGCTATTCAAAATAAAGGAGCCGAAATCTCTCTCAATTGGGTCCCTGGACATACATCTGTACAAGGAAATGAGCTAGCTGATTCTCTTGCAAAAGAGGCGACCAAAATACCATCCTCATCTCACGAAACCAGTTATGCCTCCATTGGAATGGATATAAAAAGAATGAAATCAGAGAACTGGATAACCATCCTTAACACTAACAACTTTCATCAACCATCGTCAACATATTCAAGAAACTACCCCTGGAAGATCAGCTCAAAAATCAGAATTCCAGGAAACATCAAAAGAAGCACAATCTGTGCTCTGTTCCAACTCAAAATTGGACACGGATACTTCAAATCTTATTTGAAACGATTCGGTATCTCCTCTAATGACAATTGTAGATGTGGGGGAAAGGAATCTCCTGATCATCTTCTGCTCAGTTGTCCTTTATATAAAATGGCAAGGAAAACCCTCAATAAGGATAACCCCACAGTCCGACCTACCATAAAATATCTGCTTCATACTAAAGCAGCAATCATCAAGACCCTCGAATTTATCGAGGCGACGAGAATAGCCACCAGATCATGGCATCTCAATAGAATGCATGAAGAAGAGGAAGAAGGCGGAGAAGAAGGGGGTGGACCGGAAGATTGTGATTGAATTGATCAATTTGGTCAATTTGGTCAATTTGGTCGACAGAAATGTATCCAAGACTTACGTCTTTCCGATCCGCATAACAACAAAAAGCGTATTGAAGAAATGAAAGGCGACACCTCAAACTATCAGAATAAGATCCTCAATATGAATAACTTCAACAATCCATCAATACTCAAGGATACAGCTATGATGGAGGCTTCTCCCGAAGCCTCCATCATACCAAACACGTATCCTACTGTTATTCTAGGTACCCCAACACCCTCAAGCCCTCCCCCGCCTTCTGAAAACCCTCAATTCGAAATCTCTAGCCCTAGTCTACCAACCAATCAGCCAACCAGTTCTGGAAGAAGAGTTGAAGACTTCAATCTACTTAGTGACCCCTTTATTACTCAAGATACAACCAATACTACCTATATATTCAATCAGAATAAGAAACGTGGCCCTACAATGCCCCTTAGCAATCAGAATAAACAACCCAGAATAAAAAACAATCCAACTACACCTAAGGAAGCTATCTTAAAAGCAAGAGATCTTATAGTATTAGCGTCAACTCTTTCTCAATCATGTGATGAGCAATCGAAGCTATTAGATCTCCTAGAGATCTTTAGAGAATATACCGAAAAAGGAAAGCTCACCACCGCCTCCAATATCATCACCTCCCAAATCACTCATCTAGAATCCGCTACACGGAAAATCGAAACTCAAGCTAAAGCCCTAACCAAAGCTCCCTTGCCAATCAATACACCAACCACTAAATCGACATATGCAGCAATAACAAAAGAAGGAGAATGGAACCTAGTAGGCAAGGGAAAAACTATTAGATCCTCCCCAATAGATAAGAAGATCGAAATCACACAAAGACGCTTAATCCTGATCAAACCAGAGATCACGAACATTACCTCCTTTTCACCTATATCAATTCGAAACCAAATAAACGAAGCATTCCAGAAAACTGGAATTAAAGGCCCGGTTATAGCAGGAGTAACTCTATCGCTGAATAGAAATATAATAATTACTACAAATGCACCTTTCACATCACAACTTCTATTAGAAAAAAAGGCAATCTGGAGTAATCTCATCAAATTCGAAAGAATTCAAAAGGATCAAGAATGGCATAAGGTCATTATTCATAAAATCCCTATAAAAGAATTTTCTGGAACAAGAGGAATGGACCTCATTCTTGAGGAAATCAAAACCTTCAATCCAGAATTCAAGCCATAGGGAACCCCTTTTTGGCTTACACCATCATCAAAAAGAGCTCATCAACGGGAAGGAGCAATAGTGATTGCTTTTGCAACAAAATCAGAAGCAGAGCTAGCCATTCGGAAACGACTATATATCGCTGGCACTAGTACAAGAGTAGAAAAGTTCTACGAATCCAAACCAACTACACAATGCCAAAAATGCCAAAGGATTCGGACATCAGGATACACATTGCAGAAGGGATCCCTCTTGTGGACTATGTGGAGGCAAACATATCACATCAGTACATCTATGTGTAGTCTGCAATATCAGAGGAAAGTTCTGCCAACATCTCGCTGCTAAATGCTCGAACTGCCAAGGAAAGCATACAGCAAATTCAAGAACCTGCGAAATCTATCAAGCAATCCAACAAAAAGCAAATAACACCAACTTATGAGTTACACTAATATTCGAATTCTTCAAATAAATCTTAATAAGAGCTCACAAGCTACAGAGAACGTTCTACAGCTTGCAATAGAACTCAATATCGATCTTATTATGATTCAAGAACCTTGGATCATCAAAAATGGAATCGATTACTCAAATTCAAGATCTATTATACACTCTAATTTCATACAAACAAAACCAAGATTCGATTCTAACTTTCGACCTCGTACCTTCCCATGGACTTCAAAACTCTTCAAGCTACAATCAACCTAGCTCCCGATTCCCCAATAGATCCTGATATACAAATCTTTAATTGTCAAAATGGAGATAAAACCTTTCAATTATCAATATATACAACGAGGCTGATCAAGCTAAAGAGAAAGGTTTCACAATTGAAAGATGTTTATATGATATATCTATCACACAAGAAACTATCCTCCTTGGCGACTTCAATGCCCACCACCCATGGTGGGATCCTTTTTCAAAGAAAAGCGGAAACGCTGATCAATTAGCAGAATGGTTTGAAGATCAGAATCTCATTCTTCTAAACGAGCCCGGAATCAGCACTTTCTATCGAACTAATCTCCTTAATCCAAGTGTCCTTGATCTAACACTAGCGTCAGAAGGAATCTCTCCCCAAATTCACAACTGGCAAACTCTTTCAGATACAGGATCCGACCATGCAGGAATACTATTCGAACTGAAAGGAAAAGAAGACTTAAACGCCCTCAATTCAGAATCAACAACTAGATTCAATACAAAGCTAGCCAACTGGGAAAATTTTGAATCAATACTAAAATTGGAATCCCTGTATTCCCCTATTTTTTCTATTTTAGACTCAATAACTTCTATGGAAGAGGACTCACTAAACTTCTTGAAAGAAAGAGACAATTCCCATTCAATTCTAGATCAAGCAGCAAGCGAACTTACAAGGATTATCCAAAAAGCAACAGAAAGGTGTATACCCAAAGTTGTTTCAATCAAAAGAGCTAAACCATGGTGGTCACCCGAGTTGAAAGATCTTCGAAAAGAGCTAGGAAAAGCAAAGCAATCAATCGAATCAAATCGAGAGAACCCTAATCTTAAGGAAGAATATCGAATTGCTAGAAACAAATACTTTCAAGCTATTAAAACAGCAAAAAAGGATCATTGGAATGATTTCCTAGAAAAGGAGGATACACAGACAGTTTTCAAAGCAATGACCTATACCAAAGACTTCCAGGATCAAAGGATACCAGATATTTCATCAGAAAGCTCTTTTGAAGGAAAATGCTCTGCTTTCAGATCGACTTTATTCCCTCCCCCTCCTACTACTCTAAAACCACAATGGGTAGGGTATAAACAATCCAAGAAATGGGAATGGCCCAATCTCTCTCAAATCGAATTAAGTAATGCCTGCTCAGCTAAGATACAAGGAAAGACCCCTGGTCCAGATGGGATCACTCAAGAAATCATTACAAAGGCCTACAAAGCAATCCCAGAGATCTTTTTTACTCTTTTCAGCAAACTCCTCAATCTCGGATATCACCCTAAATGCTGGAAACAAGCTACTGGAGCTATTCTAAAGAAAGCCTCAAAACCTGATTACTCACTTCCAAAAGCATATAGAGTGATTGCACTCTTAAACTGTCTGGGAAAAATTAGTGAAAGGATTCTAGCTCAACGACTAGGATATTTAGCGGAAACTACCCACCTTCTACACAAGAGTCAAATAGGAGGCCGCCAAAAGAAATCAGCAATCGATGCTGCACTTCTATTAACAACAGAAATCGAAAGAAACAAGCAAGCTAACAAGAAGACCTCAATATTATTTATGGATATAAAGGGAGCATTCGATCACGTTTCAAAAAATCGACTACTGGATATCTGCAAGAAGTTAAGACTACCGACGAATCTCATCTCCTGGATAGCTTCATTTCTTCAACAAAGACAACTAAAACTATCCTTTAATAACCAAATCGAATCTTTCAAGCCAATTTCGACCGGAATACCACAAGGCAGTCCAATTTCTCCAATTCTCTTCCTTATATACATTAGGGACCTCTTTTTATCCAATTCGATCAAATTTCTTTCCTATATTGATGATATTGCCCTAATCACCAATTCATCTACATGGAAAAAGAATATCAAATCTCTAGAGAGAGCTACAAAACAAATCTACGAACTCAGCTCAAAGAATGCTATTCAATTCGACCTAGCAAAAACAGAGCTAATGCACTTTTCATCATCCAAATTGACGAAAAACTACCCAATCAAACTACCCAATTCGGAAATAATTATACCTCAATCTCTAATCAGATGGTTGGGAATATGGTTCGACCCGAGCCTCAAATTCAATCAACATGTTAATATTCGAATCACACAAGCAAAAGGAGCCTTTCATCGAATGGCCCGATTAGCTAATATCGAAAAGGGCCTCAGTCCGAAAGCTCTTAGACAGTTATATATAGCATGTGTGACCAGTATAGCCGATTACGCATCAGTGATTTGGTGGAGAGGCCAAGCCCATTTCAAGGATATGATGCAATCACTTCAAAATCTAGCTCTTCGAAAGATATTAGGAGTATTCAAAACTGCTCCAATTCTTCCAATGGAAGTAGAAGCAGGCTTAAAACCCTCAAAAATTCGATTAGACTCGAATATTAGGCAATACGCATTCCGTTTAGCTAAACTTTCACCAAATCATCCAATCAATATCGAAAAAGCATCACTAATCCAATATCAAGCCAATTTGGATGCGATCTCTACCCCTCGAAGAAAACGATATAAACCTACTCAACTGGATAAAATCAAAGAATCGATAAACCAGGATTTCAACCCTTCCTCACTCGAAAAGATCATTCATTTTAACTTCCCCCCATGGAAAAGAGAAACCCCCTTCCGAGTTAACATTAGCAATTCGTCAAAAGAAGATGCTGCCATTCTTCATAATATTGTTTTCAAACATAGGGATAAAGATACCACCTATATTTACACTGATGCCTCCTCCACCGAAAAGGGAATAGGTATTGGAGTAGGCATAGTAGCTATACAATCAAATAATCGAATTCTATATCAAGAGTGAAGCAATATTGGTATTAATCAATTAGTATATAATGGAGAGCTTTTTGGAGTTACAAGAGCTATTGAATACGCTAGCTCAATCGCTTATACTGGTCAAAAGTTCAAAATCTACTCGGATAATCAAGCTGGTTTATACCGCTTAAAAACTCCTTCAGATCACCCAGGACAAGCCAATCAGATAAGAGCGATCAAAGCAGCAGAGGTTATCAGAGCAAAAGGAGCCGAAATCTCCTTAAATTGGGTTCCTGGTCATACCTCAGTTGAAGGAAATGAGCTAGCAGATAAGCTAGCCAAGGAAGCAACCACAATACAACCTACCTCGAACGAAACAAGCTTTGGACTACTAGGTATGACTGTCAAAGAATATGCCTCAGATCAATGGCTTGATACTCTCAAACAATACGAACTCAGATCAAACCAATCCCCATCAACTTACTCGAAGCTATTTCCATGGAAAATAGGTTCCAAAATCAAGCTACCAAGCGGAACTACTCGAAATACTGCTAGCGCATTCTTTCAACTCAAATTAGGTCACGGATATATCAAATCCTACTTACATCGTTTCAAACTCACCAATAACAAATGTATATGCAGTAATATTGAGGCACCACAACACCTCCTTATTAGCTGTCCTATATATAAAACAAAAAGAAAAGAGATCTTTAAGAAGATACCATTATCCAAAAACACTATACAATTCCTATTGCATACAAAAATAGGTATCGAATTAGCTATCAAATTTATCAATATCACTAAAATCGCTACAAGGGCATGGCATCTAGCAAGGACTCTTGAACAAGAAGTAATAGAGGAAGGAGTAGTAGTGGAAGAGGAGAGAGGAGAAGAGAATGAAGAAGAAGCAGTTGAGGAAATAAGAGAGGGGTTTGACCTCCTCACAATTTCTTGATTTTCAAAATCTTTTTATTATATGCAATGCGTATAATGAGCGGGCACTGTTCCCCAGCATTTGTTTTCACTTCCCCAATTAGATCATATCCAATATTGTAAATTAAAAAGTTACCCGTTAGGCCCTTAGGGCCTAGCCGTCCTATATAGTCTTGGACTGAAGATGGACGTTAATAAAATCAATCAATCAATCAATCAATCAATCAATCCATTGACTAAGTTTAAATATTTGTAGCTTATTATAAAATTCAAGTGATATTTTCTTTGTGAACAATAATCGACATCCCTACATCTTGCATCACCTCATATCTTGTATACTCCCCACTCATAACTACAATAACCCAAATGATGGTGATTCGTAACAATAACTTTAAAAAAAATTTATTATAAGAAAAGTTAATTTTATACATAGATAATAAGGTAAGGAAGAAAACTCTGTTAATTTCTTAACTTGAATTTTTCTGTAGTTTTGGAATACCCCTTTTAATATACGAGTTGTGATCCGTGTATTTTTTCCATCATTATTATATGAATGGAAATGAAAATAGAAATCTTACTTTTGGATTCAATGTTTATGTATTTAACCAAATGATAATTGAGTACAGGTTACTAAGTTTGTCAGAAAAGAGAGAAAGTTCGAGGCTAGAAGTATATGGAATGGAAATAAAATATACATTTCTTGCTACCTTAGATATAAATGATCATAATTCGACCCGGCTTTTAGTTCTTCTTCTCCTTCGCAGGCAAAGTAATTGTTATTATTAAAAATGTCATGATTTACTATAAGTCATTCTTCCTTCCTATCTCCGCTCGCCACTTGAATGTTCAGGATGGGATCACAGATTGAAGAACAAGCTTAAGGAGGAAATGGAAGGTAGGTATAGCAGGCAAAATTTTACAAGACCGAGTCGGATCCATACAGGCAGGCGTCTTGTCCATACCTTCAACGAAGTATCTACACTTTAATCCGTATAAGATAAGACCAGATATGCAACGATACTGGTTTAATGATTAACCACTAGGCAACCTCATCCAACTCTCTCTGATAGATTAATGATTGAGATGTGCCGTTTCAAATGGTCCATTTGAAATGGATTCGGCAAGGATTTTGCATAAATGAAGCCAATTAGAGCACGAATACCAGGTAATCAGATATCTATATACGGAGTATCTAAAGATTTGACTCCAACGAGATTTGTGCACCATGAAATCTAGATCCAGGGATATGTTTAATACATGGAAGCTATGCTCCGGAGCGAGCATTTTCTAATAATGAGAACATCAGGTCCGGATCGATATGCGTTGTCTAGATGGTTCGGGAAATCTGGCCGACAGAACGAGTAAAGGGTGCCTAGAATAGTCCCATTCTCATTCATTAGGTAGATAGGGTTGTAGTTATCGCTTGATGACTTTTCCGACTGTTCCGAGTTCCTCGACACTATTTACTTTAGTGTGTGTTTGTTTATTTTCGCAATGACTATCCTATAACCTGCCTAAGCTTGTTTCATGTTTCTAGGTAGATGAAGTCGTAGTCATCACTAGATGACTTATATGTCTTCGACAGTATTCCATCTACTATGCTTTCCAATCTATTCGTATATCTTGCCTAGACAATCCGAGTCAGTCTCCAGGTAATTCTCACTTACGCACCTTTACTAAATGAAAAAAATCCGAATTATATTAGACTTTTCCTTCAATAGCAGAAACCGCATTATTTGCCTTCGCAACAGTGACGATACTTTATCCTGCCTAGAAAATATCCACATCGGTGTATGTTCGTACTCGTATAGGATACACTCCCACGTGCAGATTCTTGGCAAATTCATGGCCTAGACTGGGGCAATCCAGAAAGTCGGAATTACCATCAAAATATAGTAAGGATGCATGAATGAGGCGAAGTGGAATATTTTATAGCTGGGTAGGTACTAGGTAGCAATAGGTTGTAAATGATCAAACAAGAATTGTCTTGTCTGTTTTTTCCATCGGGTTTCTCCCATCTATGTATGCGCCACGCTAAAGATCTCGCCACTCTCATCCTAGACGTCAGCCACACCACCACCATTAACCTTACACTATTCACTACCAAAATTTAAAACAAGGCTTCATCAACCACAATCCAAAAATTAAAGGGGGTATATTTTGAGATATGCAACAAAAACATTATCTTCATACACAGAAACATCCAATCAAGGCAAAAATCCCAACAAATGCATCAGATCTTTTGCCTCGTTTTCTGATGGAACCTTGCCAAGGGATCCTTGTTAAATGACACTGCCACGCCGATTGTGAGTCACTTCTTTTTTTTTGACTCTCGGATAGAGATGGATGAGTGATAAAATCAACGGAATGGTGTAACGACTCCAGGTAACGGAATGGGGATTGTGGTGTGAAAAGATTCGCGTAGAAAACACATGATATGGTGAAATTTAGGAGTTACTTCATATTATATTCGAGTCATCGAGTGGTGACTATTATTTCTATTAGTATTGTGACTCTGAGTGTTATTGGCCCGTCGAGAGAGGAGATATAAGTTAAATATCTTTCTCTTTTATTTGATCATTTGATTCTTTTATTGTTGATTCCATTCCTTGTGCTCTATCCTTTGGGGTTCTATTTACTATATCTCTTGATTTTGGATATTGTTGCTTTGGTATTGTGTCAACTTTCAAGCCTTTGGGACCAAACCTCCCTCACACTCAAACTTAAGTATCTTACCATTACTACTTTCACAATGATTACTACAAATCTACCCCCCTCCCTTCCTCCCACTCATCCCACATCAACTTCCTCACCTCCAATCCAACATCGACAAAACCGACGTCGAGAAAGACCAGGCTCACGCGCCCGTCGCACTATCTCTCGTAAATCCGCTCTCGCCACTGATCTCAACGAAGGAATCCTCGAAGCTCGAGACTCTAGTTTCTACATTCCAAACCACAGACCCGGTAACGGACCTTCACCATTACTAAGACAAAACTTCGATCAAAGTTGGATGAGATGGAAAGCTAGACAAACTGCTGAGCTAGAAATGTTAGCTATGAAACAAAATATGAAACAAGTCGAGATGGAAAGACAAATGATGACAGGAGAAGTGAAGGGCAGGGAAGAAGAAGAATTGGGGAAAATGCAACGAAGACTTTTTGGTGGTGATGACGATGATGATGATGTGAGTTGTGATATTGATCTTTGTCCTGCTATGCTGGATGTGGTATTGAGACTTTTTGACGGGGATGTCGATTATTTGGATCCCTAGTAAGAGTCTCATCTCAAAGTCACTTCACTTTCATCATTTTCGGTTCTTCATTCACCAGAATTTTCGATCCCCGTCGGCAATAGAGTTTGGATGAATCGGTTTAAAGCATATCAGGTGGATGAATGCTTACGCATTTCATTCTCCTTCGCAGGCGTTATGTCACATGAAAGCTCTTCGTCCATCCACGCCCACATCAACGAGTCAAGACCAAATCCAAAATGTCGAAACCGAGAAACTATTCTCACACAGCTTTCGACCACCAAAGCTCCGTCGCACAGAATCAAGCTGTTAAATTTGAGTTTTTAAAAGAAACATTACGATATGATTTCTGCGACGAGCAGGAGTCCGCTCGTCTCATATGGGGATAGACTGCATGAGATTTATCTCAAATTCTCATCTTTCAACCTATCTTATCCACTGTATATTTCAAATCTAGATGGGGATATAATACGGCTAATACCACGTCCAACTTGGACACCTCTACCTTATTTCGTCCTGCGGCTTCGAATATCGATATCCATCTACCTTTACTCTCCTCGTCCCGATATGATCAATTCTTGACGAATGAACATTTATCTCTACCCACATCTTACATCCACATCCACACAATTACCACCCTAAGTCACCTCACCACCTATCCGCGCCTCACGAAGCCGATAACTACCCCCGAAAAAACTACAAGAATCCTCGAATAATTATAATATTTACCCCGTGACGACTCGCAGCAAATCTCTTATATCGAATCAAATCAAATCATCAAATCATACTAGCCTGCCATGCCATACCACTCCCTCTCTACTCACCTCCTTCCACTTATCAACCCCAAAAGAATGGGTCTGTGGCGGTTTGTATGGTTTTGTGGGCGTTTATATGGTTTGGTTTGGTTAGATTAGATTAGATTCGACAGATAACTAGTGGATGAAATAAAAGGGATTGGATTGGTCCTCTATAACTTGATTTGATTTTCATTCGAGAGTTTTTCATTTTTCTGAGATGGCTCCGGTTTTGGGGTTGGGGATGTTGGGATTTGGTGTTGGCGGTGGCGGTGGGCTGTTGAATAAGGAAAAAGAGGAGAGAGGAGAGGAGAGGAAAGAAAAAGAAAATCAGAAGAAGTGGGGGAAAAAAGAAAGAAAGAGAGAAAAGAAGAGGGAAGTGAGAAGGAAAGCTAAACAGAGAAAGGGAAATAAGAAATGAAAAGGGAGAAGTTTTAATGATGAGTATAATAAATATATCTTATAACACTTTTATATTCTTTTACTCTTAAACCGAAACTCAAAAATTAAAAAGAAAAATCAAATATCAATATTAAATTATTATAAATAATATTATTAAAACTCGCCACTTTTAGTAATGTAAAAAAATTCTCAAAGAATAATATAAAAACTGAAAACTAATAAAGATATATATATATATATATACATTTTTATAAGTGCTCATTTTATCTTTTCTAGGTGAGTAGATAAATAATAATAGTTCTTGGTGGTGGAGGTTTAACCCGGGTGGTGGCGCACTAGGCTTTTTTTTTTTTTCGGAAGTCGTATATTAAGACTTAATTAGATTTAATGTTCAAACATGATTAATACATACCTAGGTACATACACATACATACGATCCAAACACGATCCTACCAAATCTCACCTCCGCATTTCCTCTCCCTAAAAACCATCATCAAATCCCCCAATTCAAACGTAAAAACCTCTCTCGTATCCTGATTTCCACTCAATCCTATCCCTTTCCCTCCCACTTCCCCATCGCCCCTCCCATCAATACCCCACTCGCTCCCCGTCAACTTCTCCCCCACTTCTCCCTCTGCAAACCCCACATCAAACCTCGTAACGATTCTAGCTACTACAGCTCTCAATTCCATCAAGGCAAGTTGTTTTCCAATACACGAGTAATTTCCCGCGCCGAAGGGTGTGAATGTTGATTTATCGAGGAGGAATTTTGCATTTTCTGGGTCTGGGAACCAGCGGGTTGGGAGGAAGGTGTGAGGAGAGGGGTAGCTGGATTTTACTATTTTGGGTTAGTTGAGAAGTTAATTAGGAGGATGGGTTAGCAAGAAAGTAATGGAGAAAATGTGCGGTTGAAAACGTACGACGACCCATTGTCCATGTAGGGGTTGATATGGTCACATTTCCCGGAATGTAAGTTCCATCAATTGTAAGACCTTCAGGAGGTGTTTGTCTCAGTAAACCACTGGGTACAGCTGGATGTAATCGAAGAGTTTCATTAATAACACCATTGAGATACGGAGCATATTGAATATCTCTACATTCGTTCGGGGATCCTGGAGTGAATATTGGCTCTAGTTCTTCTCTCAATTTGGCAATGTGATGAGGTTCGAGACATAGGTGATAAAAGAGATATGTGAGGGTTGCTGATGTGGTGTCGCTACCGGCGATAATGACGAGTCGTGAGTCACCGTATAACCATCTTGTGAGTTGTTAATGTGGTTATGGTATATATGATATTTGAAGGATATGTTGAGACGAACCTAGGATCTTTATGGACTGGATCTGGATCACTTTTATGAGCATCAATTAACCATGTCATAATATCGGGAACGCTTGGTTCATTCTAATTTTTTCAAATTTTAGTATATCTCTTCGTGTGCATAATATGAGCTCACTAACCACTCTTCGAATATCAATTTGTTTCGAACAAAAGCTAATAAAACCGTTGAGGCCATCCATAAGCCTTGGAGCCTTGATGAGGATAGGGAAAATCCAGGGAATGGGTGAGAGAAAGCCCAGTGGGACCTGGACTTCGTGCAATAATTTGAGTGCATTATGCTATTTCTGTTAGCGAAAGGAATAAATGTACAGACAAACGGGCGAGACCTTTTCTCCAGTTTTTAACATATCAAAAGGTTTCCCAAATCCTAAATCGCCTATAGCATCGAAGGCATAATAATTAAACCAATGTGTTGCATTAACTGCTTTTCCTCGGAAAGCGTCAAGCTGAGCAACCAATTCATCCGCATAGCTTGTGACTCGACCCTCGTAATTGCGTAGGGCTGTATGAATGTGAGTAATGACTTCACACAATCATTCCAAAAACTAAAGACCTACCCTTCGTGCTAAATCCACGATCCCAAACCTTCCTTCTCTTATCATGGGTTACACGATCGCGTTCCGAATGCATAGTTGTATGAGGAAGCGCAACAACTACATTCAAATCGAGTATTTAGTAATTTGATACGCGGGGAGGCTTTTAGAAGAACAATTGGGAATTACGCACCATCATACCAGGGACTCTTAATACATTTTGATCCCAGCCCAATTAAGGCCTGGACAGCTTCAGGTTTAGTGATCGAAAGTTCATTGGGGCCAATCCTATCATATCTCATCAGTCCCTCGTCCCGTCAAAAAGACATTGAAATCCAACCCACCTCACAATATCCCCATACACTCCATGCAATGCATGTGTTTGCAAGTAGTTATCACTCTTCTCAATTAATCTCATCGTATGAGTCAACTTCGAACATTTTGCAGCGAACGGTCCTGGAAAATGGCGTAGCGGATGAAAGAATATGCGATAAATAAGGATACTTCCTGTTAAAGATGTGAAGAACGAGGTAAGGACAATGGCTGTGAGTTTTAAAGCCGTCATATATGAAGACGTGATATCAAATTTGAGGATGGTGAGGAAGACAAACAGAGGTGAAAAGACAGTAGTGAGGAACCATTGGAAAGCTTGCATGTGATGTTCGCCATGGATGAAATATCCTAGATGTGCTGCAATGCCCGCAATAGCTGGTGCAAAGGTAAAGAGATTATAATTGAGGTTTGACATGTCCATTGATGGGCACAAGAGCTACAAGGTATTGCAGGAGAGGACGTGTAAATGCGTGCTGAAATCCACGCTTGTGCCAAATTGTGAGGGAATAAATTTGAGGAATGAACAATTCTCTTCACGATTGTAAAGATAGATTAAGGAAGTACACAAGCTTTTTCATATGTATTAAAGAACGACAATGTAGGCACGAAGGAGCTAAAGGATGACTTTGTATTGATATCGTTAGTGTCGTACAAGGAAGCTCAGTACCCCACCTTTGTAACTCGACCTTTGGGCTTTAGGTTAGCTGAGCTGAAAGTGGTTCCTAAGATGTGCAAATTATCGGAAATGCTAACCGGATTAATTGCTTCCTTACTTCCAGTGCAACACAGCTATAACCAAGTACATACAGCTAGTAATTGTGGGGGAACACTTCTGCGGAGTAAAGCTTTTCCCATGTGTCCGGCAAGTGATGATTTGTGTTAGACGCTTGCCTATCTATTGTCGAAACGCTGGGGCTGGTGGGCCATTCTGCAGTAACATGGGACCAAACTACTTACGCGGCACACATATTTCCGAGGAGCTTCCACATTAAGTCTTTCAGTTGCACAAGAAAGAGAAACGATATGCAGGTGTATCAGATCACCAACATTTGTCTTCAATATTCAGTTGGTGATCGGCCCTGGCTGAACGTACTTCATTCGATCATGACCGAGTTCCATTGTCTTAGCCTTGGAAAGATATTTCTTGATATGGAATTGGAAAACATCAAAGCTGTGATATTTTGTCAACAGTGTACAGTGAACGAGAAAAGCAACTAAAAACCCCTATGAGAATGCTCTGATTCTCTAGAGATCCTAATGGGCCCATCTAGACAACGAACGTTGGTCAAAATGTAAAATTTTATGACTCCCTAGTGGTATCATAGTGGTATTATCTTCATAGTCTCATAGACTTGGTTAGCATTCGGGGTATTCAAACCAACCCCAAACACTTTCATCTTACTTACATACCCTCACGGATTCATCCAGTCATTCAATCGTCCAATCGTCCAATCATTATAATCGAAATATAATCTCACCATCTATGCCATAGTCCAGACTGGAGCCGAAAAAAGTACCTGTCTTCCCCTAATATCAATGGTCATGAAACCCGCAAACCGTACTTTGTGAGCCCCATCTTCGCTTTTGACTTTTTCACTTGGTTCTTGACCACCCTGACTACTAGTGCTCATCTTCTTCCCAGAGGTTCCACTACTACCACCTCCCATCATAGCTTGTAACATGCCCTGACCTTTCCCACTCTTCTCCTTGGTCAGCTTTGGATGATTCTTTTGTTCCTCTTTTGAACCATCATCCTTATCATGACTTCCCACACTACTCGAATCAAATCCATTAGATTCTGCACCTGGATGCTCCAATGCAGGGATACCACCTTCAATTTTCATATATTGGCGTTGCACTAGGTCGTTGGGCATCGGGTACGTAATGACAACATCTCTGCTTTCCAGAGGAATGTTCGCTGCAATGCTTACTGCTAGTTCTACAATGGTTGTCGCGGATTCTTCGATACCACCTGGTATTGGTTCTTGGAGGTAGTTAATTAAACTGGCTGTCAGGTTGCTTGTGATCATTTTTGAGAATTGTTTCTTGTATTCTTCGCTTTCAGGTGAGCTCAATACGTCTTTCAACCCATCTAAAGTCGTCAATCTCCACTGGACGACCTTTGCAGTCAAAGCATCGGATTCTTCTTGGTTGTTAATAGCAGGAGAGAACAGACGGATGTTCTGTTCGATAGTTTTCAAGCTCAGGCTAAGCTCACTTTCTAGACCTGGGTGGAAGGTGCGATTAAATATTTCATCTACAAGAAATCTTGAGATACAAGCTCTGCCGACAGCCGTCATCTCTTGTTTTCCTATGGACATCGCATCACGGTTGACAGATTGTGAGAGCCATGCTGGTACCGTTCTCCAATCCTTACGAATGTTAAAGGCAAGATTTGTGATAGCACCATCTAATCTTTGGAAGCGTGATGTGTATTCGCCATCATCAAGGGATGTGCGAGACTGGGATAATCGCTGATTTGCCAAAGTATTTTGTAATTGTTCGACCTGTCCTTGTAATTGCTCCACTGAAGCTGTTTTGTCAAAATACAGCCCCTTGACCTTTTTATATTTCTGCTCTTTCGAGATTTTAGCAGGGAATATATTCATTGCGTGGCAAGGAAAACTTACGTAGCTCTCTGTATGCTTCATTTACATCCCTGTCTCCAGGTTGCGGTGGTGGTGTGCTCCGCCCTTGCTCTCCACTACCAGAAGGATTGTACTGATCTCGCTGTGGTGGCCCTCCTCTATAATTCGGACCTTGACCTTGAGGAGGGAGTGGGCTTGTCGCTTGTGGTTGATTATTGTTATTATTAGGAGTTTGTTGCTGCTGGCGGTATGCCGGAGGATCTCTCCCATCTGACTGTGCCATTTGAGCTTGTAATGTTTGTTTCGAGTCCGCAGATCGACGATTTTGTTGTGTTGTGGTGGACTGTGGTGCCATGGAAAGGTGTTGCGACAAAGGGCGACTTGTAGATAAGCCTGCAATCGGCCCTTGTATTGAGGTTGTTCGCTCTGGATAATCTGCCCTGTTAGATTGGTGAATGCTTGTTGGAGATTGATTATTAGATTGTACCGATCCGGGACGTTGATCTTCCCTATACAGTAAAGAAGGTTCGTATTGCGGTGTTGAGGCACTATCTGGGGTGAAGTCTTGCGGAGGATACTGGCTGTTGGGGGAACTTGGGAAACTATTCAATTGCTGCTGTGAATGAATTTGGTCGGGTAGTTCGTAACGATATTGCTGAACACCCTCAGGTGATTCGTAATGACTAGGACTTTGAGGAGGTTGGTGGTAAAAAACGGGATTAGGTGATTGCTGAAATTGCTGATCAGGAGAATCGTTCTGTGAATCTGCCGAATAGAGGGGTGAATCAGAATCGCTTTGTATAGCTCGAATTGTGTTTAAAGGTTGTCGCTGCCCACGCGCATTCACAGAACTTTGGGCACTTTGTGGTGTGTTTTCCTCGGGAGTCGTAATGAGATATGGATCTAATCCGTCGTCCTTGGGGGCTTCTCGAGGCGATGACAGGTGGGATCTCGAACCTTGAGCTGCAGGTTGCCAATCTGCCCTTTGATGCTGATCTACCGAATTTCTTTGTTGATGACTAGTTCGTATAACGGGGGGACTGTCGTGTCGTCTAGATAATCTGCGCGCAAGTCCGCTAGTGTTGTTGCTGTAAGCTACTTGTGTGGTAGTCGGGGGGTACTTTTGTTCAGAGGATCGATTCGAATTCGTCCCTCGCATACGATCAAAAATACTCCTTTTCTTAGGCTCCACCACAGGTGATTGTATGTGCGATGTATGTCTGCGACCCTGGTTTTGTAACCTCTGAGAATCAAGAACTAAATCATCGACGGATGAGCCGGCGGGAGATGGGGAAGCGGGGGACGCTTCAAGCTCTTGTGGAAAGGGTTGCTGTAGTTGATACTGAACTGCGACCGAGCGGGAAGGTGACCCGCCAGAATTATGATATGCAGATCCACGAGATCCAATTTCAGGACTCCGAGTTTCGTAGGGCAGTTCAAAGTTTTTTTGAGATGGTGTGGTGGTGGTGGTGGTGGTGGTGTTGGAGGATTGTTGTTGTATTGTGGTGGACCTTCCCTCGCCAGAACCAGATGAGAAGGATTGTTGTGAATGCGAGGCTGAAGGAGTGACCGCCGCTCTTTCTATAGCAGGTTCGTTCAATGCCTGCTTTGAACGATTGCTATGTTTGAACGGGAAGGGCATTTGTATTATGTTCACGACACAATCAACGGAATCAAAAGAGTGAATAGGGTCGGCCTGGCTGTGCTGGTGGGGCCCGGATTCAGTATCGTAGTGCACACTTTCTCATCTGCCAGTCAAAATTTCTGACAGGCTGCCGGTAAAGTCAAGGAATGACCCTCAGCGCCTTCAAAGATCAAACAAGATTGATTGATTACCTTAGCATGAAATTTCGGAATTTGCTTTTGGTATGGTGCGCCAGTGGGAGGATGATACAGAGATGAATTGGGTGAACAAAAAGATAATAATAGCAACGATACTCAAACCGGGTCAACTTAATGTTTAGAGGTGCAGCTGGGTAAGGCAATGTGGGCAAGGTAGACAAGGTATAAGGGGGCGAAGTAAAATAGATTGGCATGAACTTTTTCTAACGTTGAAAATGGACGAATCAGTTGGGACACGGCGGCTCGAAGTTGTTGAAATAATAGGTTGGGTATATGCGATGTAACATATTACTCGACTTTAGATCTTCATTTTCCTTGATATTTCTCCGTCTCATCTTGATTTCTTTGCCTTGTCCCTACTCTCCTTCATCAAAAGTTACCTAGATTCAATGTGTTTGAATGTTGGTATCAGGAAAATCGATATATGTGTGTATGTATACGGACTCTGTATGCTGGAGGCATGCCCAGCTTACATGTTGAACTAATCTAGGCGGACATTGCATCAAGCCCCGCCAGCACAGATAAGATAGATCATAGGGTCTGGTGGGTGAGTAGATGAAAGTGGGTTGACCTAGGATCGATTGATGTTTGTTGAGTAAGTGTGCAGCAAGAACAAGAAGACCACCACGAACTCTGGCCGGAAGATTTGTCTATGAAGGATGATCAATATGATGCGGTATTTAGGGAAATAAAAAGGTAGGATCTAATTGATCAAGCAGTCAAGAGCACGTAAGTAGACCAGTCGTATAATCGTATGAGTTATCACCAGTGCATTGAGCATTTCCACCCCACCTTCCGGAAAAACATGTAGGAATTTAGATGTTGTACTCGAGTATCCGTAAGCCTGTAGATTTTGATGTTGGTGTTCCTGATGGTGAGATAGATTTACTTTTTAGGCGATAAATTGAGTTGATAGGTATTTGATTCACTGTTATGGGCGCTGAAGGATCACTTGAATAAAGACCCAACAAAGTACGGGTGAACCTATCTTAGCAATTCATCTGATCTCATCAGCTACATATGATTATTCCAATTTCCCATCACAGCTCGTGGCACCAACAGCGACACTAATAAACCCCTCCAACATCTTGGCACACCTACGGCTATTGAATATCCGTTGTAAAGAAAAAATGCGACATCATTTTCCTTCTCGAAAGGTAGGATTTATTTTTAGAAGTTCTTCGGAAGCACGAGAAGATAAAAAAGCTTGACTCAACACCTGCATCCCTTCAGGCGACTTCTTTCACGACGATGTGGGAGAGAAGTGGTCGGTCGCAAGCCTGCATTTCATGGCGAATGCAACCAGATTCCAATTGAGCCGAAAAGTCCCGGAGCATTGCATAGGGGCAAATTCATATACCAAGAAATATATACAACTTTTCGGCGCTATGTAGGTATTGAGCCTCGCAAGCATTAGGGGTTGGATTGTCACTTCCCCTGAAATACAGCGAGGAGACTTGTGCAACGGTTGAAGCTCTTCTGACTGGCCGGATAAGTGTCTCTTTGGGTGACATTACTGCTAGACGAATTGTATCGGGCTGTCAAATGATTAAATACTGGCAACGACATACGCTGTATTACCGGCACGAGGCGAAGTAAGATAACCATATGATTTCAGTCTTTGATAATTTCCTCCGTACCAATATGCGTTTCATCGAAAGCCTCTGATGACATGGAGGGACCATTCTAAAAATATACTTAACTTCGGATAGCCTGTCAACTTACACGGTATTTGCGGTAACAAGTAAGTATCGGTGAGTGGTAGACTAGAATCTTTGATCGCGAAAGGATTTCAAGAAAGGACATTTGATATTCGATGGTTGGAAGGATTTATCTGCAGCCGCACAGCAATAATAGTGTTCCCATGATTCGTAAAAATATACTGGCTTATCTGGATGACAGCAGACATGAAGCTATGAAATAGTCGTTCTAATTCTATCGTAGAGCTTTTTTGATCTTCGAAAGCTAACAACAAGGAACAAGGAAACCCCGCAACCGTTCTGGGGCCAGCTCCCGTAACTCATACTTTTTGCGATGCTATGGGGGGCCCCAAATCTGCGGCAGATCTATGCCAATCTTAGTTGATTACAGACCTTTGGATGACAGCATAAATATCTCCGCATTGTTTTTTTTATTTTGCACAGCCTCAGCGTAACAGTGCTAATGTGCAGAGTATAGAGTGCGTGCTCTACCGGCATATAATTCGATGTCCTTTGATATAATGAATGCAGAAACGAAGACCTTCATCTCTTATTACGAGCAGAGCACATGAGCAGGAAATCCCGTAGCTTTGATGAGAGAAGGAGAAGCTGTCCACCCCTTTCTTAGTAAGTCTCACAGAAAATCCTCCATCATCAAGTATGACATCCAACGGCCATCAAAACACTCAATCTCACTGTTTCTGTCCCGCAAACCCATGCCCTGTCCCATCACAACGCCAGTGTTTCAAACACAATCAAAAACTCCCTGATCTTCGTCCAATCTTGAAGATCTCTATCTTAAGATCCATTTGCCAAGATCCATATATTAAAGTTATTCAGGTACCGGACGGTCAAGTCGTGAGTTACTTAAGCATATCACAAGGACCATCCCCTTTTGCGCTAGACATTTAATTCTCCTAGCCAGGGACCGAGCCAGGGCAAACGTCGTGCGAAACTATGATGAAGTGGCTAATGCTGATATGTAAATCCTTTCCTCCACCGCTTCAACCTTCTTCCTTCATGCTTGAAATAACCATGAAGACTTGAGGCAACCACAGGAATTGTTTATGCCTCTCTAGAGGTCGAACTTCAATTGGAGGATCTTGGTAGATGAATTATGGAGAAATAATGGGCCAAAATGTTGGTAGGATCTCAGGATCTCAGGTAGATCATAATTTTCCTTCCCTCACTCGGTGTTTTACCACGAAATGCATCTATGTGCAGCAGTAGTACAAAAGAACTGCAAAGGAAGGAAACAAAACAAAGTCGGTTCCTTTTATTTCAGTAAACAATTCCCATTCCGGTATTCCCTAGATCTCACCCGGACCGAGATTCTTGTAAAACAAGGAGCTTCCAGCCATCAACTTTTCCATCTATTGTCCAAATTGCCGTTTGTCATACCATCCAATCTTCGTTGTACAGCACCAACCATAGTGGACATTTTACTTTCGTTCCTGCCTCACTAGTTAGATCAGGAGAACCCCGGTTTTATTCCTTACTTTTTATTCTTTGCTTGGGCTTCCATTATTTGCTTGCCAACGCGACTCGCTTGTTGATTCATATTTCATCATATATCAACCTCACTTTGCTTCCCACGTAACAACCTGTTTTCTCATCTACAACTACAATCATTGAACCACTTTCGTTTTTTAATTCTTACCTACAATTGTTCGACTTTCTAATCGAAGTTTCTAATTCTCAATCCTCTATCCTATCAAAACAATCAAACACCCCAAAATGCAATTCTCCAAGCTTCTCAGTGTCGCCGTCGGTCTTTTGGCCACAGTAGAAGCTGTTTCTATCTATAAGCCTCGCATTGCTGCCCGTGGTACCCAGCAAAAATACAATTTGAAGCTTGATACCGTTCAAGTCGCTACACCTAGTTCTGCTTCTGCTATCAGAAATATGATCATCCAGGACATTGTTACTAGATCTGCTGTTGATAGCAAGAATGGAACCACCATTTTTGATGATTCTATTTCCTGTATGTTTACTTTCCTTGTTTACTTTATTTACTGTCCAATCACTTCATACATCCTCACCAATCAATTCTCAACCAACCCCAATCTCCATTTCAAAACCAAACAACCAACATCCCGCTAACAAAATAATCAGTCACCTTCATTGACCCCAACTCAAATACCTCGACGGCATGTAACGATGACTTCCAAGGCACAGCCACCACTACTCAATTTCCCACCGGTTGGGTTCCCTGCAATAACAATGGCAACTTGATGGATGATTTCTACTGGCAATTTACTTCGTACCAATCTCTCACCAGTTTCAACATCGAGTTAATTCATGCTTTTGTTGGTTCCAAGTATGTTTTCTCTCTAATCCCCATACACCCTTCCAATCCCCACATCTGGTCCACCAAACCGGAATCAGAGAATAAGGGTGTACATTTCAGAATTTGTAGACGTAAATACTAATAATATTCTTCAAATAGCAACGCAGGCGAAGTCCTCAGATCTGCAGATACACCCATCACCCTCACCTGCGCTGACGTAAACCATGTCGACGGATGTTTCTCCAACCAAGTCATTTCACTACCAATTGCCATTGCCACCGCATAAATCCATTCAAATCCACCAATACCGAATTTGTAATAACAGGAAACGCCTACTTCATTTTCTTCTTCGGCGGCGTACTTTTCAAACCCATAATCACTTGAGCGGAAGAGAGAGAGAGATGGGTAATGGATAAAGGAATCATATCTGGCCGGTGCGCTACGTTAAACATACTTATTTATTAGTATAATACATACGAGTACATACGTTGGTTTCTGGTTAGAGAGAGTGTGTGTGTGGCACGGAAGTTTAAAGAAAGTCTGGGCTTGCTTGCTTTTACTTGACTTTGAGACGGAAGTAAGTGTAGATGTTGCGATGCATATTACTTCAATCTTGGTGCGAATGCGAATTGCTGTCTTAAATGGCATGGATGGGCTGGATGTAATAAAGCAAAGTATTGTACTATTGAGAACGAAAAAAAAAAAAAAAGAAGTCTTTAAGGCAAATTGCTGTGTCTATGATTCCGAGCGAAGCTTAAATACCTAGTTAATCAACTAAAAAACGTTTGTAAATTTGCGTTGGCAGTGATGTGACTATTTACAGCTATGATTCAGCTACTATATACCCAGACACCAAGACGTCAACTGGAATTGCATGTGCATGTGCATGTATGTGCTAATAAAATTCTATTCATGAAAAGAGTATATATTATCCATCCTAATCATACAAAGTCTTCCAAACATTTCCAAACCATTACATCATTAAAATCTTCCAACAATTAGTTGGCGGCCGTCGTCGTCGTCGTCACATTACCATAAACAATACCATCAGCACTAGCCATATCACTCCACGCACCATCCAAACCATAAATCTTAGCATCAACAACGACGCCTACGTTAAGATCTCCAGCTCTCACTTCCACGGTATCTAAAATGCCTTCGGGGAAAAAGGTAATGGTGCCGCTGCTTCGGCCACCGTCGACGAATACCTCGAGGATGGATCGATCGATCACGACGTCGAATTGGAAGGTTCCTTGGTCGTTGATGGTGTTTCCGACGGAGAAACGATCGGTGAAGAAGGGGTTTGTTTCGGCGAATCCGTTGAAATTGCGGCGGGAGAGCCAGACGGGGGCGTCGCCGCCGAGGAATATGCCGCCGGAGACGGATTCGCGGGTGGTGGAGGAGAAGAAGGTGAAGTTGAGGGTTCCTTGGGCGAGGGTGTTGTTGGGCATGCTGTGGACCTTGCAGGAGATGTAGATGGCGCCGCTGGAGACGGAGGAGTAGTCGACGATGAGGCTACCGTTTCCGAGGTTGTCGTTGGAGGCGAGTGGTGCGCTCTCGTTGTAGAGAGGGGTCATGTCATAGGGGTATGAGATTAGGGCCCAGCCTGTGCGGGTTACGTTTGCGAGATGGGTACGGCGGGGTAGGGTCATGGAACTGCGCCATCCCTCGAGTTCTCCGGTGGGTACTTGTTGTCCATATTCCCAGTTGCTAGCCCAACCCAAGAAAACCGGGTCTTCATCTGCAGGAATCCCGTTGAAAAATTGACCGGCGTAGTTGTCCTTTGCAAAGTCTAAGAGGCGGGTCGCGGAATCGAGTGGGGTGAAATGGGTTCCGTTGAATGTACCGGGGAAGTACTGGGTGGTGGAACCACCAAGAGGAGCACCTGGATTGATGGAGATGATTAAGAGATGCAGGTTTTCATCACCGTTACCGTCGGCGACGGGAATGGGGATCAGATTTGGACACTCGTATTGTAAACCAAGCAGACCGTGATGACTGAAATTGGAGGTGGCAGTCCATTCTTTAAGATCAGGGGAGGTGAAGATACCGATCTCAAAGGCGCGGGAATAGGCGACTACCATGACCCAATGATCTTCGAACCATGTGACTTGAGGGTCACGAAATTGGGTAGAGGTAGATGGGATGACGGGGTTCTCGGCATACTTCTCAAAGGTGTAACCACCATCGAAGGAGTAGGCGATGTTTTGAGTTTCCGACTCAGGAGTGTTGAGAGTGTAGATTGCAACTACACCGTTGGTTTGGTTGGGGAAGAAACCGGATGTGTTGTTTACATCAACGATTGCACTTCCACTGAAAATTCCTTCGCTGTCATTCTCAGGGAAGAGTGCGATCTTTTGATTGTCCCAGTGATAGAGGTCCTTTGATGTTGCATGACCCCAATGTTGGTTTCCTGCTACAGTTGCCGTTGGGTTGTCTATAATATTGTTAGTTAACTCATAGAATAATTTATGGGTGTAGGTATTACTTACATTGATAGTAGACGTGATAAACTCCATCTGCATCTCTGAACAGTCCGTTTGGATCATTCATGAAATCTTTAGGTGGCGAATAATGAATCTGAGGTCTTAATGCTCCGGTATAATCACCTGGGATAGGTGCATCAGTGGGAACAGCGGTGGGAGCAGATGATGCAGCATTGGATACCGCGACCAGAAGGGCACCAGCTAGAGAAGTAAGACGAAACATTGTGAAAAGATGTCGAGATGATTTCGTTTGGTTCGAAATTGGAGAGATCTGCCATCCTTATATACTTTGCTTTCTGAAGAATTCCACCATCCCCCCTGCTGAGCTACCTAGATGAATAGACCTCATAACCAAGAGATGATTAATTATTATGACATACTTATTGGGGATTTCCCGGATCTTTGGCCCAGCCATAGACACAGGGAGACGACGAATTTCCCCATGATCATGCAAAAAATATGACCGAGAAAGCCGGGCACTTGACTCGAAGTAGATTAAAGAGCAGAGGTCGCCGCTCGGTAGCTTTGATGGAGAAGTGGAAATCGAAAGAAGTGGAGATCGGGAGAAATGCGGGGATTGCTAACGGCTCCATACTCTGTACTAGTTTTTTTTTTTTTTCAATCCCCAGCCAATCTTGGTTCGTCTAAACTTTATCCTCGCTCCTGTCGGTAGACAGACAGACATCGTTTACTAAACATGAGGTGACATTATTCTACCCCGCTCACAATTGTTGTGGCTAGGTGAGTCCGCGTGTGCATCCCCAGGTCTGTTAGATCAATAGGGACGGTACCGACCCGCTCGAATGTGTCGGGTGTATGTTTTCCCCCTTTGTGAAGATATCAGATTGTGAAGGTATCAGATGAATAAGTTGAATTTGAACATGAACTTGTATTTACAAATAACTAGGTAGGTACTAGAGTTGGGTAGCGCATAAAGCAGAGAGGTACTAGCTATTTGAGTTTAAGGCTATGCTCTTAGCCAGGTCCAATGATAAAACTATCTCGTAAGAAGATTGGTACGAAGTGGGAGTTGACCACAATCTAAACTCATAAATAAGCCCGAATGCACTTAGGATGGGATCCCCGTTTTGTGGGGAAATGAACGATGTGCACTCCTTTAATGAGATATAAATGCCATCTCTATCGATAATTACATGGACGTGATTGATCCCTTCCCACTCAATGACACTTTTCCAGCCTTCTCTATACTCTGCTTTGCGAAAGCAGGCTAGTAGGTAAACTTAAGGGGAATCATGTGATTTTGGTCAAAAGCTGGAGATCCGAGACCATCACGTTACGACACCTTCTTCAAGTTATTTATTATTGTTTTATTAAACGCAGACGGCGACTTTTCGTGGTATTTGTTGTTTGAAAATACATTGATATCATAAATGAACCTCCGTAATACCTTCTTTACGCGCTCAATGCAATCGATACCAATGAATACCTCTCACTGTTGCATGCAGGAACCCCCTGACTCGAAAATAGCCAGTCGGAGATATACCATTCGCGTTTCCAGGTATCCTCTCCTTCATAACAAAGCAAGACGTGTGAAACCAAATATTGCCATATTGAGGTTTTGTTTTGGCTTTGGTTTGGGTTTGTTTTGATTTTGCTATTGCTTTTATCACATTTTGTATTTTGATCCTGAGATGAAGTAGAGTAGTCGCGATTGTAAATGAAAGGGAAGTGATGAAGGTCGCGTCTTTCAATTTAGGGGTGTTCATTAGGAAATGTATTCTAGGAAAAGAAACTAACTGTACATTTCATTCTTGTAAACTTACAACACAGCATCTCTTGGACTTCCTTCCTAAAGGGAGTTCATCTATCCATCATTATTTTCTTCATCCGGAATCTTTCAAATTAATGGTTGATCCAATCGTTCGTTATTAATACCGACCAAGTAATTTGCGAACAGTTTAGAAAAGGAAAACAGTCAGTCGTTACGGAAGCCCAAATCTCGCCTAAGGCATCGCCGATAAGGGAATAGCGTCAGATCTGCCTCGACTCTTCCAAAATAATATCAACTCCCGATCTATCCACAACCATAACAACCCGACGACCTACATCGGTAGAGATCAGTCAACAGCATATAAACGGGTGGAAGTTTTTGCCAACAGCGATAGTGGTGACTTTGCGACTACTCAGGGCGTGCATAGCGACAAAGCAACCCGACGGATTGATTGCGGTCCGTTCCTACTAGCTGGGTGGCCGGGGAACCAACCAGCGAACCAAAATATTGATACGAAAGTCACTTATCACAACGACGCGAACTACGATCGCATTGCGCACAACGAACATATCTTCCAGTCTTGGACCTTTGGTTGATTTCAACAATTACAGTGGTTCGGCAGATGCAGTACATCTCTAGCTGTTCTATTCGGAAGACTTCCCAGCAGCTCCTCTAGTCCATAATCGCTTGCTTTTTCTTTCAACGCAATCATCATGGGGATCAACGGCGACCCAAGTTATGGCTCTTCTAAATCTCATGCGAATATCAGAAAGACCCACCATTCTTTAAATACCCCACCAATATCGACACCACCCCGCTCGTCAACCCCTCCTACCACGACAAGCAAAAGAATGACGGAAAGGAAAGCGCAGGAAGAGAACGCAAACTCGTCAAGAAATACAAGCAGAACATATCGTTCAGCGGTCGATGCGATCGATTCGAATGCGCTGAGTAAAGCCCTAATGAGAGAATTCGAGGAGTCTAATGGCAGACATCGCGATATCACACCTGGAGGTAGTCCCAGCAGGAAGCGACAACGAGTGTATGGCGACAGGTAAGAACTCTGTTTCTTTGTACGCAACATTCGCACTCTTGGAGCCTCGAGACTAGGAAGTTTCAAAATGTTTTTGCTGCTTCGGATTTAATCTTTGTTGGTTGATCCTTTTAAAAAATGACTTTATTGGAGATTACAAAATCACCAATGTCGAAGTTCGAAGTTGGACATACACCAAAATTGGTATTGGAGATTGCTTTATTAGATGCTGTACTGATGCTTCATGTCTAGATTCATTCCAAATCGAGAAGGACAAGATTTGCAAGCCAGCTTCAGCTTGCTGCATGATGAGGGATCTCCAGCAACACCTTCCAAACAAAAGAAGCGTACCCCGCATGGCGAGCTCCATTTTCAAAGAAGTAAGTCGAGGTGAATGTCTCTTCTTGAACATGTATCTAATCTCATTACCAGCGGAAGAAGCCAATAGGACATTCTCTACCTTGCTTAGGTCCGAGCTCTTTGATACCACAATCCCACAGCCCACACCTACCAGTTTATCACCTGATTCGCATAATACAACTATCAACGACCCTACTAGATCTCACACGCCACCTCATATTTCACCTGCTGTTTCAGCACTACCCGCGTCTCTTACTCCTTCCACTCCACATAAGAATCTCTTTACGTATATGTCCCCGCGACATCATACCAATATTGCCGGTCACCCCACTCCATCACGGACACCTCAAAGTAGACATGGAATCAACCTTGATGTCCGGTCCCAGCTCTATAGTGTCTCTCCTGTACGATTCAACAGCCAGCAAATGTTAATGAGTCCTCGCAAGCAACCTCGAGTTGTGAGCAAGGTACCATATAAAGTATTGGATGCTCCTGATTTAGCTGATGATTTCTACCTTAACCTTGTGGATTGGGGGAGTAGCAACGTTCTTGGAGTAGGACTTGGATCTTGCGTGTATATGTGGAATTCGCAAACTGGACGAGTCAACAAGCTTTGTGAGTTGAGTGATGATACGGTCACAAGTGTCTCTTGGATTCAGCGTGGCTCTCATATCGCCATTGGTACTGGAAAGGGATTTGTTCAGATTTGGGATGCAGAGCGAGTACGACGTCTAAGGACCATGACAGGTCATACAGCCCGAGTTGGTTCACTTGCTTGGAACGATCATATTCTCACTTCGGGTTCTAGAGATCGCCTTATCTACCACAGAGATGTACGAGCGCCGGACCAATGGTTGAGAAAATTAGTTGGACATAAGCAAGAAGTTTGTGGTCTTCGTTGGAATTGCGATGATCAACAACTTGCATCGGGTGGAAACGACAACAAGCTTATGGTTTGGGATAAGCTATCTGATACCCCACTTTACAAATTTAGTGACCATACTGCTGCTGTCAAGGCTATTGCTTGGTCTCCTCATCAAAGTGGTTTACTTGCATCTGGAGGTGGTACTGCAGATCGTCGTATCATATTCCATGACACTAAGCGTGGTAACAAACTCAATGAGGTCGATACAGGCTCTCAAGTATGCAACCTTGCATGGTCGAAGAACTCGAATGAAATCGTATCCACCCATGGTTATTCTCAAAATCAAATTGTGGTTTGGAAATACCCGAGCATGCAACAAGTTGTTAGTCTCACAGGTCATACATACAGAGTACTATACCTGGCAATGAGTCCTGATGGCAGAGTTGTAGTAACTGGTGCAGGCGATGAGACTTTGAGGTTTTGGAATGTGTTTGGTAGAAAGCCAGGACAGAGAGATGATTGTGATGCCGGTGGAGGAAAACTTGCGGATTGGGGTATCATCAGATGATATCTCATGACCTTTGCTACATTTGCAACCTTTGATGGAAAAATAGGGTATGAACGGCGATACGGTGGCTTGGTGGTGAAAAATTAGCGAAGTTAATGGTGGGGTGGTTACTCATTTGCATTAGTGGCGTTACGGCACGACTGGCGATATCTATGCCATCTGGCATGATGGCTTAGTTGGCATGGTGTTGCTTGGCATGCAATGGCTGGGATTGGGTTTATTTACATGGTATGGGAGCTGAGAGCGAGCTTTATGAATAGGTGCCAGGGAGTTATTACATGCCTATGTGCATTGCTTTTACCTGTGATATTAGTTTAATTTTCTCCAGAAGGACTCAGATGCTGGTGCATGATGCCATATTTGTTCATCTCTTAGAGAAGACACGGATACAAGTAAGATTAACTGGCTGGGTAAATGGCTGGTTTTCAGTTAGCTAGAAGTGATATTGTTGCGTGCAATACTATGATGATTATGATTATGATTATGATTATTATGAGTGCTTTACGGAGTATACGCATGGGCATATAGCGGGTCACTTTGATAACTTTTAATTTTTATAATGGCCGTTGTGGGAAGTACCTGGTTGTTTAATGACTGTAAAGAATGTAAGTCACAGGTTCTCTGATCTCGCTTCGGAGGATGGATATGGTTACTCACAACTAACTGATAAACATTTCCACAATTTCAGATTAGTACAGATATTTTCATGAATGGGAATCAAATATCAATTAGGTACTTGTTTTTGAGGAATATATCTATTAACTTGAGAAGATAATGTGTAGGTCTGTTGAAGAAGTGTGTTTTATGCATTAAACTGGTAGAGTGTCCTGAGGCAGTCCCCACTTAAGTTTTGTTTGCTTGTTTTGCTGTAACGTCAGGTGACGAAGGCTGGGACCAGAGAATCAATGTCACTTTCATGATATCGATAGTGTTTTATACCATACTCTAGTCAGAAATCTATCAAATTGTAAGGAGTTACTTAGCATTCAAAGCATAGTTTGAAGGTGAATATCAATAGCGGGGTATATCCAAAATCGAGGGCCGAGTAAGCAAGCTTACTTGGTAAGTTGCTATTTCTAGTTCCTATTCCATCAAACACCTTTAAATTTCGCACCTTCCTGAAGCAAATCAATACAACAGTCGAAAATCTCAATCAAAATGTCTGATCTAATTGATCGCCTGAGGGCTCTGACAGGTCAAGAAGAAGTTTACCATATCCCTAATATGGAGGAAACGCAAGCTGAAGGGGAAGAAGATGCATTCGTGCTCCCGGAAGGATTCACAATTACAGCTCATCATGTCTACGAGGGTACTTCAGAAGAGGATAATACTCCACCTACTCGAGTATCAAAATCGAAGAAATCGAAGAAACGTAGTAATGCTCGTGAGCTGCAGTGGAAAGAAGATGCAGAGGAGGATGGCGCGGAGAATTTGACCGCTAGAATGCGAGCTGGTATGAATCAGAATCAGTATGGATCATCGGCGCCATTACTTTGTATGTTATATTGTATCATCTTTGTTGGGACATTCTAATTTTGAAGTGCAGATCCTGAGTTGGGTTCTAATGACTTTCCGGAGTACAAAACTCTAGAGTATGGTCAGCTTGCTGCGGCGGGTGAGAGTTTCTGTTCTTGGAAGACTGTAACTCAGTATCCTTACCAATATGTTGGCAACGGTAATAGACCGATGGTAAGAGACTCAATTGTTATCTCTTCAAGTCCCTTTGTCATATATATTGCGGGGTCGATCGTCGATCGTCCTATTGAGTAGATCATTCACTTGATCCTTCGATGATCTCCTCACGTTTCCAGCTCTTTAAACCCATATATATGCTGATGAGTCTTCAGGTCACGGATCGCTTTTTCAACAATGGTAAATGCTACTTTCAAACTTGGGATTTGTGAGTTAGTCTTGTTTGTCTCTCAACACTGACTTCTTTGATCTCAAAGTTGTTACAGCCAGTTGTCGGATCTCTACATGTATCCCCTGCTCTCACTCTGACACCAGATAGCTTTTACCTATACAGACTAAAAGAAGAATCAAATCAAAGCCCGATATTCCTCGTTCCTACTAAGCAAGTTGAATACTTCTTGGCTGTTATTAATAGATCACTTGGTATAAATCTTACCATTCCTCTCGGGTCCAAGGGGGCATTTGAGGCGGTATTTAATAGAGACGGCACTCCCTACCCCAGATATCTTGGTCGAGCATTGAACAAAAAAATGGCGGATGAGTTGAGGGAAAACGTTCCACCGCGATACTACAAGCTTGATGGCGAACCTCCCATCACAAAACCGCCCGTAGACACATCATTTGAGGCCTTTAGAGCCAAGGTCGCTGCTATGAATATAACCGCAAAGAATAAAAAAGCACAGAATAAGGAGAAGCAAAAAGTCGAGCGATTCGCCAAGCAACGATCTTGGAGAGGTTCTACTAAGCGTGTTCAGCGTTATCTCGGATTGCGAAAACGTTCAGAAAATGACACAGATCACACTACATCCGATGACAATACATTCTACGATCCGGAGGAGCGTACAAAGTTTATGATGGAAGACGCCGTCGTTTTCATCTGTATAGATGTTGAAGCATACGAACTAAACAACAACATCGTTACAGAGATTGGCATTGCTACTTTGGATGTTCTGGATATTGCTAACATGAAACCGGGTGTGCTTGGAAAGAATTGGAGAAAGGCTATCCGTGCAAGACATTTCCGCATCAAAGAACATATGCATCTTAATAACACAAAGCATGTTCAGGGATGTCCCGAAAAATTTGAGTTTGGGTATGTCTTCCTTTTTTCTTTGAAAAACCCTTGTGACTCCCAATATCATTTCATTCTGTATTTCAGCGTGAGGATTTGCACATTCCAGACTATAAGACACCAGGTTCCCTTCGAGGCCTATATAAAGGCAACTACTAACACTTATGCCTGAACAGCGAGAGCGAATTCATCTCTAGAGACGACGCACCTCATGTAGTTGGCACCTGTTTCAAATATCCTTTTTCTGACCCTTCTCCTTCTGTCGAACTCGCCGATAAGAAACGTAACATCATTCTCGTCGGCCACGATGTCGATGCTGATATTCGTTTCTTCCGTCAAATTGGCTATGAAATCAACAATCTCAATCTACATGAATGTTGTGATACCACTCTCATGTGGCGAGCTTTACAACGGGAACCAAATCCAACCAAGTTGTCTAATATCCTTGACCAGATTGGCGTTACAGCTTGGAATTTACATAATGCAGGTAATGATGCCGTATATACATTGCAAGCTATGTTGGGAATTGCTTGTAAGCATTTGGTAGATAGGAAGATTGAAAGAAAGGAGAAAGACAGGTTGAAGAAAGACAGGATTTCCGAGTATGTCAAGATATCAACTTCATTTTGCTCTCTAAGTTTTTATCATACCCCGATTCATTTAATTTAACCAGTATACTAACTTGTGGAACAAATAGAGCTGTCAAAGAAGCAGCAGAAATGGCCTATGAGCGTGAAGAAGGTTGGTCCTCTGATGGTAGTGATGGTGGTGATCGCATCACACCCGAGCAAGCAAATGCCAAGAAAGCAGCTGATGCTGCCATGAAAGCCGCGAGTAAAAGAAAAAAGGTGACAAATGTAAATGAGTTGTGGCGGGATGGCTCTAAACCAGCAACTGCTACTTCTTCTACTTCTTGGGCTGGTATTACTCAAGGCTCAAACCAGGCTTATCAAGGAGGATGGCGAACACCACCTGCTACTCCGACAAAGAATAAAAATATTAATACTGCTTCCGCTTCTGCTTCTAGAATCCAGCCAGCACTTATACCTGCAGATCAATTCGGATATTCGAGCGGATATAAAAGCCCAGTAATGAAGCTTAACGCATCAGCTAGCATCAATACTAGTCTTCAGTCTGCTGCTGATATCAAAACCAACTCCGAAGAGCAATCAACGTCTAATAACCACACAGGAGGTGATTGGAGTCGAGATCGGACAACTCACGATACAAAAGCAGTTTCCATCTCAACACCAACAGACCAAGTATCTACCTCTATCCCGGCCCCCATCAGCCAAGCATCCACATCTACATCTATATCTGCCACTAATACCGATATCAATATCACTGGCCTTGAAAAATCAATGCAAAATGCTACACTTGCCGAACTTCAAGAACAAGGCAGAATCCCCGCGGATCTTTCGGCAAATGCGCCAAAGAGGAATCGTAGGGTTAAGTGGTAGTTGGAGCTTTATTTTTTATTTTTGGCTTCGTCTCTAAGAAGATTCATGGGATCTTCTATCCTCTATCTTCTTTCTTCAGTTGACGATTGAGGCCGTTGAGAGATAGATACTTACTTAGTATTGCATGGATATTCATACCACACTTCGTTTTCTTTCTGCTTTTGCGGCTTTTTGTTTTTCTGTCTTGTTCTTTTCGTACTAGATTTCATCTACTTGAATGATGTGTGTGTGAACGCAGCGAAGAGCATTCCGTTGGGATCGCGTGGAGATTTCTTTTCATTCAGTTGCTTTTTGTGCATTGTGTATGCATGCATGGTATGGTCACCAGATGAGCGAGTGAGCGAGCACGCACGGATGGATGGATGGATTTCTTGAAATTCTATTACAGCGAGTAGTAAGTAGATTCATGAGCATTGTGTTGCGAGGATTACATAGTGTAGCATACATACATAGCATGGAATAAATCTTAAGATCTTAGATTTTATGGATTAATTGGGATGCTTTGTGTTGACATTCATCTTCATCATGACCAGGTCAACAGAGTGTAGAAGTATTCATATCTGAGAGTACAAAAGTTCATATCCATCCATTCCTATACAGGTAGGAGAGTGAAAATGCGGGATCTTATTCTCATATAACGGTAAAAGAGGAGATTTCAGATTGTGATATCAATCCACTGGTAATGTACAGTTAAACGCCATCCATCCATCCCTCCATCCATGCATCAATCAATCGATCAATCCATACATCTATATATTGATTCATCGAAGATTCGTGGATTCCATGGATTCATGAATTCATGAATAGAAATCACCTCGCCACCGCACTGCCAATATAATACATAAACGCCATTCGCTATTATGCTATTTTGAGGAGAATTGTGAAGAAGGTGCTTCGAGAATTTTGTGGGATATCGAGGAAGATATGGAGAGTGCTGTACAAGGAAGAATCCGGGGTTGGGTAGTTGAGTTGCTGATGATTGCTGGATTTTTTTCGATCGAGAGATGTAAAGCGGAAGAGATGTGACTGACTGGATAAGGTGTTGTAGATTGCAAGCTTTGTTCGCGTAGATAGATGGAGAGGATATGTAGAATTTCGTAGAAGTAATCGTAATAGTGGTGGAATTCGATCGGAACGAAATCGAATCATACCAAATCCCAGAAGAGTGCGCACGAATCGAGAGGAACACGGCCGACAAAGTAGAGGCAAAAATCGAAAGCATGCGAACAACTGAAGTATATGGAAGTCGAAAAATAGCAAATCGTCGACCTAATCTAAGGTGAATCTATCCAAACCCACGGGAACTATACGCGGTAATCAGGAAGATCAACCATTTTTCTCCAAAAACTCCTTTGCCTCGTTCACTTTGGTAGCTAGATATGGTGAGCCCCCCCGATCCGGATGATTCAACATCATCAGAGTACGATGATTCTTTCGTATGCGCTCTTTAGTAAGTTGTCGTTCGCTTTGAGAAAAACAGCCGATTAGTTTGGGCAGTACAAAATGGCAGAGAGGAATAGATTCCACATACCTAAGTTGTAAAATGAGCGCAGCTTCTCTGCGATTCATCTTCGGTTCAAATCCACCCTTGTAAAAAGCTTTCCCAAGTGCTCCTACGGCTTCTCCTCGTGATTTGCGAAATGCTACGAGGCCGGCGCGTCCCTGGTGAGGTCAGAATTGAGAAATTTATTTATTTATTTATTTCATAGGGTGTGGATAGTAGGGGAGAGATACTTACTAGAAATGCGGCGGCGGCAACTCCCGCGGTGATTGTAAGGATTGATGCCATTATTTATCTGGTTTTGGAGCTGGTTTTGGTGGTGTTGTGTCTATTGGAAGGGGGTCGTTGTTTTATATCTTCCTAATACTTATCTGATGGGTCAATTCATGTTGGCTCGGCCCGACATTTTTCCTTGCGTTGATGATGTGAAAATTTAGACACCAGCGGCCGCTTCGGATACTTACCAATGGATGTTTGTTGATGGAAAGCTGATTATTAAGCTAGTTTCTAATCAGATCATGCGTAGTCTTAGGTCGTCATTATCATAATCCTGAAGACTGAAACCACAACTGCGTTGAACTGTTCTTGTCCATTTTACTTGTGATATTTCCAAAATATAAATGAGGCTCCATACAGTGGTAATGTCATCAAAGCTTAATCAAGTGAAGTTAGCTCGGTAACTCAATGCATCTACTCAAGTAGATCCCTCACACTAGGAACTTATATCTGAATATATATGTAACCTACTCTAGGTACTTTATTCCTTGAAAAGCCAAGGGCAAGCGATGTATAGTTTCCAAGTTATTGAGTAGCAATAGTGGCTTTTTACAAAAATGAATCTGAGCATTCAAGAATTCACATCCGATCTTTTGAACTCATATTCTAAATAGTCTGTATTGCAGTTCGGCAATGAGGAGGGTGGAAGTCGTGTCTACACTACAGGATATCTCATTTCTAGTAATGAAATAGAGGCTAGGTATAAATTCATTCAAGTCTGTAGCCACGGATTGTATCTCGTATAGCTCTTTCTATCAAGAGGGGGTCATGAGTTTGATGTGACGTCACGCCGGCTTGATTGAAGTGGTAAGCGTGGGTACCGCGAAACCATACTTCATCTACTCAAGATTCGCTTGCTCTTATGCTTTTTGAGAGAAGTACCGTTTTTTGATCTAGCTTATGCATCCCACGGTTTAGGAACACAAATGTGTTTGAGATCTTGTCTGTTGGATCAGTTAACCATACTAGGTACTCAAAATCTTGAATGATACTCAAAGATCCACAAATGCCCGAAAATTCAAGCAAATTCGGGTGTTGCTACCTGAGACCATCCAGATTATTAGAATCCTGAGTGCAATTCTCTCCTATCTTTTTCAATTCTTTGTTCCTAGCGACTGTCCCTGGAGCTGACGGTATCCCATTCTCAATCTCTAGGTATAACTAGATATTGAGATTTTTTTAATTCTATCTACAATCATGCAATCTCTAGTTCATTCTTGTTGAGAAATACGCTTCCTTTTCAACTTTCTACCGCTGGCGTCATTTCAATATGTATTACTGTGGATCTTTAATCAATTAGCTTTAGCTACTCTTCTGATGATATCTTGTAGCTTCCATATTCAGAAGATATTCTTCCCGAAAAAAAATCCTTCTGAAGCTTTTAGTACTCATCTGCCATACTATTGGGTTTATTGAGACTAGAAAGAGCATCAGATTGAATTGATTGATTCTCTAGCTAAGCAGTTAAGCTGCGAGTATATATTCAAAAAATGAAGGAATAAGGTTAGATATTCAGCCTTCGGAATTAAAGTGCTTTGAAATCAAAATATTGAAAGCAAACAAACAGTATACCGAAAAGGAAAGAATGAATTAAAGGTTGAGTTTTGTTTGCTCCTTATATGCATCATGCAATATATATGCATATGCTGCCAAGATCCCAGGAGGTCAACACATACCCAAATCCAATGGTTCCGAACGCACATTTGTACTTGATTCTTTCAATAGGTTTTAACAATTGAGGGGCTTATTTTGAGTTGTAATGTTTCCTCCCCCGGGTTATGCTATTCCATCGTTTGTATCATGAATATTCCTCTCTTCCTTGTATGTTGATTTGTCTGCCTAGGGCCATTTGCCATTACTATTTCAGATCCTAAATCTCCGGTTCTATTAGCTTCTTTATAGGATATTCCAAAATGCGAGTGTGGTTCACTGAATATTAATTATTGTATTCTTTATATCTAACAGACGGAATGATTAATAACAATCTCCTCACTATTCATCCTGTAAATACAAGAAGATAGGAAATACCAAAATGATGAGATTTTTACCATCGCAATTTCCTGCACCCCTAACTGCTCTTCCCTCCGCATGCTCACTCCATGCTATTAAACCTTAGCGAACGTTCCTCAAGTATCCAATACGAGACATCCGGCATGCAAAATCCATTTCCAATCCCGCATTCTCTACTGTCATTAGATACCCACACCATGTGCATATGCTTCACCATCTATAAAGACCATCAAATCGCTACAGCAAGTCGCTTAAGCTCGATCCGCTCATCATCTACCTCGCTAATGCCATCAGGCGAGACTATATAGAAAGAGGCTAATGATAGAACTAGCATTCATCGAGCCGCCGCGACTTAATCTAAAATAACCACCTTCGAGCTGAAATATTGGGATACTATCTCTCTGACGATGTTGACATAGATATGCTGAAAGTTACAGCCCACGTTAGCTGTTATTCTAGAAGATGCGTATTAGTTTGATAGCGCGATTGAACAACCAGAAATCACAAGCGATGTTATCCATCATGTCACTAATAATCACTAATCCCAAAAGAATCCAATAAAACCAAATCTCGCTGGCTCTACCAGTGTTTTATCAGAGGAATCTCCATTAAATTCTAAATGAAGTAAAATGAATTTAAATCTTCAATCTATAATTACTAGAATTCTCAAAGATTTCTTATGGGATGTCTAATATGAACTCTTATTCTTATTCTTCTTCGTTTGTATTTGAGTAGGTAGTAAGAGATGATATCTAATTATTCAGTAAATCTTATTTAGGAAACTCAAATCTCTGTATTGAGTGTTACGAGTATCAATTCTTGGATTTATGATTTATCCACTGTTGATATTTGAGACAGAGATAATAAAGCTCCTTGACCTGAGTATGTATTACTTTAGTAGGAGGGTAATTGATAGTGTGAATATTTACTTGGATATCCTATAATAGGTAAGTACTCATCTTTGATTAAGTTTAATACCTCACTTCTCGGCCACCCCTAATCTCGGCCACTTTTTTTGTCACACTCAAGAATACTGGGTAAAGTATCTTGTATTAGAAAATACTAAGCTAAGGAGAAAAGAAGAAGGAAAACAAGAGTAGAGAGTTTTCCTATGATTAAATACAAACGGGGCATGCCACGTGACCCGGAGGTGTGAGGCGTCACATTTTTATATCAAAAATAACATTTTCCGTTTATTAATATTTCAATAATTAATAAATCAAATTGATTCAAATTTTAATTACAATATTTTTATATAAATATAAACAGATTCTGAGATTTTTAGATTTTTTATACTTTTATTAATTAATATTTTAAAGATTGAAATTTCAATTTTTGATTTATATAAGATTTATATATGTTACGAGGTTTGCCGTCTAGATCACGTGGAAGTGCTCTAGGCTCTCGAAGTGGTTTATGACTAGGCGTCAGGCAGGGACTTAAGTAATGACAATGATGCAATTCGTAACTAATAGTAGAGTATACTAAATGATTGATCTTGAGCACGAAGCTCCATACAAAGGAAATCCATCTTGATTATATAGACCTTCATGCTTCTATGATCACCAGTGATCACCTATACCGTGACCCTTAGTGATCCTTCATGATCACCAGCGATCACTTATACCGTGATCCTTAGTGATCCTTAATGATCACTACTGATCACTTTTGATCACGTGCATTGGTCATGTGATGGTAGTTGTGTAGCCCGTCGTAACAGTCTACAAGTAAATTATAATCCAGAGAATTTCTTGAGAGATATTCTTATAGTAATCTAATCTAAGATTATGGGAAAAGAGAGAGTAATTAGATAATAGAAAAAGAAAGATGAATGAATATATAAGATAATTATTAGAATAATTATTTCTTTATATCATCATTACCATTATCATCACCAAAAATCATTGAAGCAACTCAAAATTCTTAAGATTGAACAAGGCAAGCTAGTAATTTAATATCAATTTTCAAATATGTTCTTTCACTACACAGTAGACAGAAAGAAACATAAAAGAAAAGAAGCTAAAGAAATTTTGCTCGAGAAAAATCCTTGGTTCTTTTTGAAACACCATCCATATCTTTGCTTTGAACTCCAGATCCAAAGAAGCCACCGGTTCATTTATCTTCCTCCACTGCATAATCATATCTCATCAAATGTTGACGGTAGCAAGATGCCCGCTCTTTTAAGTGTTCCAGCAGTTTAAAGACTTCCTTTCCTTGGGAAACTAACTCCTTCGACTGCTGCATTATCAACGAACCAACTACACCTCTCTCTAGCCCCTTCATTAACCAATGCACAAGGTAATCCATTTCCTCCTTCAAAAATTGCCTTCATGATCTCCTTCTTTCCACCTCCTGTTGCGACGAAAGCTATCTTAACTCCATGGGTAACAACCGGTAATGTAAGTGTGATTCTCTTTGGCGGTGGTTTCGGACTATCTTCGATCGGCGCAACCCAAGCATCTGTCTCTCTCAATAATGCATGACCGGGAAACAAACTACACGTATGACCATCCGGACCACATCCCAAGAGCAACAGATCGAAAATCGGTAATTTGACCGAATCTCTCGAAGCAAAACTGCGCACGAGAAGTTGTTCATATTGATCTGCCAATTCCTGTACATCATCCAAATGCGCCGTATCGATTGGATGAACGGTAGGTTTTCCCAACTCAGCGGGAATCTTATCGAGTAATTCGCTCTTTAATAATGCGTAATTAGAATCTTCATGATCGAGAGGAACGGCTCTTTCGTCTGCGAAAAAGATTTCCCATTTGGAGAAATGGATAGTATCTTCCGGACCATGTGATGGGGCGAGGAGAGCCGCAGCGAGGGTTTTGGGTAGAGAACCTCCAGATACGGCGATTTTGAAGGCGTCATGACGTGCAAGTCCGGCGCTTTGTGCTTGTACGATGTATTGGCGTAGAGTTGTGGCGAGGGTATCGACGGATGGGAAGGCGAAGAGGTTAGGTTGTGAGCCAACCATGTTTGCGACGGTTTTAGATTTTTGTGTGGACGGGTGAGTGGGAGGTATCGTGAGTTGTGTGGATGGACGGATGGATGGATGTAGTATGTGTGAGTGGCCTTTTTCCTATTTTTAAAAAATAAGACTTATGGATTTGGAAGGTTGGGAATTGTGGGTGATGCGAGCGGAGTAGAGAAGGTTTTGATTTTGATGGTGGGGGTTTTGATGGGTTGTCGATAAGTGGAATTTTTTTCCTTCTATCTGAAAGCGGCGCATTAGATTTGCTTGCAACAATTTATTTGACGATGACGATAGTTTATTAACGATGATTGCTGATGCTGGGATAAGCAAACAAAGGGTTTTATTTGAAAATAAGTAAAATTAAATATAATAGGGATGATTTTATAAGAAACCCTTCTCCTTGTGTAAAAAAATTAATAATGATCTGTAATTTTTACTTACTTTAATTGAACTCAATAATATGAATTAGACAATGAACTATTATCGTTCGTTGTCGAGAATTGTGAAATTTGTTTGAAGTGAATGAGAGTGAGGTGAGAGTGAGTGAGTGATCGTCAAGGTTTTAATCGGAAATTACTTTCATGTGTTTCAAGCCCCGCAGGATGACGCTGTTTTCAATTCGATGAAGAGATAAGAAAATGTGCTTATCTCATCAATTAGTCAGCAATGGATTTGGAAATGGAGTTGTACTGAGTGGTAAATGGAATGGAAACATCGGTAGCGGAGTCAGGAAACAAATCAAAATCAGACCCGACTTTTCAAACTTTGTCTGAGTCTGAAGTCAAGGGGAGTGAAGGGGTTGAATGGAAGAGAGTGGAAGTGAATAGAATAGAATGGAATGGGATTGACTTGGGGTCCAGAAATCAAATTGGGAAAGAGGAAGATTCAATCTATATATCTACTATCTACTACTAATCTACTACTAGTTAACTCTGTAATATCTAACATCTTCAGCCAAGTACTCACTCACATTCTCCTATCCGTATTTATCTCAAGGCAAAAGAAGGCATCCAAAACACACGGGAGAAATAGATACTGTGGCACCAATGTCTTCACCTGTCCTTCATAACCTCCAGCAGAAAATCCAACGCCTTGAAGATCTGTGGCACATACAATCCCCTTTAATCTGCAAGCCTATCCAACTATAGAAACTTTCTCTCTCCTTTTGTATCTTGTGCCGTTCAGCTATCTATCTATCGCCCGAGAAGTGGTATGTACTTCACTATTACCTAGGTACTTGTTTCACCGATATTTGTTTATCAAAGGTGTTGTGCATCTCATCGTTGCCCAATTTGTTAGGTCCACTCATTTAAAGCCCAGCTGGGCATTCACTCAATTCATGCATGACGGATCTTGAGTGTGTGAGGTTGAAACGGCTCCTTTCTTACGACGGCTTTTTGCCTTGCAATCTCCTCTTTCTACGGAGTAATAAATGTCTGTGGTCAACCGATACTTTTTGGCTGATTCAACTCACCGAAATATGTGTATGTTGTACCAGCTAGGGATTCAACAGCCAATTGGTCAACATTTCCACTTTAGAAATATACTCGCTCATTATCAAAGACTTCTCTTACGCGGGTCTACCCCTCCATCGTCAAAAATATTGCTCTGGTGGGGTGAATTTGTGGTCTTTTGCAACAATGTAGATGCTGCTAGATAGAGTAATACACACAGATCCGATTGTCCCGCGTAAAAAGGAGAGCTTGACAGATCTTTAACTTGACCTTATCTTCTCCTAAATCATTGCAGAAATTCAGATGTGAGAAGTGATTGCCCTACATCCCGTTGATCCATCTCATCGGCATTCTCCTTATCAAATTTCTTGTGTTTCCCGCTGTGATCCGTTCGCCCTACGAGGCTATCCAAAGAGAAATTCCACTGCCGCACTTGGCGGTTCGTCATACTTGAACCTATCAGGTACCGCCAATTGATCGTCCATGCTACTTCACGTGCTCTTGGCGGGGTCATTGATTTCTCGGATCTTCTCCGGTTCTCCGATAGCTCCTGTACCTGAGGTTACCATAGATTTTGAGTCAAGAAATCAACTACCATTGGCTTTCGCGCATTTAATTCAATTCTGCACAAAGATACCCTTTCATATCTGCCTACCTCTACTATGGCTTCTCCAAAATATCTTACCGGCGATCAATCTGCCATAAATGATTTTATTGATCAATTCGACGTGCGTTGAGTCAGTTCTACAACGGCTTCAGGGCTTCAACATTGTAGGGCAACGCTGACTTTCTTCGCTCTTCAGGTCTTCCTATTTGATTGCGATGGTATATGCCATGATTATAATCCACAATAACGATATGCTAATGGACAAAAGGTGTTCTTTGGTCCGGGGATCATCTCTTCGAAGGGACCGTCGAGACTTTGGAATTGTTGAGATCAAAAGGTTAACTTGGAAACTCTGTTGGTTGGATGATTACTGATGATAAATATTTCCAGGCAAGAAGATTGTCTTTGTAACGAATAACTCGACGAAATCGAGAGCCGAATATCAGAAAAAACTTACTACTCTTGGTATACCAAGTAATGTTGATGAAATTTTCGGTTCGGCCTACTCTTCCGCAATTTACATATCTCGAATCCTCAAACTTCCAGCACCCAAAAATAAGGTCTTCGTTCTAGGTGAAACTGGTATTGAAACAGAGTTGAAGACAGAAGGTGTGGAGTATATCGGAGGAACAGATCCAGCTTATCGTCGCGACATTACCCCAGAGGATTATAAAGGGATCGCAGATGGTTCATTACTCGATGATAATGTTGGTGTAGTTTTGGCTGGCTTGGACTTTCATATCAATTATCTCAAGCTATGCCATGCTTACCATTATCTTCGTCGAGGCGCGGTATTTCTGGCCACGAATACTGACAGTACTTTACCATCAAACCATACCTTCTTTCCTGGAGCTGGATCTATATCAATCCCATTGATCAATATGATAGGAAAAGAGCCAACAGCATTAGGCAAACCAAATCAAGCAATGATGGATTCTATTGAAGGTAAATTTCAATTTGATCGTAAGAAGACATGTATGGTTGGCGATCGACTGAATACAGATATCAAGTTCGGCATTGAGGGTAAACTGGGAGGTACCCTAGCTGTATTGACTGGAGTGTCTAAGAAAGATGAATGGGAGGCCGATAATGCTCCTGTAGTACCTGCGTACTATGTTGATAAACTAAGTGATCTGAGGGGTTGAGCGGGACAAGGGAACGGACGGGGCCGAAGGGCGAAGGGCAAAGGGTGGACGGTGGAGCGTGGAGGGGCAGAGACGTGCAACACAACATGGAAGTATGACCGGTTCCCTAGGCTATAGAAGATGGATGTGAGAGCCGTTCGATGGAAGGTTAAAGTACAATGAGTGTGAAATGCCGGTAGAAAAGTATCGGTGTTAAGGGGTATCATGGATATTCACGGAACCACGTAGCAGCACTTGGTCACTTGGTGGTAGATCTAGCCCCTCTATTAGGCGCAATGAAAAGTAAACTAAATTCCGAGCGATTGCACCAACGTTTCCCATGAAACGGTATGGGTAGTCTTGATCGAGAGCAGCCTTTCATCGTAACTTTTCCCTTTTCAAACAATATTGAAAGATCTTACTTGATTTTACTTGGTTTTACTCGAGTGAAAACAATCTTGTGGCTAAGGATGGCTTTTCAGATGGTAAGGATGGCACCTCTTTATGTCTACATACATATGATAGAATTGGCAGTTTCTCCGTATAGCATATCTGAGTTGAGACTTTCGTTACACCAGTAGCCAGTAAGATGCAACACTTGTAATTATGACGGTATATCATTTTAAAACGCATACTAGCGTCAATCGCAACAGACAAGTTACGAATACTATGAAGACTGTTTTTGTCAAATATCTCAATTTATAATTGGATAATATTCACCGGAGCAAAAACTCCGGAATTTTTGGGTAACATTTGAATAAAACCCTTATTTCGGTAATGCCACTAATAATTTAGGAGGGGCAACAGGGCTAATCTCCTTCCCTGTAGGACCCCTACTCTCATTCTCGTACCTATGCAAAATCCCTGAAAATCCGAAATCCCTATGCAAACACCCCCACCATGTCTCCTTCTCCCGCACCGCAATATAGTAAGAAAAAAAGTTCCTTGGTGCGACCTTTTAACTTGGATACACCACTCGCATACTTCTTTCATCCAAAGGATCATGTTCAAAGCACCATGGATAGAGACAGCGACTTGGAGGATGATACCTCCATCTTTGTGGGGAGACGACATGAGCTAACTGAGAGATTGGAGGAGGACCCTTACGATTTACTCCTTTACCTCGAACGAGCCGGTGTCTATAGCGATTTGGGATATCCCGATCTGGCCGCGGGTGATAGTTATCGCGCTCTGTTGTTATGCGATGAATTGAAGGATGAGAGTTTTGAATATCATGAACAGGCTCTGGAGGCGTTTAAATCTCGACTCGCGGAAGGCTTTTCGGACGATATTTTAAAGAGACATGTTCAGCGATCCTTAGATGCAAGCGATGATACCATTGAGGGCAAGGGAATTCAAAAGGTGGATGTTGATCGCGTGGATGAAGAAGTTTATATGCGAATTGCAGATAAGGCTGCTTTGCGATGTTATCAAAATCTCTCTTTGAGTCTTCTATTATGCGGTTGCTTGAAGAGTGCTTATGATTTTTGCAGCAGAGGATTAAAGGTTGCGCCGGATGATGAGGAATTGAATCAAGTGAAGGATTATATTTTCAATATGGCGAAGAGGAGGTTAAAGACTGATAAGGTGGATATTTCTGAGTTACCCGATCAGGGGTTGGTACGACGCGAAATATATCCTTGGAATAACCACGAACCGAATCGTTTCTCGAAAGAATCTCTCGACTTTTTAAATCAGGAATTACAAGCTATATCTTCGAAAGTGGAGGTTAGGGCCGTCGAATTACCTACACTTGTCGAAGCTGCTATTGTTCAGGATGAGGATGGTACTATACCAACGAACAAGCAATTGGGACTTTTCGCAACAGATGATATTCACCCTGGCGAAACGGTTCTGGAAGAAGTTTCCGTTTTGACTGTTAATAATCGTCTGAAGGATGCACTTTGCGATGCTTGCAGTACACCTTTACCACCGTTGGGTAAAAGTAGCACGGTAGTAGGATGTCCTGATTGCTATGACATCATGTTCTGCAACGAGACCTGTCTCAATCTCGCATTAGAAACCTATCACCCCGCCATATGCGAAAAAGACGTCGACAACATCTCCAAAGATCCAGATCCTAAAGAATCTCCTAATGCTCTCTATCTTTTACTTCTCGCTCGTGCATTGGCCATGTCAGCAACTCAAGAAGTACATCCTCTCGACCTCAAAGAAGTAAAATTCATCTGGGGTGATTTTCTCGATTCGGCTTCGAATGCAGTCCCTATTTCCTCAAGATCAGAACCTCCACCAGTTTGGACTCTCCCGTTTTCTTTCTCAAGCAATATCTCCACACCTCTTCATATCCTCGAAAAAATGGACATAGATATTTTTGCCGAGCTCGCTTCATATGATCTCTGGATCCTGAATACTCTCTATAGTAAATTCCGTGGTACGGCATCGGCGAGAGTTAATACAACGACAGGGATGCCCGAAGTGGCGGCTGTCCATTCAATGTGGTGTTTGGCAAATCATAATTGTGATCCAAATGTACAGTGGGAATGGGGAGGAAGAATGAAATTGTGGTGTAGAGAGAAAAGGATCAGTGGGAAAGGAGGTGTAAAAAAGGGAGAAGAGATTTGGAATCATTATTGCGATATTGAATTACCGGTTAAGGAGAGGAGGGAATGGGCGGAGGGGAGTCTGGGTGGTTGGTGTATGTGTGAGAGATGTAGGAGAGAGGCGGGGGAAATTGGTGATGAAGAGGGGGAAAGGGTTAATGGATACGCGGATTTAGATGAGGATTCAATTACTCCTACTGGTGCAGAGACGGCTGGAGAACGTATAGTAAATGGATATGTAGATGGGGAAACGACATCGCAGGAGAAAGATAATTCACTGCCAAATGGTATCTGAGAATTAGAATTTAGACATAGCCGGTTGGTAACCGGTAGGTAGGTAGTTGAATAAACGAGGATTTGGATAGCTGCTTTGGCTGGGTAAAATTTTACTTTTTATTTTTATTTTATGTGTAAAGATAAAGAAAGTTGGGATAAAGTTAGAGGGAATTATATGCGGTTTTTACCTCGAAGGTTTTTTCAAATATAGTTTGTGTATGGTTTGAGAGATTGGTTTTGTTGTTGGGTTGTTTGATTGGGGTTTGATTTGTGTTTTTGGTGCATTTGGAGGAATTGAGGGATTGAGAGGTGAGAGTTTAAAGGGTAAATTAGAGTGAAAAGTTAGTGCTAATTAATATGCAAAAGATAAAAGGTATGAATTAGGATTCGAATCAGGATTCAAATACGAGCAAAAGAAAGAAAAAGAAGAGTACAAGGAAAAAGGAAAAGAAGTCGTAATTATTTATTTATTTACATAAGCACATTTCTTCTCTTCAGAGCTAAGTGGAGACTGATAATATGCGTCTTACAAACGCACTTGGGAGTCGAGGAAATGAGCATGTGAGGTATTTATAATTATTGAATGGTTCTGGAAATAGATTCAGAGTAGAAAAATCATGAGATGCGAATTCGAGGATATTACTATTACTAGGTATTAAGACTACAATTAAGTACAGTCATTTTGGTATAAGAATGAGAATGAGAATGAGAATGAGAATGATGGGTATGATGTGGGATATGATTAGATTTCAGTACTGATAATTGTAAGATCTTAGGTATGTTTGGGATTTGTTATTACTTATTACTACTATTTTTATTTGATAATCTTAAATTATTATTTTATTTTATTTGTTTGGAAAGTTGTTTTATAGTCTGAGTGATGATGGGGTTATAAGTAGATGAATGAATGGTGGTGGAGTGTGGTTGTAAATGTGTTTTTGGTATGAGAAGTATATATGTTTGGACAATGAAATAAAATATAGCTACTGCACAGTCGCATGGGCTTTTGATGATGATTATTGTGTGATGGTATGGTTTGGTTAGATTTGGTTGTGGATCTGATTTTGGGAGTCAAATATCACTACTAGGCAGGTACTGATGTAGTATAAGTATGTATGAACTATGAGTTCTAGTTATTTGTCCATACACTTTAGGTTATACCCTTAGCGACGGTATAATTTGATGCAGTGTTGTGACTTGGAAATAGATTTGTGTGTATTTAGATCTTAACGATAAGTATAGTTTTGAGCTTTAGGGTTAATATTGATCTTATTGGTAGTTATGTTGACTTCGTGCGATGAGACTGGAGGGTTGAAAATGACGAGGTGGAGAGTGATAGTGAAGGAGTGAATGGGGAATTAGATTAGTCGAAAACAATGGATAAGTGGAAAAGGTTGATGAGCATTGCTAACGACTGTGATGAAGAACATCAATATGTTGGAAGACTTATTACTAGCTAACCTTATAGATATTCAAGTTGGAATTGGACAGTTCCGCAATATAAACCTACATGTTCGAATAAAATTGAGAAGATATACTTAGTATTCGAGTAGTTCAATTACCATCTTAATGGTTTAAACATTCCACCCGAAATCAACAATGCTAAACAAATTCGACTTGGCCAACGCTTATGATATCTCCAATCCGTATCATATTTTTAATAGCTTGGAAACTCTTCCAAAATATCACCCAATGAAAATGCAATAAATTGTTCTAAAACACATGTCCGAGTAATACTGGGACATGTATAAAATAACGCTATGTTAAAGCTAGCGCTCGAGTATAAACAGGACGTTGAAAAGAGATTCGGCTAAGTCGGAATCTATTCGGTATCTATGCTCCGCCGCGGGGTAATGATCTAATCTCTCCTTCTCTACATAATCAATCAATAACATCAAATCTCAAGAAATAAACAAGTTGACGCATAATACTTTGAATACATACATATTTTTGATGACAATGGCTTCCACTTTCTCCCCGAAAAAGATTATACTTAGCGGAACTCCAAGAGAGGTAAATCCTGTTTCTCCATACAGACCAGACCCGCCCCACTTTCCAATAACAACATCTCACACACCCTAGATAGGACATCAACATGGCAGACATCTATCATCCGAGATCAAAAATCAGATGAAGATATATGATGCCATGTTCCAAACCACATCCGCATTATCATGGTCCCAACTCCTCCCCAAAATCGCACGCGAATTCCAAACTACAATCCGTAAACTAACACCAGATATCTATGAGGAAATGCTTGGCATTGCTGAGGGTGCGGATGTTGATATTTTGGATATTGTAGTGCTTAATTGTAGGAGTGAGATTGCTTTGGGGAGATTTACTGATGGGTGTACGAGTTTGGGATGGAAGATGCAGGGTAAAGAGGATGGGAAGGTTGTGTTGGCTCAGAATTGGGATTGGACTGAGAATGTTATGAAGAATTTGGCGATGGTTGAAATAGAAAGGATAGGGAAAGAGAAGATTTGGATGGTCACTGAGGTATGGGTTCATGTTTTCATGCTTTCTATCTTTGTATCTCTTAATCATGCTAGATGATGAGGTGAAGTAACCAACAACACAGGCTGGCATCGTGGGTAAAATTGGTTTTAACTCAGCCGGCGTCGGTGTATGTCTCAACGCTATCAGGGCGAGTCCAACGGATACCTCGAAGCTTCCAATCCATATTGCACTGCGCATCTGTCTAGAAAGTAGCAGTGTAGATAATGCTCTAGCTACGATTGACAAACTAGGTGGTGTGGCATCGAGTCAACACATCCTGATAGCCAATAAGAGTAAAGTGTTAAGTATGGAACTTTCACCTGCGGGAAATTGCTTTTTGGAGCCATGTGATGATGGTTTCGTGGCCCATACAAATCATTTCATCAAGAATGATTTGGTAACGAAGCCATTTTGGCTTGAGGGAAGTCCAGTGAGACTTGAAAGGGCCAACTTACTGGCTAGCGAGCTAATTGGCGATTTGAAAAATGGATTGGAAATAAAAGAAGGGGTTGGAGAAATGTTGAGGCGAAGAATCTTCTCAGATACATTTAATACTCCGCAAGCGATTTGCTGTCAAGAGGATCCAAGTCTACCAAAGGAGACGAGAAATAGCACGCTATTTAACATAGTAATGGAACTAGGGGCTGGAAATCCATCTGCGGAAGTTGTGTTTGGGAAACCGGGAATGACTGAAGGAGAGGTATTGAGAATGCCATGGACTTGATTTTTTTTCGTCATTGGAGTGTGGTTATTAAACACCAGGTATTTTGGACTAAGAAATGACGGGATACAGCTTTTTGAGGGTCAAGGATGAAGCATAGTTAATCTATTGATTATCAGCAGTTAGACTAGTGAAGCAGCCTACAGGAATATCGGTTAATTTAAATGTTGTATTTGCATCCTCTTCACCCTTTATTTTGATCTTCGTTAAACTATCTTGCTTGCTAATGCACCTATTCTCAAATTCAAAGAGTTTTACCATCTAACTACTTTGCATCTGTTCCTAAGCTTAACCTCGTTGACTGCTTAAAAGTCCAGCCACACATCGTAGAATCAGAGTACGGCAAGAAAGTCTCCGAAAATTTAAAGTTTTTTGTAAGGCTAAAAAGCCTCGAATCTGGTGATCTATGTGCTGGTGTGCTATTACCCCAAAACTTTAGTTAAGAAGTGTCAACATCATCAATATTAAAAATGTAATAAATTCCATAAATGCCATAAATGCACACATATCAAATATCCAACAATTTAGCTGCTAAAAAAATATTGAAAATAATGACCGATAGGTCCTGTAATGCTGAGTACGTGCCCCCCTCGGGATACAAACAAGTTGAGAAGTTCAAGCTCTCTGGGATAGGAATGTTATAGAATCAATAGTGGTGAGCAGTGTCCGAAGGTGCGGTTTAGTTTTCGTTCATATTAGGACTGTTGAGATTTTAGATCAATGCTATATTGCTGGTTTATTTCATGGAAAGTATTACCTACTAGATAGTTAGGTAGTCACAGTTTGCCTGTTCACTAATTACTAGGTAGTTCGGAATACTGAATGAGTATTAGGATGGCAGGATGGTAGGATGGTAGGGTGTTGATATGATTTGAATAATGAATATCTGGTTATTTGAATCATTGATTCTAGGAAGATATCCAAACTATTTTCGGTGCTTTGGATAAACTTTTCGAATTGAAAACTCTTATACCGAATTTGCTGATTCGGATTATTGAATCGATTGGCTAAGTGTGAACGCTTCTATTCGTTAATATTAACCTTATGATCTTACAAGATTATTCTTTCCTATTCTACTAAAAGGGCGTAGATATTGATACTCCTAATTAATTTCCTTGTTTGAGTCGCTAGGAAGAGCAATGGAGAAGGAGCTCTATGTTCTATTTGTCACAAGATATTATACAGATTGTAGATGATAAAGGAGGGCAAATATTTGATATTGGGTCCTTCTAGAAATATAATTTTTGTGAAGTGAAAGCAAAGAATTGTACAAATCTAGCATAGAGAAGGGGAATATGAGCTAAATTATTGCTATAGATCCTTTATTGTAATGAGCTACTAGCCTGTGGGACCTTCTTCTCTAGATGACCGACACTCGCAGACCGGAACACCAGAACATAATCTGGCATCCTCGCGAGAGGTTCTTTGCAAGTGTGGTGGTGTGAGTTGCCTTTATGGACTCGATTCCTTTGTATTTTTCCTTTCTCCCTCAGTTTCTATATTCGAGAAGGCGCCGGCACCAGAAAGTAAAAATCTCAGCTAGATCGTCTTCCGTAATAAAATGTACCAAAAGAAGTAGGGTCCTCCTGCCTGTTTTTGTCAGTACGTTTTATGTGACCGGAAGAAAGTGAACTTTGAGCATGGTCCTTGAAGAATATAAAACGGAAAGGAATGGTAGGGAATTAGTGACGATGAAGTGAAGAAAAGTATTCTTACCTGATGCAAAATATTCGGTCACTCTTTGCTGGTGAGGACTATCGTACAAACCATCCCCGCCTATGCTACCATCGATGCCAAAGCCAGCACAACAATTTCCATTAGTTGAATAGGGTTTCTACCTGGTTTTGATGGAGACCCAGTGGACGAGCCATAGGTGCGATGGTACTGGCAATGGTGATTGATAAACAGAGGAGGAACAATCATATTGATGACCAGACAGGAGGCCAATCTGTATTATTGTATGCTACTTGGCCCATTTACTGGAAAGAGCTCATCACAACCCGTAGACCGTTCTTTTTCGCACTTTGTTACTTTCCGATGGTTGAACCTTTGATTGGGTGCCGAGACTATAGGAAGTGAGGCCGGTATTAACCATTATGCTTCTAAGCATATGGATGCCCTAGATCGTGGGCTCAGGAAAGTGAAGAGCCATGCCATCCATACGACGTTGACTTGCAATGGTATAGGCTGCTTTTGCTTTCTTGCTTTGGTGGTCTTCTTAGGAGAGCTGTAGTTTTGCGTCTTTGTGACGCCCTCGCCGAGAGACGAAAAGCGAGGCAGTCATGGTCTGCAGATGATACCTCTCTTTGCGTGAAGTTTGGAAGCATCTCTGCTGACGGATTTGATTTACTGGCCCAGTTGCTGGAAAGTGGTCGGATAAAGGCATTGCTTCGACTGTCGAGCGGACCTTGTCGAGACATGGACCCTTGAAGGGGCAATAGCTGGAAGGCGGTAAGAAGGATATTCGACTGGACAGAAAAGAGAAAGTCTACCTACTGGTATCACAATCTGCTAGTTTTGGTTGATTGTGTGCGCTGGCTGAGTAGGATTACTCTGCCCGTGTGATACACGGTGTCGATTAACTGATTGCTGAGAAAATTGAAATTAGTCTAAGAATTTAGCGGCCAATATTTGCTTCGTAAGCTTTCATGTTAGCTTACCTCCACATAGTTTATCCTGCGCAGAAGTTGCACAACTTGGCCCGTCGCTTGAAAGACCTAGAGCCTTTTTCAAGAGAGGAACTTGATTGAACACTATCCGATGGGGAGTCGATTAGCCATTTGTGAACTTCGTCCAAGACCGATCTCTAATAGTGCGACGGGCAGAGTATGATTTGAGCAACTACTTACATTGGATCTATACTGACAGTGTGGAGAGAAGTTCGATGGCGAGGGGAGGAAAGTAGATTGCAAAAGATAGTCTCGACAGCTTTAAATCGATGGGAGAACCTTAGTGGAAGCAACGTGTTGATATTGAGAAGACTTCGAAGTATTAGATATGTTGTGAGGTATCTTGCTCATGATTTTGTGGTTGTGATGGAGAAGGAAAGGAGATCAGAACTTGAGGAAATGATTATGCTCTGGGGAGACCTCAGATCGAGATTTGAGGTATCTGTGAGATGGGAACCAAGCAATAACAATGGAAATTAGGGTTCGCTTATGCTTTAAAAACACTAGGAGTTGGTATTTTGGCGCGGTTGAGAATCTGGCACTCCCTGGGACTCCCTAGAATCTTCAGCAACTTTGTTAGTCGTCCATATTTTCTTTCAAATTTAATGGTACAATGAAAACTGGTATAGAACATTATCTCATTTATTTTTTGAGTGTTTGTGATTTTTAAATGTTGTATTAGACTTTCTCCGGAGAAACAATAGTACTGAGGAGATCTCTGTTAAGCACACAGAAACTTCATCAGGGGGCAGGGAATTCTTGCACTACTTATCTGTTTCAACCATTCAATTTCGAAAGAAATTGGAACTTAATTCATCTTGTAAGTATATTTCTTTTTATTCTTGAGATACACTTTGTCTTAGTCAAATATCTTTCACACTTTCTTACATATCTATAGTATTGACAATCTCTTTATTTGGCAACTCAGACACATGCGACACAAAAACTCCAGGTTTCTCAAGAGGCACATCAATAGTATGAGCAATTATACTGCCGACCGTTCCAATTTACAGTCGTCAATGGTATCTGCCTTCAAGATACCATGCCTGAAGCAGCTCGAAGTTCTTAGTGCAAGAAGAAGAGAAAGCTGGTCAAACCGATTACACACATAGGCTTTTTAACTGCCCATGTGTCTACCTCGAGAAGGCCATTCAAGAAATGAATGGCGTTGAGTATGATTTTAAGTCTTACCAATATCCATATTCCTGATCTCAAGCTAATGTGAATATAGATTCGATGATCGTACTATTTGCACCGCCGTCCTATCTGATCACAAAGGAATTGGCCCCTCCCTCGTGTAAAGATTCACATTCCGGCTATCGCAGCAATAGGGGGGGCGTCAGAGACACGTCTCTCGAGAAACTCCTTAGCCGCAATGGAATGCTGCAGTCGGTTGCAAAGTATCACCGACTCAAGAGGAGTACAATTGTGCCAAGGCAACCAATCCCATCTTATTCTAAAATTATCAACTGCAAAAATAGCATTGCTTGATAATCTGACCCGCCACTTCACCAGCATCAACACTGGGAAAGTTTGGATGCACGATACAAATCTCACTATGACAGAACATCAATTTAGACAGAACTAGCTCGCGGAAAAACCGATTATACACATAAGATTTACCACAGGAAAGAGTATTTGGTCCTATTCATCGGTGATGCTTGGCAGAACAAGGCAAGATTGCTCGAGGAGAATAAGCTCTCTTAGATTCGGCAACAAACACGGGAGCTCAATTTGAGCGACCTATGGGATCTATCGACTGGAAGGTGGCTTGCCTTGAGTCATACATATGCGGAGGTAGTGGAGGTGATCGTTGAAGATTTACGGAATCCGGGAATGAACGCGAGAGTTAACGAAGTTATGACATCCTGGAAGACCGATTTATTATCAGACCTCAAAACTCAGACCGACAAGCATGATATTGAAGAAATTGTGACTTTATATCATGATACATTCAACAATATGTCCTTCTATGGTGCACTCGCACATGATCGACGTAAAGTCCGATGGGAGATACTTCCCGGCGGATAAGAGGATGGACCCAGGATACGCAGCAGCATATGTGTGGTGGAAAAGCAGAGAGGGATATGAATCATACGATGAAGGAGAACAGGAACCTGGTGCCTTTGATGAAATAGAACCTATCTCGATATCAATGATGATATTGTCAATCACGATGAAATGAGCAAGGTTGACATGCCTGTCCTTGCTTGCATGAGGGAGGAGATCAGAGCCATCATCGAAATATGGCGACGAACGGATATTGCCAGCAGACAGGAGCGTTTGAGAAGCTACCCTGAGACTTTGCTGCATGAGACGATTCATGCCTTCCTGAACATTTACACCTGCTTATGCTCTAAGTGTTCCCATGATATACCAAGAACTATCCGACATACTGGACATGGTCTGGCATGGCATAAAATCGCCGACAACATTGAAAGCTTTGTGAAATACAAATTGAATCTGGAGTTGGACCTGGAAAGATGGGCGTGTCTAGCTATAGAGATACAGGTCAGTAGCTTAGACATGCGTGATTAGATCGCAGTCTATCTTATGGAAGGATTAAATCTTGGGTCTATTCATATTAGTACTATTACTGAGGGGCAGACATATCGCTCAATAGATCTTGATAATATCGGAACGGATCACCGATATATATTGATAATGAGGATTTGTTTACTGAATTTAGTTCTTGCTATACTCGACTTTTGCAGATGCATTACTTCTTGGCATCACTTTTCATGCCAGCCTGTATCCATTCTCTGTTCTTTTCAGCTGCAGCCTTCATCTTCGCTTCACGTTCAGGGTCTTTCTTCAGTGCTCCGATATTGTGTGGTTCTGGTACGTGGCGCCCTTTCTCTACTGCTGGTCTCTTCTCCATTCTCTCGTCCCATGCCTTCAAAGCTGGAAATTCTTCAATGTCAACTCCACAATAAAACGCCGCAGTTACCCACCCCCAGTGAGCAATGTCAGCGATTGTACATCTGTCACCAACCACTAGGATATTTTGTTAGTAGCCGTCCCACGAACGATGAGATGGGAACACATCGAGCTGAATTAAGCAACGAGTCATAAAACATGCCATATGTGCGTTGGTCCTGAGAAAAGAGTCATGGAAAGATTATACTTACAATAACCAGAGGTGGACTTTTCGAGATGAGTATTGAGGACGGAATACAAACGCCTGGTCTCATTTAAGTAGCGATTGATACCATACTCAATCTTCTCAGGAGCATATTTGCTGAAGTGATTGGCTTGGCCTTGCATAGGACCCACTCCAGCGTTAAGGAAGAAGAGCTATTTATCATGTTAGTTGATTTCGATGATTTGGATCCAGGAGCAACGAATGACCTACCCAGTTGTTGACTTCATAGTACTCTCTTGTCCCTCTAGGATATGAGATCTTGTGCTCTGTGTCATATCTGTCGACAAGGTACTGTTGGATGCTACCACTTTCGAATAAATTAATCTGCTTCCCATCCGTGAACGTATCTGTCAAAGCGGGAATGCGTCCATTAGGGTTAATCTCGAGGAACCATGGCTCTTTCTGAGTGTTCTTGGATATATCAATCTTGTGCACCTCATATGAAAGCCCGAGTTCTTCCAAGGTGATGGAGATCTTGATCCCGTTAGGAGTTTGGCTAGTGTAGAGGTGAATATCTGATTTGGAGGCCATTTTGGATGTGATATGAGAATTTAACTGTACTAGACGATTATTCATGAATTGGACTTTGCAGTGAGAACCGGAGGGGATAAGTAAGAAGTTTAAACTTTTGATTTGTAATGTACGGAGTAACTTCCATCACAGTTTACCCCACCTCATGATGATGATGTGATCTAAATTAATCCTCTTGTCCCATTTATCTTACAAGCGGAAACTTGAAAACCACAGTTCTTGGAAGGTGGCTTCACGGAAAATGCCTAGTTTGGCAGCATTCGAACAACGCATGATTGTTCAACGAGCAGTCAAGGACTTTTGTGATGCTATGTTGCAGGAATTATTTATATCTTCCTGCAGTCATCTTTGTCATCCATTGCGATGTCAAAGAAGTATCTTATCTTACAATTTTCTTCTTGTGATGCATAAGCATCACGTGCATAAAATACTAACCATGATTGACACTAGCTCGACCGGCTAATGTCGAGCTTTATTCAACTCGGTAGATTCCAGACTATGCAATCTTTGTGCCAATCTTTCACGCATCCTACATTAATATTGAAAACAAGAATTATCGGTATTCAATACATCCATCATGGCGTGGAGACAACAAGGAAGTACAGGATCGAACAATATCCCCTTGGGAAACCGACGACGTTTTCCTGGTGATGGCGGCGCTACCCAAGAGGAAAGCTACAGCCCAGCTCAATCTTCCAACAATCACCATGATTCGGGTATCAAGCGTGGACGAAGCCCTACAGTGAAAAGTAAGTTTACTCTACTACAATTGCGTTCAATCAGTCTTACCATCTTTTAGCCGAAGAAGTTGGAGGCGATGGATCTCGACGTCGCAAGAAGAGAAATCGTTGGGGTGATGCTACCGAGAATAAGGCTGCAGGCCTCATGGGACTTCCAACTGCAATCATGGCGAACATGACCAGCGAGCAACTCGAAGCTTACACCTTACATTTCCGGATCGACGAAATTACTCAAAAATTGAGAATCGATGATGTTGTTCCAGCGGATGGCGACAGGTGAACAAAGTCCTTTCCATGAATGCTCAACTATAACTAATCAAATTTCTCACAGATCACCTTCTCCTGCTCCCCAATACGATAACTTTGGTCGCCGTGTCAATACTCGAGAATACAGATATAGAAAGAGGCTCGAAGATGAGAGACACAAGTTGATTGATAAGGCTATGAAAGTCATTCCTAACTATCATCCACCACAAGACTATCGCCGTCCCACCAAGACTCAAGAGAAAGTCTATGTGCCAGTCAATGACTACCCAGAAATTAACTTCAGTATGATTGCTAACCCTCTAACCTTTCTAACCTTATACTCCCTCCCTCATCCGTTTTCATTTCTCGTGTGACATTGGATGCAGCATTTGGGAGACAAATGCAGAGCACCGTCATCACTAACCTGTCGTACTCACTACTATTTTGCTCAAAGCTTTTGATCCTATACTAACACTTAGCTTGCGCTCTACTTAAGTTGGTTTACTTATCGGTCCTCGTGGCAATACATTAAAGAAAATGGAGACAGAATCTCAAGCTAAAATTGCTATCCGTGGAAAAGGATCCGTCAAGGAAGGAAAAGGTCGATCCGATGCAGCTCATACTAGCAACCAGGAAGAAGATCTTCATTGTTTGATCATGGCAGATACAGAGGAAAAGGTCGAGAAGGCGAAAAAATTGATTCACAACATCATTGAGACGGTAATCCTCCGCACTTCATTTTTTTATCATCACATACTAACATATTATAGGCCGCTTCTATCCCTGAAGGTCAAAATGAGCTAAAGCGTAACCAACTTCGTGAACTCGCCGCACTTAACGGTACGCTTCGTGATGATGAGAATCAGGCTTGCCAGAACTGTGGTGAAATCGGCCACAGAAAATACGACTGTCCACAACAACGCAACTTCACTGCAAACATCATTTGTCGCGTTTGTGGTAACGCTGGACACATGGCTAGAGATTGTCCGGACAGACCTCGTGGTGCAAACTGGCGCAACGATGGTCCTCCAGGTGCAAATGCTGTTCCAGGCCAAGGCCGTATTGGTGCTGGCGATGCTGTTGATCGTGAATATGAGGTAACAATAATTCCTACCCAGTTTCAAGAATTAGTACTAAATAGATATCTAGCAACTTATGCAAGAGCTCTCGGGTGGTGCTCCGGTTACTGCAGATGCTCCTCGGCGTATTGAGTCTGGCCCCTCAGGTTATGATCAAGGGCCTCCAAAAGATCAGGAAGACGTCAAACCATGGCAACGAGGCCCATCGAATGCTCCCGCCCCATGGCAAAGAGGGAATGATGCTCGCGATACTCGTGATTCCCGTGACGGTCGTGACGGTCGTGACGGCCGTGATTCTGGCCCTGCCCCTTGGGCTAGAAGAGGAGGTGATGATAGAGATAGAGGAGGCTATCAAAATGGATACAATGCTGCACCATCCGCTCCCTGGGCAAAGCAATCACAACCATCATCTATCCCGACTGGTCCATCTGCCTATCCGGCTCAAAACGCTTTTGCCCCTGGGTATGGTAGCTATCCTACTCAGCAATTGCCGATGGGAGCACCTCCGGGTCTTAACATCAATGCCCTTCTTCAACAATATGGCAACTCTTCACTTCCTCCCCCACCTCCTCTGGATAGCCAGCCACCCCCACCTCCTCCGACTCACCAGCCTCCACCTCCGCCAACCAACCAACCTCCACCGCCCCCTCCTCCAGGAAACTAAAATTGTCTTTTCCACCTAATCAATGAGAGCTGCTGGTCATAGATATTTTCTTGATTGCTAGCATGCAACACTAAGAAACTAAAATGCCCTTTTTGAAATCTATTCAAAAGGATACTAACCTAGGAACTATTCACAAACACAAGGTTTCTTTGTATCTCGAGGACCGTGTTTCTTGTTGGACTGACCTTTTTACGAGTTTATTTACTCTAGTTTCTTTCTATTTTTTTTGATTAGGGCTCTGCTGCTAGTGTAAATATAGGAAAATAAAATTTCTTTTTATGATATTTGTAAACAGTGTGTGATCAGCTTCTATGCAGCCATGTCTATCATTTGAAGTCATTTGTCACTCCAGTGATTTTAGTCTATTCATTCCTGTTGTTGATATCTAATTTTGTTAGCGCGAGATGATCGCTTTGGGTAGGTGCTCTATGGCACGTGATATCATTGGAATTCATTGACCATGTTTCTCTAGAATTGTGAATTTGGATTCTTCAAGCGGTTCCTCGAACTCAATAATTCTTTCAAAAGGTTATTAAGCAAAACATCGGTTTAGGGTTAATGAGTTCTGCGGTCATGCCATTCCTCAATGCGGTTTATATCAAAAATGATCATCCACGTATCATCTCTCACAAACTTCCTTTTTTATCACACAGATGGATGCATTTCTTGATTTACTCTTATTTTTTCACTATAGAGGCGGGTCTTCCCGCCCCTTCACTCATTTACTTACGCACCTTTTGAAAATATCTTTTGCTGATTCTCCAGTGTGGCTGAGTGCGGAGCTTCAGATAGTGATCCTCCTGCTCATGATTGTGGTGCCTCAAATAACGACCCTCGTAAACTGCCTTTTGAAGGTGTACGGGATGGTACTACAGATTGCCATGAGTCAATCTAGAGATTCCCCCCATGAAGGATGCATTTTGTGTTGAAGTCTCGGGGGGGTGGGGGGGGGGGAAGGGTTGTGCGAAGTTTGCCTTGAAAGCTTGAAGAGGATGTTTTGCTGGTGTAGTTAATCCTCTTTAACTTCTGATCTACCTATAATTCTTACAATAATATCAATTTTTAAACGCGATGCTGAGAGTTCTGTGACTAGGTGGTGTAGAATGACTAAGCCACCGGTAACACATCTCGATCTGAGTCGAATATATACGGTGCGAATAATATCGCTACACAATTCTTGGGAACGAGAGTCAATGAGCCTTTCTTGTTCCAGGAATAAGCTGAGCTTGTTGAAATTTTCTACATCTCCGCTGATCGTGGATCGTTGATACAGATGTATTTTCTGTCGGAAAGTGAAAATTGCACGTGATCATCAATATTTCGATCTGCTTATCTCAATCCCAACGTCTTCTATCGGTTGATGTGGAACTTACATTCCAGGCAGCTTAATTCCACAAATTGTACAAGATGTCTCGCCGAAACATCAAATCCGAAGTCCCTTGATATTGTAAGGATTTCTTGCATCATTGTTTGTACTGGGGCGGACATAAATGACATTCCACCCATTGCGTTCCAGAGGCTGGTGACAAACTTCCGAAATTCATCAAGAATGTCAAGAAAGCTACCAAGCAATCTCCATCTGTTCACAGCTCTTCCTTCATCGTAAGCACCACCGTTACGTGAATAAAGCTGTGCTGAATGATATTCACGACTGCTTTGTCTCAGTTACTCTATTTGAAAATTGGATGGTTTGGTAGTCAAGAAATCAAGATATTATTTGCACATCATCGAAGAGATTTATGGAAGAGCGAGTGCTTTAAATTGCGAAAGTATACACTATTTTATCATTCCCAACTATTTACTAATTTACATGCACAAAAAATCCCTACAAGAACGCCATCAAAGACTGAAAAGCACAAATGAAACACAGACTAAATATCAAACCAAAGCAATACCATATCAATCAAATCCTAGCTCTCTTCGACCTATCCGACGGAGAATCAGGACCCTGCGAACTTCTCTTCACCCCCCTATTCGCTCCAGTCACCTCCAAATCATCCTCGAACATCACAAACTCATTCTCCTCTGCCACCGAATCCTCGGCAACCAGTTCACTTTCTTCGGCTACCAACTCAGCTTCCTTAGGTACCAACTCCTCCTCAACAACTAGCTCATCCTCTTCGGCCACCAACTCATCTTCCTCAGCCATCGACTCCTCCTCTTGCTCCTCTTGCTCCTCTTGCTCCTCTTGCTCCTCTTGCTCCTCTTGCTCCTCTTGCTCCTCTGGCTCGTCTTGATCCTCTAGCTCGTCCTGATCCTCTGGCTCGTCTTGCTCCTCTGGCTCCCTAACATACTGCTGTTCATCAAATGTGACACTAGGTCTTGAAGCCGGTCTTACCGTTGCGAAACTAGATTTTCGTGGTTCGGCAGAAAATTCCGCGCTTGCGGATTCGGTTTCAATAACCTCCCCTTCTAGATCTAGTTCGACCTCAAATTCATCAGCATCGTCCATGCCGGGTGCCTTATCAGGTTTGGGTGCGGGAGCCGCGGCTGGGGCTGGGGCTGCTCTGGCAGGGGCTTTTCTTTTCTTTTCTGGCACTGCCGCTGGCGCTGGCGCTGGGGAAGCTGCGTCTGCGGCTGGGGCTCCTCTGGCTTTTCTTTTCTTTCCTGGCGCTGCCGCTGGCTCTGGTGCTGGGGAAGCTGCATCTGCGGCTGGGGCTGGGGACCCTTTGGCAGGGGCTTTTCCTTTCTGCGATTCTGGTGCTGGTGCTGGAGGGGCTGCTCGACCTGTGTTGGCTTTTGACTTCTTGCGAGGTGGTTCGGCACGCGGTTCTTCCTCTTTCTTTTCCTCTTTCTTTTCTTCCTCTCCCTCCTCTTTGCTCTCTTCCACCTCATCTTTTTGCTCCGCCGCACCTTCCGCTTCTTGTCTAGCTTTCTTTTTTGTAACTGCTTCTCCTTTTTGCTTAGCTTTCTTTGCTGCAAGATCTGCTGCCCGTTTAGCTTTCTTTGCTGCGAGTTCTTCAGCCTTCTTAACTTTCTTTGCTGCAGCTTCTGCGGCTTTCTGAGCTTTCTTTGCTAGAACATCTTCAGCCTTTGCCGCTTCGGCCTTGGCCAGCTTTGCCGCATCTTTCAATGCCTTTTCTTCCCGCTTCTGTTGAGCAATCGCCTCTCTCGCCTTCTCTTCATCTTCTAGCCTTTGCCTTTCTTCGGTGGCCTGTTTTAGCTTTTCTTCTACTGTCATGGACGCTAGAGCCTTGGCTGTAGCTCGAGTTACTCTACCTGTCGGGGAAGGAATTACCGCTGATTCGTCGGCATCGGAGTCAGTCTCATCAGGTTCAGGTGTCTTTGCCTTAGCGGGTGCTTTTGCCTTTTTTTTTGATGCCGGTCGGGTTTTACTAGGCGGTGCAGGGGCGGGAGGTTTTGTTTTTGCTCCTGCTCCTTCCTGATTTTCAGACTCATCTTCTCCGGGGTCATCTTCAGCGACCCCTCCAGCGGCCCCTTGGTCATTATCGTCATCACTCTTATCATTCTCATCATCTTCAGGTGGTGGTTTCTTTTTCTTAGATTCTTCTGCCGCTTTTTTAGCCTTCTTCCTAGCAGCTTCATCTGCAGCTTCTTTAGCTTTTTTGGCCTTCTCCCTAGCAGCTTCATCTGCAGCTTCTTTAGCTTTTTTAGTCTTCTCCCTAGAAGCCCCATCTGCAGCTTCTTTAGCTTTTCTAGCCTTCTCCCTAGCAGGATCTTCTTTATCTTTTCTAGCCTGTTCCCTAGCAGCCTCTTCTGCAGCTTCTTGAGCTTCTCTAGCTGCAATATTTCTGGCCTTAGTTGCTTTGGCTTGATTGGCAATTCTGGTCTTGATGCGTTTCAATCCTAGTTTAGGACCCTCGCCAGCCACTAAATTTATATGTTAGTTACTGATAGTGATAATAAGAAAATAAGTAAAAAAGGAGTAACATACTTGCGTCATGTGCTGTCTGTAAATCAGCCATCTTCTTCTTATTTCCCTCATTCTCTGCGATGGCTGCATCTCTCTGTAATTGAAGCGTAGCTCCTGTTTCATTACACGTTGCGAGATCTGTTTCCAGCTCACTAAGTTGGGTCTCCAGCTCGGTGATCTTGTCGGAGTCATCTGGAGCACCGGGATTCGCATCCTGGTTTGCTTCTCGAAGTCCCCTATTATCTCTTCGAAGATCTCGTATTAGTTGTTGGTACCCTTCTCGTTGTTTTTGGAGACTCTCTAGAGTTCGCTGTGCAACATTAAACTGGATTTGGAGATCCCGGAGTTCTTGCTCCCGTTTCCTAAGTAGGTCTCCTTGAGCTTTGATTCTGGCTATATGCTCCTTGTTGATTTCTTCATTGGAATCAAATGATGCTACACTTTCATCTCTAAGGGCTTGATCAGCTGCCGCTTCCTCTAATTGCTTTTCATGTACTTCTTCGGCTGCCTTTCTATCATCTGCCGCTTTCTTTTCTCTTGCCTTTTCAGCTTTATCTAACTCTTCTTCCAATGCTTCATTCTCGATCTCAAGCTCAACTATTCTCTGTTCATCAAGTTTCTTACTTGCCCCCGCGGCAGTTCCTTCACCCGTCTTGACAATGTGTTTATACCTTTCTAATTGTTTCCACTGATGCTGACCACGCCGATCAGAAGCATCGAGCTGTCCCTCCAGACTTGTAATCTTGATTTGATCATCCTCATGCCGTCTTTTACAATCGGCCAGATTCCTCCTCAAATTTCTCAGTCCTTCGGGCGAGATACCATTAGCATTTAATCTCGCATCTTCGAGTCTTGCCTGAAGCTCCTTTATTACTTCCCCGTGTCTCTTACTGCTATCGGCAATTTGAATACCCAATTCCGTGACGCGTTTGTCCCGCTCCGCAAGATCGTCAATGGCTTTGGCAAGAGGACCATCTGGATCAACCTCGTCGGGAGGATGCGCTCTCAATTCATCATTCGCAGCTTGTAGAGTAGCGATGGTGTTTTGATACTTTTCAATTTCTGTTCGTAAATTTGCAATTGTCTCGTTCAATTCTTGGGCGTTTTTAACATTCACATCCTTGTAGTCTTCCAATTCTTTTCTGAGACGATCCATCTCCTTTTTATCGGCTCACTAGTTGTATCAGATCACTGATCACATATCTCATAGCTTTTGCAGTAGATGTCGTAATGGTCATGCTGATAATTCTCTCTCTGAGATCCTGGATTTCCTGTCGATCCCTACTTGCATCACGATCATACTCAAGCATGGTTTTTAAGCCTCTAATTTCCCCATCTCTATCCACAATTTGTTGCTGAAGATCCCCTACGCTCTTCTTTGCAAGATAGATATCTTTTTCATATTCCGTGATCCTCGCCGCGTAAACATTCAACTCTTCCTCTAATCTTGTCCTTACCTCCTTCGAAATGCCAGCTCCACTATCCTTTAACTGAGACTCTAGCTTCATGACCGACTCGTATTTTTTAATGGCATCATCCCTTTGAGCGGTCACTTCCTGCAGTTTCTTCCTTGCCCCATCGCTACTCTCTTGCAATATTTTGTGAGCTGACTGAGCATCAAATAATTGCTTTCGTAGATCGGCAACGAGGGTATTTTTAGCAGTCATAAGGGTTCTGGTGTTGGCCAATTCATTTTGCAACTTCTGATTCATTATTTTCCTCTGCTCTTCCTCGGGATGAAGTATCACACTCCGCAAATTGTCCTCGAGAATTTTGACACGGGCTAGAGATTGCTCTGCGTTATCATGATAGCCTTCGAAATGTTTGCACAATTCGTCAAAGATGGTGTTGGAGAGATGAACACCATCTGCTCCATCCCTTCGGGCCTCTACGGGCCTGTGGCCTCTTGATAAGGCCTCGATATATTCGGTTTGTTGATCACATTGTCGTCTCAGTTCATCTTGTTTTGCCCATGCTTTGCCCAACTCACTATCCAAACGATCGATTTCGGCTTTCTCTCTTGCACAATTTGAATTAGGTTGAGGGGCACCTCGTGCATTGACTAAATCTTGCCTTTGTCTCTGCAACTTTTCAATCTCTTCCGTCTGATCCTTCACTCTCTCCAGCAGTCTCCCCCTCTCTCCTATCGGTTCTTCTCGAATTATAGCAACAGCTCCAGACTTATTCATTGCTCTCTTTTGCGCTAAATTTTTCATCTCGATGATCCCTTGAACAAGATCACTGAATGGCTGAGGTGTGCTATAATTAATCCTCAGATTAATGATAGGCTCCCCATCATCCGAATCATAATCAACCTCATTAGCTTCCACCTGAATCTCTTCCTCTCCCAAAGCTACACGAAGAACCCTAAGAGTAGTCGTAAGCGCAGCATGAAAATCCGCCACAGCCGTCCGAAAAATCGCCGGATCCATTTTCTGATCTCCCCCCTCCTTCTGATTCGCAAAATAATACTGCGTCGCCCTCCGAAACTCCAAAAGATACTGCTCAGAACGATTGCGCAAACCCCGCCACACGCGCCCTTTAGCTCGATACTGAAGGGTTTGTCGATGCGTCCTCAAGAGTAATTCTCTCATCTTGGCACATTGCTGTCCGATGAATTCGATTCCATTTCTATCAATGACTCCCTGACTCCGATCGATTCCTTCCATGATGGGTCGGTATAGTGCTGCCCATTCGTCTCTTTTCATTTCTAATGAGGGGAGATGTCCCTGTGATGTGTGCACGGGTGGGAGATGTTCTTGTTCTCTACGTGCCCAGTAATCTTCCATGTCTAATCGCCGAAGTTGCTCCTCTTGCCAAAAGGCATAGTTGGGAGTTTTCGATTCTACCATGGCCATGTTGAAAGGATGTCAGTCAGCTTGAAAGCTGAATATATGTATGTATATGTATGTATAATTCTTCTGAATGGTTTTCTTTTCTTTTCTTGTGATGATTTGGTTTTGTTGGTTTGTTTTAAATCGACGCGTAACTAGGTAAGTAACTATAATACCGACAGTGACTCGTAAGTCAGTCCTGAATATAATACCAATATTCACAACAAAATTATAGAAGCTACTTATTAAATTGAACTATTTTCTTTGTGTCTATCATGCTCATTCATTCACTGGAAATACCCTATGCAGTGAGTAGAACTTATGTGATAGGATTCTGCAAATCTTTGTTGGTCTTTGTCATATTGATATCTCTTTGAACTCTCAACACATATTACATTATTCTGTAAGAAATACAATTGGGCTTTTCTTTTTTACTAAAGAATCATACAGTTCTTGGAATTTGAATGGTGTGGGTATTTGATGAGTTGAAAGGAATGGGGATAGTTGAAGTGTTTGGGTTGATGAAAACGGCGATGGAGGATGGATGGATGGATGGATGGATGGGGTTTGGATGTTTATTGGTGTGTGGTCATGGTAAGATTTATTATGTACTGAGTAATATAGGGAGAGATATGAATAAATTAGCTGTCCTTGAAATTGTGTAGCTAATTAACCGGATCAAGATCAAGATCAATCAATGTAGTCAGTCAACTTGACAACTCATGATCTAAACTCGAAATCTAAAATCTATAGATTTTTAATATATACACCACACTCACAGCTACATAAACATCTCTGCCTATCTCCTAAGAACATTTATCGTAGGTAATAGTTATAAATTAAAGCTCTCCGCCCCATTACCTAAGAAGCTCATACAAATCCCATTTACCTATGTAAGATCTTAACACCACTCGTGTGTAAGGTTACTTCTTTCTCTAGTATACTTACTATATTATCTAAAGACCCAAGTATCTACAAGAAAAGTATCCCGAAATTGAAAGTAATGGCATTCTCACAGCATAAAAACGGGCTTCCCTTGGATGAAATAATGGAGCGGGTCAAGTCCCCTTGATTATCCAGTGATGAAATAAAAATCAGTAACGCATAAAATAGTGCTGAGAATACTCGTAATGTTCAATTGCTCTCAGCCTTGCCGGTAGAAGTTGGTAATCATCTCTAATATTCAATATGGGCATAGTCTCGTGAGGAAAGGAGGCAGAAGCGGAACTCGGTTAGTCTGAATTTGAGGTTATTCGTCTGTTGTGATTGTTGATTAATCAATGAGAATATCGATGAATGTATACTAGATGCGAGACTCGAGAGTAAAAATCGTTAGTATTATTGAATAATCTACCGCCATGGTCCTTCACTTCCGTAAACCTCATAAATACCTAATCTAAGCATTATGCAGCATCTATCTATACCAATCCTTCAACACCCACCTCACCCTTCAAACCCTTAAACCCCTTATCACCAATCAAAACTCTCTGTTGTAACTCAAACCCCACCCCACAAACCTCCTTTCTCCTCCTCGCAAACATCCCATACAAACCCAACCAAATTGTCCTATCCCTACAATCCGTCGCTCCAAACCATTCATTTTCCCCACATTCCGGCATATATTTATTCAATTCCTCTTTCGTGGCTCTGATCCACGGTTTTGGGATGGGCCAATCGGAAAAATGCATATATTTTGCTTCTGCCAATATCTCACCTGGATCCCAAAGTTCTTTCGCATCACCCAAATATTCCTTATGTGATTTGCGACGAAATTCACTCGAGAGAAGGTGGTATGGTCGTGGTGGCATGGCTAGAATGTGTGGTGCGAAGAGAGCATTCAGGATATCCATGTCATATTCATTTGGTCCGACATGCTGCACAGCAGATTCGACTTGTTGAAATAGGTTACTTGATGGATGTAGTAGTAGTAAGTGAGAAGAATATGCCCAATTTGTGGGCGAACCAAAATGAGTATATGGCATGGCGACCGGAGCAGAAGGGAGAAGAAACAATTCATCCATATTCTGAATATATAAGGCATCGGAATCAAGATATAAAACCCGATCGTACTGCGTGAGGTTGAAGGCTAGAAGTTTGGTGTATGAATCTGACCATATTGCTCGATCCGTGTGGTTCTGATGTAAAACCTCCACCGGTTGAAGCTTAACGTAATAATCCGTTTGCACCTGTTTCAACAGTCGGGCAATGGGTGTGAGAGGTTTGGAAGGGAGAGTATCATCGGTTTCTTCGAGTATCCAATGCGAAGGATATAACATTAGTCGTTGAGCACGACTACCGATTGTCTCGACCTGAGACCAGAGCATGAGAGCGCTACAGAGATATTCGGGCGAGGTGACATATTGAACATATGCGAATTTAAACCAGTCAATTGCAGGATCATCAACTGTTGTTATCGGACCCGGCATGGGTGGAAGTGGCTCCGGATCATGATTGTTGTGAAGAACGAATCTGACGAGTAAAAGTATAAGGAAGAGTATGAGAATTACCTGAATGGTAGCCGCAGATATCAAGGCCCGCAATCGGCGAGTATAGAATCGAAAGCCGGCCATTCAGACATTTGAATAATATGAAAAAAGGACAACAACATTGTCATTCTTTGATATTTTTGATATTTTGTAAGATTATTTATTTGTTGCTCGGCATTCTTGATTGATACAGGAGTTTACCAATTTGTCCCACACAAAGTAGATACCAAGACGCTAAGGATTTCTTGGCCTTGATCAAGACGGATATGACGGAGGGGAATCTCAAAATTATTGGCGGGGTATAAATATAAATGATGGGTCAAACTATTATTTCATTTCAATTCTTTTATTTATTTTCCCAATAAATTTATTATACCTAATTTTACTAATTGATATTTATAAGAGCAAATCCTTATTTTTAATCTTAATATAAAGAAATGATTATATCTACAAGTGATGGGCTCTGTATAAAGCTCGTAGATTTGTTACGATAGTAACAACTGACTAATTAGGAGAGCTTGGGCCTTGTGCAAAAGCGATCAGATTTCATCGAATTAATATGTGATCTGGGCCACCTTAAGATCGTATGTGCACGCACTGCCAGAAAGCACGTGACTTGGAGCTTTTGGAGCTTGAGGATCCAAAAGGATCCAATGGAGCCTTTGGAGCTTAGAATCCAAAAGGATCCAAGGGAGCATGAATATCTATATATCCAAGATGGATTCCCTTTGTATAGAGCTTCGTGCTCAAGATCAATGATTTAGTATACTCTACTATTAGTTACGAATTGCATTATTGTCATTACTTTAAGTCCCTGCTTGACGCCTAGTTATAAACCACCTCGAGAGCCTAGAGCACTTCCACGTGATCTAGACGGCAAACTTCGTAACAAGAGTATTTTTATATTATTTCATAAACTCAAACTTAGAGCAATTCCTACAATTTGTTTGATCTGATGTTCTCAAGTGAGCTTTCTATTTATATTTATTGCTTTTTCAAGTTCATACCTAACTATCACCTATCGCATTTTTTGCTACTTTGGCTATTTCGTTAAAAGCCAAGCTCACGATTGCATTGATGGGAAATCTATATCTGACAAACACTTCTCAATTCTAATACCTTGTATCGATATATCAACAAATAAGGAGATATTTTTGCATTATGCTCATCATACTTGCTTCTCCGTGCGTTGTATGGTGTGGTTAAGCAAGATACCGTCAGTTGCCGGTGTGACGATGAGTTATTCTGATGCTCTGGTTGAGCCGCCATGTCTACCATTGTGTACGCCTCGACTGTTTTCCCTTTTGAATAGGTCAAGTATGATGAGGAGGAATTGGTATCCAGACTCTGTTCTCTTTTAGACCCGCTTCCTGTACCTGACTTGTTCTCGAAATCATTCGCTGACTTGGAACTGGATTGCGAGCCGCTGCGAATAGAGCGGAGGGAAATAACACTGCGGACAGTGCGTAAGACATGTTCAGGATTCACGCCAGCTAGATAGTACCACAATGATGGCAGATTCACAGCAATGATCGTGAGGCCGCTTCCAATATTATGAAATATGTTCATCTTGTATTACTTTCTACACAACAAGTACCTCGGTAGCTTTCATTCATAGTGAAAGAAACATATAAAGAAGAGGAGATACTAACCATAGGCATCCTCGTAGTCGATGGCTCTTCCTCTGGTCACAAGAATAATAGTGATGGCCACACGAGAAGTGCTTGAGATAAGACCACTAGACAGAATCAGTTCAAGATCGTTACTCTACCAGTATTAAGACTCACAGAAAAGCAAGTAGAAAGACGTAGGAGACTGCAACATTTCGTTTGAGGGTCATGTTTAGGGACCAAATCTGTTTCGATCAGCTGTGGAAGTTGTGTCACAGTCCAAAGACATTTCCTACTTTGGGGATAGGTAGGTTAAGAATGAAAACATCTAGAAGAAACTCAGATATGGTTGTGCCCATAAAGTATGGGAACATAGCCCCACACTTCGCAAATGCCGAAGCTCCAACCCGGAAAAGATAGTTTATATTTACATCACAGATAAAGAATGCCATGATGAAGAAGCCAAGGGTCCATAAGGTAACCACGGCAATAGCTACGGCGGAGACGAAATTGAAGGCATGGCGCAAATCAGTGCAAAATATGCGACGATAAAATAACAGTGCATTCTGTTTCTCTAGGCCGAGCATTATCACGGTCAAGCTATTAAGCGCTATATATGTCTGTGTTTCCAGTCAGCTCAGACTAAAGTCCAACCCTTATGAAGGGTGTATACCTTTTACACCTTTGCATGCATAGATATTGGGTTTATTGAGACCAGAAAGAGCATCAGATTGAATTGATTGATTCTCTAGCTAAGCAGTTAAGCTGCGAGTATATATTCAAAAAATGAAGGAATAGGGTTAGGTATTCGGCCTTCGGAATTAAAGTGCTTTGAAATCAAAATGTTGAAAGCAAACAAACAGTATACCAAAAAGGAAAGAATGAATTCAAAGTTGAGTTCTGTTTGCTCCTTATATGCATCATGCAATATATATGCATATGCTGCCCAGATCCCAGGAGGTCAACACTTATCTTTGCAAGGGCTGAGATATCAGATATAGACCATTTGGTATCATTCGTGGATCGTTTTATGGATCTCCTCCCGAATGACGGAAGTATGGTTGATGTTCAACCTTTGCTTCATCGATTGGTGAGTATTCTTTTCAATCGCACTCCGAGAAGCGGTGCTGAGAGTTCAAATTTAGTTCCCTGACGTTTCGATGGATTTTATATTCGGAAAGTCATTGAATTCACTCAAACCCGAGGTTCTAGAAGAGTGCACCGAATTTACCTAAGCATTCAATGAAGCACAAAAATGGGTGACCAAACGCAGAGAGGCAGGATGGTTGCAGGTCTGACTTTATCAGTATGAAGAAAACAAGGAGTGGAAGAATACCTATACTACAGGGCACAAATTTGTCGATCACCAAGTAGCTCGAGCACTTCAAAAAACCACGAATGCGAAACCCGAGCCAGATTTTCCAGCGGCACGAAGGCGTTATATTCTCGACGAAACGGCGAAGCAGATCCGCGATCCCATCAAACTAAGATATCATGTTCTTGAGGTGTTCAATCCTACTCGAGACACGACCTCAATCACCATTGGCAACACTCTTTTCCAGCTGACCAGACATCCTCATATATGGACGAAACTTCGCAAGACTTCTTTGGAAATTAATGAACCATTGACCTTCGAGAATCTTAAACATCTCGTGGATTTTAGATATGTCATACAAGAAACCATTCGTGTATGGCGTATAGCTAGTAGGGATACTATCCTACCATTAGGAGGAGGTTCAGATCAAAAGAATCCTGTATTTATAGCTCAAGGAACGTCTGTTGTTCTTGGTACATGGAGTATGAAACATGATAATGGAATTTGGGGTGATGATGTTGAAGTATTCAACCTAGATCGATGGATAGGTCGCAGGGGACAAGAAGTATGGGAATTCGTCCCATTTCTGGATGGTCCAAGAATATGTCCCGCTCAACAGCGGGTTTTAAGTTATTCGATATACCTTTTAGTACGACGGACTCAGGGGTACGAGAGTATTGAAAATTGTGATCCGGTTTTTGAATGTTTGGAAAGCTTTCGATTGGGGCTTTGAGAGTCGGAATGGTGTGAAGGTTGTGTTTAAAAGTCCTTAGATAGCTTGATTACATCATCATTTATGCTAAATTGAAGAATACCATGGAGTAATCAGTTGAATCAATCTATTGAACATGACTACTAGGTAGATAGATATGGATAACTCACATTTCATGAATATCTATTTTTCTAGCAGTTTTCGGGAGATGCCCAAGAAGGAGAACACCAGACGGTGTGGGTAACAGCAGACTAGTAGGAATTCAAGAATATCATCGCGTAAAGCAGCAACAACGTTTTATAAAGCAGCAATTATTTAAACTTTTACTCCAGCTTGAATCAAGACCTCAAGACATTTATATATAATTCCATAAAATCCCAAATAAACAAATCCATCTTCCATCCCCAAACCCACTAGATGGTCAATAACTCACTACCCACCCAATTCACCTCCTACCTCCTACCTCCTAACTCTCACCTCCCACCTCCCACCCACGGATTATTCCAAATATCCCAATCTCACATGACCCATCCAGCCCCACTCCCTACACAATCATAAATTATATCCGTTAAACCCAGCACGTACATCATCCAAGTCAACAAACAATAATCCCTCGTGGCGCAATTGGCTAGCGCGTTCGACTGTTAATTCGTTTACAATTACGGAGATATGAGATCGAGAGGTTGGTGGTTCGAGCCCACCCGAGGGAGACGGGATTTTTTTTGAATTTTTTATTTCATTTATTTTGGAAACTGGAGAGGGGATAGATAAGACAGGAAAGATATGGTGTTCTGGGATAAAGATGGTGATTTTTTGGGTGTTGGGATGGGGGAGGATAGGAATGTGGGGAAGGGAGACAGACGTACGGGGTGAGTTTGAAATGAGGATAGGGAATATTTAGGAGAATGTGTTTGGATCGAATTTTTTTTTCTTGAAGATATTTGGCTATATTATTTAGATAGATTCAATATAATCGAAACGAATATAATACATACAACACAGCGCAACAAAAAGACGACATATAACATAACATGCCAATCTCATATCGTAATAATATCATATACTAATTAATATAAGTCATACATAAAAATGGGCGATCATCAGGAAGGAACCTTTATACCACACCCCCCCCACCACCATTCATGCGCTTCTGCAATCCAGTGTGTAAACTACCTATCTACCACCTCATTAAGAATCTCTCATAACTATTTCATAGTTTTCAAGAAACCCTCTAGATCGAAACTTTCCTCATATTCCTTCCCATCCCATAATTCACCTAGATCATCTAACCAGCCTTTCTTTCCCTTTTCTCTCACTTCTCCCGTTGCGTCTACCATGTCTTCTTCTCTTTCGGCTTGGATACTACTATCTGCTGCTAGTGGAACTTCTGATGTATCGCCTAGATTAAAGAGGTCGAGGATTTGATCGGTTTCCATTGTACCTAAACCTGCGTTTTGTTGATTGACTACCGTGGATGCTACATCGATTTTGAATCTTTGAAGACTATTTTTAAGATGTTAGCTCATGTTCAATATTACAAAAAAAATGATTTTTTGTGTGTGGGGAAGAGGAATATAACTAACCTCAAAATCTTTTCTTCCAAAGTCCCCCTAGTAATCAATCGATAAACATTTACAACCTTCTTTTGACCAATTCTATGAGCTCTATCCATAGCTTGTAAATCTTTTTGAGGATTCCAATCATGTTCCACAAAGATAACAGTATCGGCACCAGTCAAATTAAGTCCCAAACCTCCAACACTTGTCGTAAGAAGTAAAACATCATATGAAGGATCGGAGTTGAATTTATTGACGATATCTTGACGTTTATTGGCATCAACTGATCCATCCATACGTAAGAATTGTACTGATGGTAACATCTTCTTCAGAACATCATTTTGTACCATGTCTAACATTTCCTTCATTTGACAGAAGACTAAAGCACGATGAGGGGAGACGAAAGAGGTTTCGGTTGTAATCTCATTTTCGGATGAAGGTTCAGTACCAATACCACAATCAACTAGTAGATCTCTTAAAGCTGTTAATTTTGGTGCGTGAATTGGATCTCGAAGACTAGTTCCTTGTTTGGCAAGGAGACGTTGAGTATCTTCATATTGCTTATGACCTTCTTTCATAACGAGTGCAGGAGAATTACAAAGCTTGCGCATATATTGTAAAGCTTGAAAGATGTGTTGTTTTGCTTCTTTGTCACCAGATGAAGCCTTTTCGGCTAGCGTCTTGCCTTCTTTCTTGGTGAAATCCTCGAAAAGCTTCTTCTGTAGATCACTAAGATCACAATAGTAGTTTTGCAAGATCTTGGGTGGTAAATCATCCAAAACCTCTTCTTTAAGACGACGAAGAAGGAACGGTAGTACTTGTTTATGTAGAGCTTCAATGGCTAGAGCACCAGCTTCTTGTTCTTTTGAAGAAGATTTACTGAAACGACTGGCGGCAATAGGTTTAGCAAAACGATCTAAGAAGACCTTTTCAGCTCCAAGGAAACCTGGCATGAGGAAATCGAAGAGAGACCAAAGTTCCAGGACATTATTTTGAATTGGTGTACCAGAAAGAATAAGTCGATGGTTACTAAGTAGGCGTTTGACTGCGATGGTAGTTTTCGCTCGAGGATTTTTGATTAAATGACCTTCATCCAAAACGCAATAATTCCAATTGAGTGGCGACAAAACGTCAACATCATTACGACAAATTTCGTATGATGTAATGACGATATCAGTTTGGCCGAGTTGTTCTCTGAAACGAGCTCGATCAGCCGGAGGTCCAACATAAGCGGTACAAGTTAGGAAAGGAGCATATGTTTTAATCTCTTGTTGCCAATGACCGGAAAGTGTAGGAGGACAAATGATGAGAGATGGCATCCGCCTGGAATCTGGGGCTCCTGTCTTTGCAAACTCCTCAGCTCTAAGATGATGATCACTAGCAACAATACATAATGTCTGTAATGTTTTCCCAAGGCCCATATCATCACAGAGGATTCCATGAAGGTGATATTTGTTCAAAAAGTTCAGCCAATTAACACCTTCTTGTTGATAAGAGCGAAGTTCCGCTTTGATAGCAACTGGAATTTTGAATTCTTCAACCTTATGAGGATCTAAAAGTTGACCAATGAAGGTACGTTCACGATCTCTCCCTTGTAATAATTCTTGTGATAATCCAGGAGGATCCGGTATACCTGCTTCCAGTGGAACGAGCTTGACTAGAGTTGCGAAAGAAGTTGTAGCGAGGACTCGTACATCAGTATCTGAATCACTCATTCGTCCAAGAACAGGGACGATGAGGAAAATCACATATGGTAGAATACTATCACCCATAACAGCAATAAGATGATAAATCGATTCAATTACACCTTGACGGAAGTTGAGATCGAGTGGATTGCTGATAGAAGGTAAAACCTTCTCCACAAGTAATGTCATAGCTTCTACAGTGATAACACTGCAAACTGTTGCAAGACATTTGGCTGCCATGTAACGGAAGACTGAAAGTTCAGAGTGTAGAGCTGTGACAACAAGAGGAAGTAACTCCATGACGAAGGGATATAATGATTTGTCCAACGTGGGTGTCAAAGCACGAATTACTGACATGCCGTCAATCGCTTCTTGTCCAAATGATTGTGCGGGATCTATGCAGTCACGTGGGAGTGTACCACCAAATGCATGTTGTAGTGGTTGTTCCATTAGAGCTCTGAGTGTGGGGACTCTGCTTAACAAGTCTGGTCCAAATATCCCGGAAAGTTGTTCTAAAGCTTCCTTGGCACCTCTTCTAGTTATTCTAGCTTCTTTGGCTTCTCGAGCAAATTTTGCTGCATCTGGATGATCTCTACGATCTTCTTCTTTTCGAAGTGATAAAATGGCAGTCGTGAGATGTGCATTTGGCGCGAATTCAGGTGTCTCTGAGGTTTCCATACACGTGAACTTGACCAAATTCGATACCACTTTCTGCGCTGGTCCTGTGCGCCCACCTTCTGCAAAAATCTCAATTAGTCGAGCGATAGAGAAGGCAGATCGTTGTTGCAATTCCAAGGTTTCCTCTTTTTTGATACTATCCATCATAGCCTTGATGATATGAGATGGCTTTTTGGGTGAAACCTTCATCGCGACCAAAGCACTTGCAGCAGCGGCCTTGATACGTGTATCTCGTTGCTCTTTGATGCTCTTAGCATTGTTAATGACTTCGATAACATTTTGACGTGCTTCGGAGAGGGCTTGAGTCGCAATCATACGCTGGCCAGGAGCAAGAACTTTCTTTAAGCGATCAAAATCCTCGGAAACACATTTATCGGCTGTCACAATAGAGAAAGCATCTGGACCAGCTTCACCTTCACCAGCTACGACAACAGCAAGTACCGGTAGACGTCCTTGAGAAATCTTGCCAACATCCCGAAAGGTATTTAGGAGCTGCGAGCATTGAGTTCGGACCAAATGTGTGTAGCTAACCAAATCTCGATAAGTGAGGGGACGTTCGGCCTCGAGAATCTTTGTAAGTGGTGCCTCGAAGCGTAAAGCGTGAGTCTTTGAAATACAATTCTTTGCGTATTCGTCGATGATAAGTGATGCCGTTAGTTGAGTAGAAGAGAAAGCTGAGCTCATTCCTGGGATAATGCTGGCGTCGTACGCTTCGAGGACAGGCGCTGGAACAAGAGACATAATAAGACCCATTGCTTTTGCAGCCGAGGCACGAGATCTAATTAATATATCCATGCCGACTAGATCCACATCACCTTGCATCATTGGACCATCGACGTCATGTGATGATGATGAAGGAGTAGGTTCAACTACCTTTGCAGTCTTGCGACGCTTTTTCGTTGGAGGCTCGGGGCCCGATGGAGTGTTTGGACGAGCGTGGCTTACGGTACCACTTGGTAGGGAGTACGAATTACCAGATGGTCTTTGGAAAAGGGTGGCGTTCATAGGTAGTGGATGTCGAGATACACCAATAGGATGCAGTGTAAGTTGCATGAGAGGATCAATATGTGCAGAGAACTCGGCAGATAAATGTTCTGGATCGCGTGCGAGGAAAGTTACTAGTGCTTTCCATACTTGAAGTGATAGATTCAAAGTATCTTGATTCCTCTCAACCAATATATTTTGGTAGATCAATCGAAGAATTTTTCCATCCATCCAATCTCTGGTACCCTCGCCTTCAATGCCAACAAATGTCAACAGAGCCCGAAGAACTGCCGAACGGACAGATGTGATGGTATGTCGAAGGAATGGATATAATCTCGGTACCAAATTACCAAAGGATTGTTCTGCATCTCGAGAGGCATTCTTTTTCATGGCTTCCAATACTTCAGGGAAACTGCACAGTTTTGCCAACAAATCCATGATTTGTCCTGTGCTAGCACTCAAATCATCACCAAGATTCGAGAGACATTCCCAAACAATGTTAATCAAACCATCCAGTGCTTCAGGTCGTAAGTTGACAAACTCCTTTGCAATTGGAATAAGAGTCGCGGCGCTGACAGAACGAACATCGTCATCCCAGTCACCTAAACCTTTCATCACGGCTCGTATAACTCCATCGATTAGATCGTTATCTTTCAGTAACAAATCATTTCGAACTGCGACCAGGTACCGGAGGCCAATCATACCACCATGACAAATAGCCCAACCTGGTTTATCAAGCTCGATATCATTTTGCATAACGAGACGGTACAAAATATGATGAACGGAATAAACGACCGGAAGTGGAAGGTGAATGAGTAGAGCACCCAAGGTCTGACCAACTGTTTCTCGGATGGGTGCGACAACAGTATCTGAAACGTAGTCCCCGAAACGATCTAATATGAAAACGCAACACAATCGGCAAGCCAAATCGTCGAGCCAACGTTGGTTGAGCATATCATTTTCAGCACGAGTCTTTCCCTGCTGTCTTCCGGCACCAGCTCCGTGAACACGTATAATATCTCTTAAGCCCATTGCAGCACCATGTCGGGTTTCCCATTGAGGATCGAACAAATCGACCACAAGGAACTCACATAAGCGCTCATAGGGCCATTCTAATCCCTCTTGTTCACCCTCAGTTTCAAGTTCGGATTTGATTGACATGACTGGACCCTTGAATTCAGAAACGACCTTTGAATCTTCATCTACCTCGGAAGGTCTTTCCATGGTAAAATAATCAGCCATGGGATTTTTAGAATCTTCACTGCCAGCATCTGGCATTGAAGTATCTCCTTCGCTTGAAGGATTTGTACGCCGTACTGAAAGATCTACCAGTCTACTTTTGTTACCAGCAGACATAGCTTCTCGTTTTCGCTTCCGTTTTAGTTGATTCAATTGTCTCGCGCTCAGTCCGCTTTCTTCCGAGGGTGTAGATGTGCCTTTATTGTTGTCCTGTCGTGAGAAGCCATTTGAATCCTCACGTGCTAATGGGGTGCCGGATCCATTTTGGTTGGTAGTTGGAATTTCGTATTCGAGTTCCTCTTCGGCATACGGACCAAGAAGACCAAGTCGCCCAGCAAGTGTTTTCTTTTGATGAGCAAGTCGTTGGGCAGGGTCCAGAGAAGCGAGAGCCCAATCATGACCTCTATCTCCACCACGAACAAGCTCCTTTCCATGTTTGAGTATGGATACAATATCGAGAGTACCAAGACTTAGTTGTCCTTCAGCAAGTGGTGTTGGCTCTACAGGTTCTTCCTTCTTGATTCCCAGATTCCTCCTTCTTTGCTGAATCGTCCTCACCATTTGGGTCATACTTTTCAGCATTTTCAACAATCCCTGCTAATGCTTTAGAAGCGGCTGTCCGCGTATCCCAAGTTTTATGACGAAGATATGGTACAACTCTGGTTAATAAATTGAAAAGTTCTTCAGGGTGTGCTTTTTGTACATCAGCTAATTGTTGAGCAGCGGTATTCCTGATTAATGGGGTGCTTCCTGTTTCCAGTAGCCTAATTAAAGATTAGTAGGATTGGGAAACGAGGTTTGGAGGCAAATCTCTGGAATATCTAGAATATTCTCGAAATGAAGATCATTGACGATCATTTCAAGAACAGTCTTGGATCTTCAATTCCATAAAAACCCCACAGCATAAATATAAAGAGACTTTCAAGGTTTGGTTTGTCTCAACCAGACATAAAGATCGAGTAATTAAGAGATGGGGAAAAAGGATACTCACGTGACAAGTCGATCCAATCTATTTCAACGTGTGATCATGTCAGCACAATCCGCAATTAATTCCCGAATGCACCACCAAACGAAATGCAATGCGGCCGCATTGATCACAGCTTAAATGTTGGTTTGGGGTGGAGTGGAGGTGAAACATTACCTTGATGCCATTTTCAATAATACGCGCGTGGTTCATTATCTGTGTGAAAGGGATTAAATTGAAAACGCCATACGTGCCAAGAATATATTTCGTGAAAGTTCGTTAATCCATCCAACCTCGTTATCGTATGGTCGTGGTCGCGGCGAAAAGTAGATGTGCGCGTGTGTGTACCTCGATGGTAGTTGCAGCTGTAGGTTGTGTGTAGTTGCAAATTGAAAAATAATTTTATTAGGCGCGTAATGCAATAAAATTAAATAGGTAGTTGAGCAACAGTTTCCAATAAATCCGATGCTTGGAATTTTGAATTTGATACTTGGAATAAACTTATATTTGTTGACGACGACGTGTATCGGATTTAAACTCTCAGCCTTGAACGCGAGGCGCGACTTTCAATACGGTAGTTACTAGATAATGAATTGAATGGCGGGAAAGGTTGGGCTGTGAAAGGACCTAGGGTGCACTTTTCTTGATCTTTTATCTTTTTCTTCTCTTTGGGTGGGTGATGCGTGGGTGTAGTGTGTATGGTATGTGAGGTCTGGTATGGTATAATTCGTTGGTCTCGTTGATTGGCTGAATTTCCCCTTGTGTGGATTTTCGTGGTTCTTATGGTAGCAGCATGCTCGGTCGGGGGAGTCGCCGTCCTTTATGGTCCTTTATGGCCCTTAAGTATTCAGAAAAACCCAATAATTTTCTCAGTTCGCTTATTCTTAGCGCTCATCCTATCCCTGTTGCAGTTGCTTCAAGCCTTTCACTAAAATGGAGATCACGAATGTCTGGCTGGGAAGGAAGAAGGAAGAAGGAAGTATGGAGTATGGAGTATGAAGTGTGAAGTGTGAAGTGTGAATGATTGTAAAGGTGATGAAAATGAGTGACGACAGAGTGGGAAGATGATAAAAACAATAACAGGAATAACAATGACAACGACAATGACAAGATCGAAAACAAATGATGATATAATGATTCCAATCATACCTATCTTATGAATAGCTTCAATTTAATTCACATCTAAAATGTAATATTAATTTACAAACATCAACTTACCTACCTACCTACTCATCTAATTATATCTTCTCTTTCTACTACCGGCAGGTCTTATCAAGAGATCATCTGTTTTTAAGATGATTTTCTTCCACTTCCATTTTCCTTCCGTCGGAGATTAATTTCCCAAGATTTTTATAGGTTGACATTCAAAAGCAAGTAGCCTCAATACAGCATCCAACTACCGTAGTATGCCCAAGGCTCCAAGACCACAAAGCAAACATTTTGCCTCAATTTGCCTCATTTGCCTCATCATTTCACTCTAGAACATCATGGCTATCCAATCAAAAGGACAGATCGCTTTGTGAATTTTGAATTTTGAATTTTGCATAGACTCCAGCCTAGATATCAACAGTCTTTTACGACAACAGCAACCATACCAAGCCTCAGATGAGACGACGAAGTTGCTAAGGAAAGTGAGTGATGACTTGCATTAATACCCACTATTAAAGGTCATAAATATCGCACTAGTAATTGTTGTACAAATCAACATTTATGAATGTCATAATTTATGAAACATGTAAAGTGAACAAGTACGTACTCCATGCAGCACAACATTACTAGGGGTATATCAACATTTATTACTGCCAGGTAAGAATATGGGGATGGGATCAATTACCAGTATCAGAAATAAAAATAGACATCGGACTTCCGGCCTCAATAAAAAAATCCATAGTCAGTATGTACTCTAATGAATTATCACAATGCATCCACCGGTACTTATTTCATTGCATACCTATCACCTACCTACCTACCTACCTACCTACCTACCTATAGATGCAAGGCAGAATTAATGGCACTTTGATGCCTACCACGTTCGAAACATTGTACTACAATATCGCACTCATCCATCGTTATATACCGAGTAGAGCAAATGATTACCTCTTGACCAAACTCGATGGACTCAACACACTCTGTAACAAAATAACAAAATATCCTTAAAAGATGGGATGAAAGGGGAAACTTCCTTTGACAAGGCTGGGAGAGTTACATACACCTACCTACCTAGGTCCCTATTGATCAAAGGGATAATGACGAGTCAAGTTGTTGATATAATGGTTTTGCTTTCAAACAATTCTGTATTCCCTTTATTGTTATTTTACTACCAATGAGAATGAATATAAAAAACTCTTTTTGTCATACTTAAATGGGTTAGATAGTATCCAGTAACTGATTGTGCACATCATCACCCATCATTGGCAGACAGGCCATCCCATTCCTCAAAACCGGGGAATTTGTCAAAGCACCCCCAAAAAAAGTTTATATCTTCATGAATATGAGATGGATTTTCTTCCTCTTGAAAAGTCACTTGCTCATCACTTTGTCATTCAAATCACTTATCTCTCAATCACTCAATCACTTGATGTGGTTATCGCGGCTAAGCATTTTGTGTTCACACGCTCCTTTTTTCCTCTTTTTTCCTACCGTATCTGAATTCCTCGGTCAACTCCTTACAAGCAAGTGATCTACAATGAGACACGTTCTCTTCTCCTTTCTATTGGTTAATGTGTGGGGCAGAATGAAAGGCGGTCAATGCCAAAATCCACGCTAAGCTATGGGTATCAATGCCAGCCAGCCTGGATATCATACCCCCGTTCACCATTCTCGAAACTCTATGCAGTCAGTCAATAAGTCAATGTAGCTTGAATAGACAGCCGTTGAACATTGACCATTAATCTACTCATCAAACCTTGAATCAACTTTGGAGGATCTTGTAAAGCTTCATTTTACTTCTTTTAATTATCTGCGTCATTTACGAGCCAGCACATTTCACTCAATGCGGTGACCATTTCTAATTCTAGCTTTACATTCCCTCGACGTTGCTCTACATCTGCCACATCAATCATGGCATCTTACAATGTGCCAGCGACAGCCCCTCGACCTGCGGTTTATGGGGGTCCTGTACCGATAGCTGACCCAGCAGCACCAGCTGGAACCTTTGCACCAGGAACTAAAATCCAAGTAGGATCTCATAAGGTGGTTATTCAGAAGTACTTCTCGGAAGGAGGTTTCGCTCATGTCTACCTTGTTAAAATGCAAAAGCCTATCGATGGGACAGATATTGCTGTATTGAAAAGAGTCGCCGTCCCTGATAAGGAACATTTGGCAAATATGAGAACCGAGGTAGAAACGATGAAGAAGTTAAAGGGACATCGCGCAATCGTTACTTACTACGATTCACATGCTTCACAACTGAAGGGGGGAGGATACGAGGTATTTTTACTTATGGAATTTTGTAATGGCGGTGGTTTAATCGATTTCATGAATACTCGACTTCAAAACAGGTTGACGGAACCAGAAATTCTCAAGATCTTCTCCGACGTGTCGGAAGGAGTAGCTTGCATGCACTACCTTAAACCTCCCCTTTTACATCGAGATCTGAAAGTTGAGAATGTCCTCATAACTTCTACTGGTCCCTCTCGAAGATTCAAGCTCTGCGACTTTGGTTCTACCGCACCTCCTCGCCCTGCTGCTACGACCGCTGCTGAATGCAGATTGATCGAAGATGATGTTCAAAAACATACCACATTACAGTATAGGAGTCCTGAAATGATTGATGTATACAGAAAGTTGCCAATAGATGAAAAGTCGGACATTTGGGCTTTGGGTGTGCTACTGTACAAGCTGTGCTATTATACCACCCCTTTCGAAGCTCAGGGACAACTTGCTATACTGAATGCAAGCTTCAAATTCCCCTCATATCCCATGTTTTCGGACCCCCTTAAAAACTTAATAGGTACTATGAATTGCCACGCTCTTACAGGAAGAGAAGGTGCTAACAAAGTTTAGCATCTATGTTGAAAGAGAAGCCAACATCTCGCCCGAATATATACCAGGTTTTACGGGAAGCATGTCTTATGCAGGGTATCGAGATCCCAATTAAGGATGTATGTTTTTATCCATACCCTCCCATCAATCAAAAGCTCACCATTTTAGATATACTCCGGAAGAACTCAGTCAGAATCGCGGCGACATCAGCAATTACCAACTACCGAATCTCCAGCATCACCTCCAATTGTGGGCGCCGTTTTCGCGCCGCCAACACAACATCAAACAATTATTCCCGATGTTGTCCCGATGCGAAGGGGAAGGCCCACGGCCAGTTCACAGCCACAGCCTACAAAACCTAGTCCGTCTCCTATGAGAGGCACAGCTAGTGATCCATTTGCTGCTTTGGATTCTAAAAATCCTGATCTTGTTGTGGACGAAATTTCCAATCGATTCCCAAGTTTAGATCAGTTCTCATTACTGCATGATGGAGGTAAATTCGACTTCGGATCACCCTCGCCTCCAAAGCCATCCCAGCCTGTTAGCAAACGAGTTACAGAAAGATTAGCTGATGATGCATTTGCGACGCCAGTCCAGCAAGCGTCATCAACTTCAACCAATAAGCCGTCTCGTGCTCAACAAATTCTAGCCAGCAATCCATTAGAGCTTCAGACATCAGAAGTACCAGCAACCTTAATATATCAACCCACACCTACTCACCCTGGTGTGAAATCATCCTCGTATGTATCCCAAGGTACAATGACGACACCAACCCCACCACCTTCAAGTACACGTGCGCCTACTTACACGGCTTCGCCACGTCTTCTTCCGTCAGACCATCATCGATCAGCTAGTCTACCACGAAATCAGGCTGTTACTCCATCTAGGACACCGACTCTAGAGCCACAGGAATTTTTACCCGGGCATCCTGGGTTACCTCGAGCTGCTTCATACAATACACAATCCAATCAAGCTAGGCATCCATCTTCATCTAGACCATCACTCGAAATGAGTAGACCTAGCAATGAAGCTCTCGAGAGTACTATCCCCCGAACAAAATCAAGCCTAAGTAGATCACGTCCATCTAGTCAATACTTGGAATCTAACATGGATTTTCTTCGAGAAAAGGAAGGCCGTCCCTCACTTGATTCAGAGCGACGTCCATCGCATTCTAGAGAATTTGCCGTTACAGATCCAAATGATGACGATTCTAGTTCGAATGTTGACTTTCTTAAATCAATGGAAGATCAGGAAAGGACGAAGAAAGATAGACGTCGTAGTAGTGGCTCAAAACAATCCAAACGTTCCAGTATGCCTTCTATTTCATTATCTGGCACCAAAAATTTATTGGCTGGCAAGTTTGGAGATGCTTTCAAAAGATTCGAAAATAACGCCAGTGCTCCACCTGGTCCAAGAACTCCAAGTCCTTTGCATGATCTCGACCGACGTGAATTGACACCAATAGCTGGGTCCGAGGCAACCGATGATAGAAGTGATGATGGAAAGATAGATGACGACATGACACCAGAGCAAAGACGAGAAGTTGAGCGAAGAAGGTTATCAATTGAAGAGAAACGTGTTGCTGATGCAGCAGCGGAATATCGGAAGCGAATTGCAGAACGCGGTGGTGCACCAGCCCCAAAGAGTATTGGTGGTGTGACCCGAGCTGCAAGTATCCAACACAAAGTCAAAAGTCTTCTAGATGAAAATAGTCAGCAACCTTCTTTAAAGAAAACAGCAGAAGGTTATGGAAGATACACAGATATACCAGGTCAGCCCAATCCATTACCAACTGGAAATCCATATGTCAAATCTTCAGTCCTCCGCAAACCGGTTCAACCTTCAATTCCTTCATCTGATCTCAGCTACAATAAACCTCGCCCTCAACAAATTCCTCCTCAATTACCAATTAGCAAGACAGGTCCAAAACCAAGTGCCCCTCCCAAACCTACGCACCTCAATACTATGAATACGGGAGGTGGTCTTGGTGCACAGAATTCCCCGCCTAAACCTTCATATTTAGCTAGTAGAGCGGCGCCAGCTGTTCAACCGAGACCCGATATGACGTCCCAGGAAAAGGAAGAATATATTGCGGATTTCAGCAAGAGGTTTCCGAGTTTAAGTAGTATTGAGATGGTTGAAAGGGAGATTGAGAGGGAGGGAATGCAAGGAGGTGATATGGGAGTGGGGATGGGAATGACTGGTAGGAGGGATGATAGACCTAGGCTCACCAAGGAGTTGTAGATATTGGGGATAGTTGATGAGATTGATGGGAGGTGTTAAGTGTTGTATCACCGAGCTGATGCTGATATGGATAAATAGATGGTTGGATTGATTTGATCAAAAGGTTGAAGTAAAAGAATGAATGAATAAATAGATACAATCTATTCGTACAAAACAGGAAAACGAAACAAACGGGAAGGTTAAGATAGATGGATGGAGATCTTTAGAAATAGATTACTCGGTTACTTAGATAGGTCTAGGTCTAGGTTCAGGTGTATTGTATATACATATCTATCTGGAAAGAAATATATATTGAATTCTTTTTGGGGTTTGAGGGGCTTCAACTTGTTTTTTTTTTGTTGTTTTTTTCTTCTTTTTTACTTGTCTAATTTCATTCTTGTTCTTATCTTCATTGTCCGTCTCAGCAGCCTGATGATATATAGATACATATATACAAGATCTTACAATCCCATCCTATCCTTTCCTTACTAGCAAAGCCTATATACCATCATCATTATTAAAAAATAAATCAATATTAAAATCTATACCCAACTAACTAACTAACTAATTAGCTAGCCAGATCCTCAAGATACCAACCCATCAATCCCTCGAAATCAGAAGTATTTTATAAGTATACATAGCTACCCAATCACAATATAATCTCCCAACTCCCAAGCACAACCCACTCGTCTTCTTGAAAAGTACTTGTTCCAGGTGCGAGGGCTACTTCGCCTTGGGTTAGGTTGTTTTTGGATGGGTGCGATGGGCTTGATGCGCTGGGATGGTGATGGTGATGGTGGTTGTTATCGGTGGTTTGGGAGATGTTAGGGGAGGTGGATGGGGAGGCAATTTTAGTGTACATGTGGGGTTCTTCGTTGAGGTCTTCGTCGGAAAATTCTGAATCGAATTCTGAGTCGAGTAAATGGAGGATGGTGGATAAATTTTCTTGTTCTTCCTTTGCGGTGTCGAGCGCTGGTGCTGAATCGGGATTTGGATTTGGATCTGAATTCTGTGTTGTAGGTGGAGTGACTTCTTTCTCATCTTGCGGCACATCTAGTTGCGGCTGTATGGAGAAACTAGACTGAGATAGACCGGAAATAGGAGATTCTATAGCTTCTATGACCTTTATCAATGTCAGAGCATCCTGTTCCTTTTTTCCTTGGATTTTCCACTCCTCAGCTTCATTTTCGCTTTCTTCATGTTTGAGCTCAGCTGATCTCTGGTAATTAAGTACCTCCTCCTCATCACCCAATTCCCTAAGTGCCTCTTCGGCAATCTCCTCTACCCTAGCCTCAACACGCGCAATTGCCCGTTTAATCTCTAGAGATCTCAATCTATTAACTATTTTCCCATTTTCCTTCTCCTTCTCCCTAATAATTTCTCCCCCAAACTCTAAATTTCTCATCTTACTAACAATTTCCCCGTGCTTGCCAGCTGTAGCTGTAGCTGTAGCTTCTTCTCGACGACGCTTTCGTGCAATGGCTTTGCAATCCATACAGCCGCGTTCTTTCTCATATATATACTGATACTGATACTGATACTGATATTGATACTGAGATGGCGCTTCTTGTTGCGCCATTTTTCCTTCAGGATGGGTGGAGTTTATAATTATATTTTCGCATGGTTTTTGTTGGGCTCGAGGGAGAAGTGCTTCCCAGCAGGGTGTGCGGTGGAGGAGGTGGGGTGTGGAGAGGTAGGGGTGGTGGGGGCAGGGGTATTCTGTGGGGGGGGGTTGGGGGGGGGGGGTTGGTTAGTATGTTTTTTTTGCTGCAGCTGGGGAGTTTGAAGGGGGTAGGATGATATCTTGGGAGTGGATGGGAAGGATTAAGGGGGGAATGATGAAGATGAGGATGAAAGAGCTTGAGATTATGTATACTAACCTTGCACAATGAACATACATCTACCACTTTTCTCTCGTAGTTTCGTAGTCGAGATGGGAGATTGTGTATGTGCTGGTGTGATTCCGCGTTGACTAGCGAATATTTCTGGAAATGTAAATTTTGGAAATGAAGACATTTTTTCTTTTGTTGAATATCTTTTGTTTCATTTTGAGTATTGAGTTTGAAATTAAAAACTTCAAGTTAAGTAAAAGTAAAGTGTTGTGATTAGGGGATGGAGGAAATGTAATTAAGTCTTAGATATGGTATTGTGATGATATTGTAGAGAAGGTATCATGGCTCGGAATATGAAGAAATAACTTCTAATTATTATGTTTGAAAAAAGGATTTCTTTTATATATATTTCTAAATAACAAAGTCTTATAGAGACAGTAGTAAAAACCACTGGTTAATAATAATACGCATACTTAATTACAAACATGGTATCACTCTATGATTTGGCATTGATTGCGGAGTTTTTACTACAGTACATATGTATTGTGAATATAATCTCTATTCACTTTGATGACTTGGTACGGAATAGGGAATAATAATCTGCTGAAGCTCGTGTATATATCGGTATATATCATAGAGTTTATGATCTAAATTTGAGAGAGCAAATAGGACGGATAGAAGAAATTTAGATTTCGATTTTGGGAGGAATTTGAAAGAGACTTTGTTTGTAGGCTAGGTGTTAATGTCGATGTGTTTGTTTGTGTTTATGGTATTGGATGAATCATATAATATACAATTAGGATCAGTGACAAGTTTTCTAAAGTTGGTTCATTAGTTAGATAATTGTTGTCTAGGAGGCAAAATGAAAGCTTTGTAAGACTTATATTCATGCTTGCTATAAATAAATACAAAATGGCTGAGCTTTCATTTTGAGAGGATAGAAACACTATAAAGTAAAGGCGTATATAGCGTATGGTCTCGTAACTCGTTTCTCGGAGGATATAAAACCATTTCTCTAGTTGAATACACGAAGCTCTTCTATTAATTCCCTTAGCTAGCGAAATTATTGTAATTAATATCAATACCACTAATGATCCATTCAAGAAATTTGTATCTCTATCATTGCTTAGTATCGCAATCATGAATGTCAGTTCGAAAGCGTACTATTCCGAGCAAATCAAAAATGTTCTGAGGAGGTTTCGCTTACTGAAAAATGAACGTTTTTGTTCCGGATTGCAAAGCATAGGTCGCGAAGTTGATATGGAAGAACCGTTTCAGGGGTTTATATATTGATTTTGGTACGATGTTGCGAGATTTCAACATTAATATCTCTATGAGAGGTTTGGACTCTTGAGAAAGGTACGTCCGGGGCTTCACTTAATGACTATTGCAGGGGGATTTTTACATTTTCCCGTAATTCCTCCCCTTTAGTCTGATATAGAATATCCAATAGACTTATCGCATAGTCCGTATAGTCTATCAAATCGAATACATCATGAATTTAGTACCAATAATGATTTTTCCTTAGAAATTACAGAAACATCCCTTACCTCGAAAGTTATTTTGTGAATGATAATGCGCTCGATATACATGCTCTAATTTAACTAACAAGTTCTAATATATATTTTCTCATCTTTTCCTTCCAATTTAAGCTAACTTTTCTCAGCAGTCGATACAGGAAATAGGAGTCAATATAATCCACAAGGCAAAAGCTCAGTCTACATCTAATATTACTGTATGGAATGCAGACCATTTACAATTTCTTCAACTTTCCCCATAAATTCTTCCATCGCTTCTTCACCTGGCTAACCACACACCTAACGTTAGAAATTTCGCATTTCTTTCTATTACTTTCTAGTCCTTCTTCAATTACAATAGACGCATGCCTATATCCTCCAATAGTTGATCTTCGTGTCGGAAAGGCTCTTTGGTTCTCAAACTTCGTTATTTCTTGGCTCCTTTGACTGCGATTTATAGATTGGCAATCAGTTTCTACATCCGGAATACTTCGGTTTTCATTCAGTAGAAACTCGGCTGCTGCTGTTAACATTCCCCCATCTTCTATATTTCCTGTTCGCTTGGCTGTATTGCTGTGCATAGTGTTATCCATACTTTGCCTCAAGTCCATCATTTTCTTCTTATCATCTTCCACATTCCTTCCAATCTCACCCTCCACTTCAATCTCCATCTCAATCTCTCTCTCAGTTTCACAATTCTTCTCCTTCAAGAACCTCCCAAACCGACAATCTTCACAAATATCCCCATCATTCCTCAAAAATTCATACCGACACCCCTCACTCGAACACATACCCCCATAACGAGCAATACATATAGATGTATGAATAATATTGGTAGGATGAGTAAAAGGCTGTACGAAATGTGAACAAGCACAAATAGTGAGGAGGTAGATACATTTTTTGCGGTGAATGACGAGGTGTGGGGTTGAGTGTGAGTTTGGTGATGTTTGAAGGGGTGGGGATGAAGATCGAGGTGGGAAGGAAAATGTATGCGGGGGATGGAGTGACATTTTCTGGGTGTTGATTTGATTTTCGGTTTGTATATAAGCTGTGCAAAAATGGAGGGTTTGTGTGTATGAGGGAGAAATTTTCTTTGGTAGAGACTGGAGTTGTAGAGATAGACAGTGAAAATTTATAGAGGAAGACGTGGGGGCTGGAAATAGGACAGATGAGAAGATAGTGTGATTCAGTGATAAAAGTCGTATATACAAGAAGACTTCTATGAATGAGTGAATGGATTTCAAGACAGAACTTTCAATCTGTCTGTAAATATCCAACACTGACAATTTGGCACATGATAGGATTTGTAGGTACAAAAAGATCCAAAAATCTTGTTTCTCGGGTAAAAGAATAGGAGTTTAGATGATCTGTGAATGGACGCTGTCACGATAGATAGTATTAAGATAAGCGGGAAACGGGTGTCAAAATCAACAACAATAGAAACTAAATGTGAATAACCTCCTGCAATACCACAGAAAAGAACATCCACCGCAAAACCTATCAATAAATTACCTTTTGGATTGACTAAAGCTACATTCTAAAATCCACTGGTATCGTAATTTTACACCAGAACCCATAACCCCTTCTTTCGTTCGCTTAGCACCCCAAACCGCCGCTTGGATTAGGATTACAGAAGCGGCAAAAGGCAAAACTCTCGTCTGACGGTCAGAGAATGATGCTCCTAGAATTAAAACTGTTGTCTAAGCGTGTATAGATTGGGATTAAGAAAGCTTTTCGCTGGCTCATGATTGTTCGTGGTTGAAGGAGGAGGGGTCTGATTTTCCGTGAGTCATGCGGGATGCTTGGAGTAAAACGATTGCTTCGTTGTGTTTGGGGGCTATAGCTTGAAAAAGCTGCAGTTGGCATAAGATTAGGGTTTGGGTTTGGTAAATATTGTAGTGGACTTTACTTCTCGTCATTTTTAAGTGTTAAAGTGAGTTCTAAAGCTATAAATAACATAGTTAATCTATAAATATAGAAGACTATTGAGAGGTTAGAGAATGCCCGTAACTTTTTTTGCACACTTCTTGGACATCTTAGCCAAATAACATAACCCTCCGAACCACAACTATAGATTTTTAACTCATTTTTAAGCCCATTACTCAATATAAGTTCCTCAAACGGTCCAGCATACTAAGTACCAGCAAGACGGCCCGACAACTGAAGTAGAAAGATGGCGTGAAGGTATGAAAATATCACTACTGTAGGAAACTTCGCAAGCCTGATAAAATACTGTGCAGAACCTTATATGGAAGAGATCTGCAAAATCTGCAATTCATAAACCCTTTCTGCAGGATCTTGCACAGCCTATGAAGCAATTTTGTTGTAGAATGAACGGCACCATGCGAAACCAAGGGAAATTACTCTGATCGCTGCCATTGATCAGCTCTCTGCAGAATGCTTCACCCTGTCAAGCACGTTTATGGCGCTGCGCATACTCTACATGAATCTTGAAATGCGATTGAAGGCACTTGCCGCAACACTGCAGGAATCCAAACACCCGGAGTATATAATAGGTAATTATTTTATATTTTAAAAATTATACTCAGTCCCTAGATCCGAACTAGCATTCCAAGATAGTCTAGTCTGGTCCAAAAAAACAGGAAAGTCGATGATGTCATCTGAAATAATCGCTTGCCTTAACCACACTCTACCTACTTAGCTCAGGCTCAATAAATAAAGCCCGGGTTTTGAAGAAACAGTAAATCACCTGTATATTCTTCCGCGCAATGATGACTAACGATCTGAAGTTCCGACACATTGATGATTCCACATTCATACACTTCTTGATTTCATGATAAGATAGATGGTTGCTATCGCAAAGGAACATATATTCCCTTCAAACGGGTGTATTACTAGCAACTCTGAAATATTGCTTTGCGATACCTTTATTTGTGCAAAGCTGCTAGTTGACCTTATATCTTACGAAGAGGGGATAGGGTGTCTGTAGATTCTTTTCTGGATGAGAATAGAGATCGAGGAATCTGAGAATCAAATGGAACGAAAGATATTCCGAGTTAAATGGGCAGATATGAAAGAAAACTAGGAACTAAACAGGGATGACGAGAGAGGACGACTATAGCGGTAGCAGAACAGATCAAGCTGTTCACCATATGCAAAATCCAACGTGCTGTTCTAAAAAGAGATGAGATACATAAAACTAGATTCCCAGTGTTTCGGACATTATGCAAAAACAATACATCATTGGTGAATGCATGAAACGTGAGTTCGAACTTTAGACGAGGCATTTCCCTAGCAAAAGCGATGGAGTTGTCAACTATGAAACAACAAGGGACAACAGGAAGCTCTTCTTTCAATCTCAAACAAAATAGCATTGGCTATTTACATTGTAAAGACATCAAGAGAATAAGAGCTGGATATGAGTTTAGATAGCATTAGATATCTATATCTTCAAGCGGGATGACGAGTACACCAGATACAGAATTTTAGACCTTCAGAGGGTAGCTCAGGTGTAATGTTAATGCAAAAAATAAGTACTTATTTGAAGATTTGGGTGATTTTCTATAAACATCCATTCTTCAGAAAGCTAATAAAGCATCAGTCTCAAAGAAACACTGCCAGAAACACATCACATCTTCACTCTATAGAACCACGTTGCGCGAATGCCTGTCAATGAAACCTCTCTTCAAGTAAAAGTGCAATTTCGAATCCCTAAACAAGCCGCTTTCTCGAAATAAACCTTAGCAGTGATTGCCAATGAAGAGTCGTCCTAAAATCAGATTTTTGGAAGACTGTGATTGACCATCACTGGCCTGCTTTTGGGATCGCTTTCAAGATCAGATAGGTATTCCCTATGATAGAAATTAGACCAGTGATCTGCACCGTGCTGGCACAAGATGATACGTTATATCAATTTAGGAATGATGAATCTTACTGCTACTCTGGTAACGCTGCAAGCTGTTGCTGGCTACGCTACATACACACATATATTGCCATTATTCTATCAACAATCAAAGGTAGCCTGCTGAGCATCTTCAAACAAATACACAATCTCCATGAATGCAGTCTGGATGTATAGTTAACTTATCAACAATTCAAAAATGGTAAGTCTTACATTTATTAAAGATTTGATATATTATATTGGAGGTTATTTCGCAGTACTGATGCATGATACAAACTATCAATACTCAGAAGTATAAAGCCTGAAAACCAGAAAAAGCTCAGGGACGCTAGCATCACCCACGCTAAAAATACACACTAAAAACTAACGAAGCGCGTCATCCCGCAGCCAATTCGTCGCGACAACCAAATCGCAAAAAAGTAAAGTAAACAATCGCTCATTGGAAGAACCATCACCGTCGCAACAACGATAATTCACCAACACTCACACATCCAACATCTTTCCAAACTCTCCCGCGTCACCAATTACCAACCTAGCGCACGCAAAACTCAAAACCCACAAACAATGCCCTCCACAGCCAACACCACCTCCCCATCCCCCTCACCTCCCCCCCAAGCACCCACCCCCCTCACCCCCGGACCCCGCGCCAGCCGCCTCCAAGACGTCTACGAAAAATCTCTCACCTCAGCCCTAAACACTATATCATATCCAGCATTCTCCTCATGTTTCCAACCGTCGCAAGTAAAGTTGCTGCAGGCGTCTAAAGCCAATACATGGCCAGATGGTATCACGATTACGACAATTTGCACTTGATGAATTTGAGACGATATTGCGGGAGCGGAGGGTAGTGGAGCGGTTAAATGAGTTGGAAGGGGTGATTGAGAGTGCGAGGAGGAGGAAGGCGAGGGAGGTGGATGCGGATGTTGAGGTTGAGGGGGGGAAGGGGGGGATTGCGTGAGTTTTTTTTTGGTCTTCTAAATGTTTCTTTTTCTTTTTATTCCATTTCCAAGCGCAGCGCAGCGCAACATATCCCCCACTCACACACTTCCTCTCAACCCCAAACTAACACCCCCATCCATCATAGTCCGCACACCCTCCCCGCACCCTCCATCCTCGCCGCGCATCTAACCCCAATCTACACAACGCAACAATCGCAACTAAACGCCAAACTCCAAACGACACAATCTCAAAACGCGATATTAGCAGAAGAGATACGGAAACAGCGAGAAGAGATTGAGAGGCTGGTTCGAGGGGTAGAAGTAGTGATTGAGGATTTGGATCGGGCGAATGCGGTTTTGGAGCGGGAGGTGGATGGATTAGGGAAAGAGGCGTTGGAGGCAGAGGCGGTTTTGAGGGAGGTGTAGTAGAGTTGGTTTTGGTTTTGGTTTTTGGGAGGTGTGGGATATTGATGGGAGTTTGGAGTGAGGGGCGGTTATAGAAATGCATTCATTGGAAATGGGGAGTTTTGGATGGATTGGAGTTAAATGGATCTCGTGGCGTTTGGAAATTTCCATCAAGATATTTGGTATACAGAGGAGTTACTCAAGCTCAAAAATGGGCCCTATCAAAACTAGGTCATTGAATAAGGTGTATAGTTTTTATGCTATATTGAAAGCCCATGCAATGACGAATGGCGCACCATGTAAAAATACAAACAAACAAAAGTAAACCTCCAAAAACACCCCAAATCATATCCCATATTCCCACCTTGGTATCTATAATATCTTTGCACTATTCATCCAAAAGCCAAATATCTGTATATTGTACGCCCGCCACATTTGAGCAATCCCCCATGTAATCCCTCCAGCATTTCCCAAACCAACAAAAAAAAACCAAAAAACCAAAAAACTCCACGCCAATTCTATAATTTCAAGCCTTAACCAGCGACCCATTATGATCTATTTTCCACCTCCCGCAATACTCCTCTCCATACTCCGGAGGTTCGCATTGCGTTAACGAACCCGTGCTCCAATCTACAATCCACTGTTTGCCTTTCATGATGAGATAGTTTGATTTTCGAGGCGAGCAATTTGTAAGGATAGCCATGCATTTCTTGGCATATAACATATCGTATCGAGGAGACCATGCGTGTTCCGGACGCCATTTTCCCGTGTCGGGACAGAAGGAGTGAGAGGGTATGGGGTTGGGAGTGCGTCGATGCAGCATGCGGTGACGACGGGGTCGACCGCCTATGAGACCCATTTCTTGGAGGGCTCGAAGAGCGGTCTCGGCTTCGGTTACGCAAGCTGGGGGCGTACGGGGTGTGTGGGGTGGATTGGATCGAGATGTGGGTGGAGCTGTTGACGGGCGCGTGGTAATTCTTTCTCGGGAGTTGCTTGAAGTTGCGAGGTTGGGGTAATGTGTTCGGATGAGTTCTTCTTGGGCTCGGATAAGCTCGTCGTTGACTTGTATTTCTCTTGCTTCCCTTCGTCTCCTTCGTCGTGAACGTGGAATGGATTGATCTTTTGGAATTTGTCGTTCATCAAGCGGCATGGAAATATCGATGGCTATGAAAAGTGATTGCAGCCAGCTGACGAATGTTTCGATTTTGATGCAAGATAGAAGGAACTGATCTGCTTCTGCTCGGACTCGGATAACATAGTTTTTCCTAGCAGCTATTAGTATCACTAATGAAGAGACAGTATTTGTAGACCTACTTGACATAATCTGCAGCGATGCCAACCTCTGCATGCTGCAAATTATAACTTCCCAATAAACTTCCGCGCTTCGTACCAGCAGGCATATCTGGTGTACCCTTTCTCTCTCCACACTCCAGACCAAATAGGCCCGGTCCTTTGAATTTATGGAAGGTCAAAAGAGTCCCTTGCAATGTCGCCAACACTCGATACCAATTTCTATCCGAAGCCCTATGTATCGCGCCCTGTAGTTCCATCTTCCTCATGAATACATTTTCCAGACTGATACCCGCGGAATATCCTGGAAGCGTCTCTCTTCCTTCATCTTCTCGAGGTTGAATATTCAAACGACTGCGCATATTTTGAGAACGAACCGAAGCATCGTACGAAGGAGGAGAGTCGAGTAGAGGATCTACTATCGACGCTGAATCTGCTGGCTTATCCTCAATTTCGACATCGATATCGATCTCTGGCTCTGGTTCCTGTTCCTCCTCTGGTTCCTCCTCAACTTCTGGTTCCTGTATTTGATCGGAAGACTCATTTTCCTGCTTGTAATATTCCTCCATGGAGACTCTCCTCGAACTCGAGATTGGCGCTATTTGAGGAGTGATTGTGATGTCGTCCATGGTTACATGATTTCTGAAAAGTTCAGTACCGTTTGTACTCATGGCTTACGTTGTTAATGTGTTCCCTCAAGAATATTAGATCGCGTTGCACAGGTATTAATGCTACATGATCATGATTCACAGGATTTGTGCCGCATGCAGCCAAAGTGAATCTGGGAACGTCTCCTATTGTTTGAGTCTACTGAATAGGTCGGTTTCAATTGGGTTTCCCTGAGGTTAATTTGAGTGTTGGCACAGGAAAGAATTAAGACAAAAAGCTCAAGAAGTTGGATGGAGGAAGAAGTAATGTGTTAATCAATCTTACTCATGTCTTCCTTCCCAAAGCGAAAAGGAGGTGATGGGATGTGATGGGATAACCAAAAAAAGCATATCCCTAGTAACCAACATTCCATTCCCCGAGAGCAAACCTAATACTTGATGTAGTGTGACTGCGACTGTATCTGGTGTATCTGGTGTATCTTTGAGTCTTGTCTTGAGAGAGCTTTTACATACGACGCACAGCGATTAATCATATACCTGGCAAGAGACGAAAGATATAATTGGATGTTGTGGGGGAAATGAAGTGTTCAGTGTTCATGTCCAGGCTGAAAGTCACACTTTTTGGCTGGTGTAATTTTAAATGCTGACATATGAGTTCTTAGGCCACGCTGGGTCCTTTTAAATGTTGTACGGAGTAACCCTCGTACTCCGGACCTACCCCCTACCTAGTAGCTCATCATTGACATCAATTTATCCAACGCTACTACAATTAGTAACATAGATCTCTGAATCTTTGGGATCTTGGATCTTTATGTGATCCTTCCTTACAAAATCAATAGCTAGGGAGCTGTGTCAGCGCATGTAACGGTCCCAAAATAACTACAGCAACCGTGGGACTTTAAAGCTGGCGTGAAGCTGGCGGCTGTGCGAATCAATCTCGTGTACTTTTCTCAGCTCAAAGACTCCAACAAGATACAAGACTCATCATTAAATCACCCTGAATCAGATTCCAAATTGAGAAATAGAGGAGGTTTTGCTCGGTCAAGCCTTGCCATTACGGCAGACCATGTTGGCTGCGCCAAAAGGCCTTGGGGCAGTAAATCCTTGTTCTTACCACTCAGGGATTAGTACACGCTGTTCGTCATGATAAGATCCTTCTACTGGATTTAATTTTCTGTTGCATCTCTCACTTCCTTGTCCTTCAACGTGGCTTTCCTCTTAGTGGTTCGAGAGAGTTGGGAACGTTTAGGTTGCATGTCTTATTTTTCTGATCCGAGGTCCTCGGCGTGGTTTTACACACGATTACAACCTAATACTCTCTATCTATATCCCGACCGAGGCTCTCCACTATTAGCACCTCATTCTGTAAATCTCACCTATCTGATAGCGCAATCCGAGTGGACTGCTGGAAGGAGTTCATGCCTTTAATTCTTTTTCTGGTTAGAGGTGCCAATGGTACGGATGAATCGTGCTGTTGGATCTGGTCTGATGGGAGCTTGAAAGGCTGCATACGATGCGGACTCAAACACTGGAACTCATACAAGTATACTACTTCACAATGTCCTAAATTTGGACAGTTCGAGCCATTGAAGGCTTAGTAATATCTTTACCCTGTTGCTTAGTTTTGGGTGTCATGGTTAGTAAGACGGGATGGCCGTTCAATCATGACATGAAGATCGTAGAGTTGTGCTCTCACTACCACGCAAAGAAAATCCTAATAGTCATATCTTATTCATCAAATAAAGTCCCTCTCGTATAAAGTAGTCACACAACTTGCTATCGAATACCTCCTGAGCTGTATTGGCGTAAGAAAAAAGGTACTACCATGTTTCCTCTTCCCCAAAAGTCCTTCGATCAAAGCATCGACTGCGAACTGAACGTTCAACAATTATACAACCTAAAGGGAGGAGCTGGCACATAAACCGGTGAAAGCTTTCACCTGATTATGGTAAGGTAGGAAAAAGGATCCGAAATATAAAAGGAAGGAGAATCAATGACCTTCCTACTCAGATATAAATAAACCGTGTAAGAACTGTGGCAGTCCTGAACTAGAATAAACAATATAAAAATACATAGCCAGTGAATGAAGAGATGAAATTATTCTTAAAATCCAACCTATTATTTCACAAAGTAGATATATATACTCCAAAAGCAAAAGCATTCAGTACATGTAATCAATTTAGACAATTACAATTGCAATTGTAACTGAAATCACCCCGCGGCAAATATAAAAATAAAGGGAACTGTGGGGTAAATTCAAACGTGGGGTAATAAAATTGGATGGCGACATATCGCGCATTTATCAGTCTTACCAAAATCATCAGAATATTCTTAATAATTATAATTTGTATATATTTATTAGTAGGTATGATTTGCTGTTGGTGTTTTTTATGATGGTTTAGTGGATTTATATCTATATATATAAAATGCCAGAACGCCAAATAAGCAATACTCGATGGATGGATGGAAATGTAAGATTTATCATGATATGCTATATTCGGGACGCTTTGTAAGTTTTTATGGAAGTGTAGTTTTATTAAAACCTGAAACATAGCTGATATGTAAGATACTAGGTATGTATCGTGGAGTGGAATGCTTGATCGGTTTGTGGAACTATCTAGTAGATAAGATTATTTATTATTATGCTTTGGGTGGTAACTTCTGTCGTCTTACTGTATTTTGTAGGATTATGTGACCAAAAGGGTGTTTATAGACCAGCAATTGTATTTAACTTAGAATCTACAGGTGAAGAGCACCTGTAGATGGGGATAGCTACTCTATATATACACAAATGAATGGCCTAGCCGCAATGGCTAGGCAAAAAGAAGTCATATTTATCCCTCCAATGATCTTACTTTACCGATAACCATTGATACCTAGTACTTGTCCGGATCTGATCCTCAGGTCACCTAAATCGTATACTAATCCCGAGTAATCGTATCATGTGTGGACATGGTTAATGTACCTGAGGTTTCTTATATAATAAGGGTGGGAGGAAAGCAGGGATTTCCGTCACAGATTACTATATCTTATCACCTTTCAGTCATTCATGTGCTACTGTTCATCTCATGGTTATTAGACTTTCTATATCTTTTCCTCATTTTCTATATCAAAGTGTTTATATCGATAATCTCTAAATACCTATGTTGTTATCATTATCTTTTTGTTGTGTTGGTATTACTTTGGATGATACTTATTCTTGCTAACTACACTATGAGAAGAGAGTCCTATATAGATTAAAGGGAGATACATACAAGAGTTCGCTAGTAGTACGGCTTCATATCATATGAGGCTAATCACATGAAGTAACTTACTTACACTTTTTTAGCTTTGTTTTACGTTTTATGTGTACTAGGTATCTCATCGTCGCGTATTCAGTAATAGCGGAGGGATTTCTGAGTAGTACTTTTCAGACTCGAAGACGGATGTTAACGTTAGAATACTGTGAGTGTATCATACCGAGCATTGATTGAGATTACCAGTGCTAATTCTTCACTGTCACTTAGTTTCTCGAACTCTTGAAAACAGGGTATCTTTACTGGTAGTGAGTGCAACGTGTGAGTTTGTGCAATGGTATTGGTCATTGCAATAAGCCGAAGTGCAACCTGCGTGTCAAGAGACGCGAACCTCTGTCGAGGATGCCTCTACCACCACACAAGCACTTAAATCTCAAGGTTGTCAATTGTCGTCGAGACGCATTTTTTGCAGGTGCATCAAAATATCGAGAATGCTGTCGTGATAGATGTAAGTAGTCTAAATCAAGTCAAAATTTTGACTAATAAAACTGAAGTATCCGTTGGAGCAGGAATCCAATGGTCCACTGTTTATCCATCGATGGAAGCCGCGAAGATCAGAATTATAGGTGGCAGATCTGTTGGTACCCGCGTTAGAGGTCTAACACTTGAGTAGTATTTCTTTTCACTTGAACGGTACAGGTTTGCTTACGATAAAGCTAATAACTATGAAGTATCTTCTTCCTAGTTTCAATATCTGAAAACTTACGTAAAGTGATAGGTAGTCCTTGTCAATGGTTTTAGTCGGAAGTTCAACCGAGAATCACACCCAGATCTATATGGACATTGAGGGGAAGTGGGAAGACTTTTATCGTGACAAGATTTGATCTAGCTTTGTTCGAGCAGGGTGATATGTGGGGCGTGATGACGATTCCAAACGCAACAGAACTCCATAATGCATTTGAGGCCTTGATCAACTTCAACATCAATCATGCTCCTAATCCATTTGCCGCAGTCTTTGTGGTATATGCCTATCTACCTTTGCAGGGACCACACTAGTCAGTGCTACCTCGAATTATGGAAAGCCAATCATCAACCCTGCTTTTCAGCAATTTTACAAACTTGGCTAGCATTTCTTCTAGCTTAAGAATTACGAACCTTACGTCGTTGGTTAATTCAACGGCAGCAACACAACCACTTGGACTGAGGAAATCATACTGGATACTGACCATGTTCAATGACGCCGAATTAATCAATGATATCTGCAAGATCTCCGACCAAGGAGTCCAAACAATATCAGTGCTGCGACGAATGTAATACCTATCATTGTTTTTCAACCAATTTCTAAGCCTATAATCTCAGTTCAGCAAGAATGGAGGAAATGATCTTGGTATAACGATAGAGTATGGTCTTCTAATCCGTAAGTAAATGTTTTAGAGCTTGAGTTCATTAACAAGTATAATTGAATGACTCTAGTCTCCAACATCGCAAATCAGTGGACCAAAGTCAACGGATGATTCGGGAGCCGTAATGTTCACCGAAAATCTCGTCGCGCGGTCAACTGCTTTAGCAAAAGAGCGAAATCGGTGACATAGCTTTTTTGTGCTAAAGTTATGCAGCACTTCAGCAGGATGTATTTTCGAGCTATGGGGAAAAGAATCATAAAGGGTTGATTGAGGTTTCGGAGAAGAATAACCAAGACGGTGTGCCCATTCGGCTGCAGCATGGGTATTTTAGGATTTGTTGAGGTATGTCGCATGTTTGGAAACGGAAATGCACGGTATCCTTTTCAATTGATTGACTCGAATTATATCGTATGCTGGCATGCTGATACGGATGTGGCTGCTTCTGTTCATTACAGGACAAGTTAACACCAGCCGTCTAGCAGTGTCATGAGCTTTACACGTGGTTATTCAGGCTATTATTCCTATCATGGGGGGCCTTCTAACATGACTTTGGGCTATTATTAATTTTTGGATGAGCCCCTTATTTGAAAATACTGCAAAATACACCAAAGGTTCAAGGAACGTTGGTTTTGCAAATTTTCAATCCGCATACCCGAACAACTTTTCGATTACATTATTATCATGTACTTGGCTTCCGAGATGCCGTCCTCCTCTTTTCAAAGTATAATACATTCTGCTAGTCAGCAGATCATCGTATCGGGGAATTATTTGACTTCATCCTCGGGCCAAGATTGCTTATCAGATGTAAGGTTTTACCCCTGTATTCGGATGATTTCCATCCATCTGATAACAAAAAGCCTGATTGCGGGGACGTTTCCACAACTTCTCATTGACTTCATTGGAAAATATGAATAAACCCATCAGCATTAGTGGGGCAAAGTCGTGTTCACGTTGGTCATAGAATACTACGAGCCGTAGAATTAAAACTCTATAAAGAAGATAAGATGAATTCAAAATGGAGGACGTTTTTCGCTCTCCCTTTTGACCCACTTCTCTAATATTTTGATTTCCTATCATCTCAGCCTTACCTCAACCTCTGGGGATATATTTCGGCTATGTCAAGTGATCACATAGTTGAGAGTGTTTATCCAACCTCGGTTACGCCGTCAATGGGTCGCGATGCTAAGGAGAAAGATGAAACCGTCGTATCAGCGGCATCTGCCAGCGACAATGAGGAGAATTCATCGGGTATTGCCAATGATGAACATCCCACTGGGAATGATATACCTTTGAAATGGAAATTGACTTCAATTATCTTGGTTTCAATGATTGGTTTTGGCTCACATTGGAGTTCTGGCATAACGGGAGCGATGAAGTCAACAATTAAGAAGGAGATGAAAATCAACAACAAGCAATATGCTTTATTAAGTGCCAGCCAAGATTTTATGGTCACAGCTTTAATGTTGGTGAGCGGTGTCGTTACCGATAGAATTGGAGGAGCGGGTACGGAAACCAAGACTTGTCGCTCCATTTGACGACTTACTCACAACTTTCAGGGGCAATATTTTACGGCAACATCATCTTTACCATTGGATCAGTTCTCATTGCCGGAGCTGCCCAAACTAGAAATTATCAATTTATGATTGGTGGTACAATTGTTCAAGCTTTTGGAGATATAGCCACTCAAGTTGCACAGTATGTAGAAGTTCTCATTCGATCAATGAAAATATCTAACATGTGTACCAAGATATAAAGTTTTTTCTTCATGGTTTGCGCCCAATCATGGATTCGCCTCGACTCTTGCACTTGAGTTAGGAATTGGTAAAATTGGTGCATTTGTTGGTAAATCATCGGCCAATATCATTTCTCAAAACACTGGGAATTTCGCAAATGTGTATTGGGTCTCAGTAGCCATGAATCTCTTCTGTAATTTGATGACTCTCGGCTTTTACATCTTCACTCGTTACGCCAATAAGAAGTTTCCATCTACAGCCGATCCAGCTACTGGTGAAAAGCTCACAGAAGGCAACAAAAGTTTTGAATTGCGTAAAGTTCTTGAATTACCCTGGACTTTCTGGGTGGTTTTGTCCTTTTCGCTGTTTGAAACTTCGGTTGCTAATCTTTTTACTAATAATGCAACGGAGATGGCTGAGCAGAGATTAGGTGTATCATCTGTACGAGCCGGGTGGTACACATCTGCTGTTCAATATGGTGGTAAGGACCTTAGATATTCCGAAATCTAGGACAACCAACGATACTAATCATTCCAGGATTCTTCTTCGTTCCTCTCATTGGAATATTTGTCGATATATGGGGAAATAGAATCACCCTTTGTAAGCACAATCATCTTCCTTCCTCGCTAACCTCATGCTTACACGCTCAGTTGCCGTCATGGGACTTTCCGTCTTAACATCAATGAGCGTTATAAACTGGGCTCCTTCAATCCACGGTACTGATGCCGCATTTGGAATTTACGCTTTTGCGTATTGCTTCGGACCAACTTTAATCGTTGATAGCATTCGAACATCAATGTGGCATCAATCCGTCTTCGGTTCCGCAGTCGCTCTCAAACTCACCCTGAATAACGCGTAAGTCCCTCCCTTCTTTTCCTTCTCCATCCATCCCTCCATCTACCCCCCGCTCTAAACTCCCCACTAACAAAACCCCCAAAAACAGCATGAGCATAATCGTCAACATAGTCGCCGGCGTAATCCAAGACTCGGACCACAACTCCTACAACAAAGTAACAAACCTCTACGTTGCGCTCGCCGCCGGCGCCGCCGTCGTCGCCCTCCTCATGGTCGCCCTCTCCTATTTCTGCATCGATTTCCGCATTCTGCAATATACGCGTAAGCAACGCGTGGCAAATGGTCAACTGATCAATGAGCGCAAAGAACGCTTTCATAATATGAATGGGGGGAGGAATCGTAGGGTCTCTATGTGGTGTTTTGCGGCTTTGGTGGTTTTGGTCGCGGGGTCGTGGTGTGCGTATTTTTGGGGCGTGGCGACGGGTCATAATAATGGGTAATTAGGGAGAGGTGTTTGGTGGGGGTGTAAGAAACCTAGGGGGTTTGTGATGTATGCGATGTTGATGCGATTTTGGTTGTCATGATCAGATGAGTTTATGAGATGTGAATGATTTGATATATTGTATATAACTCCCAAAAAGTCGCTCCTTTTTATACGCACAAAAATACCTGGAGCAGGCAGGGGTCGGTAAATTTAAATTATCGAAAATTGGGTGGTAATATGATATCTGATGTCGAGTTTTGGGAGATGCTATTATAGGTTATTAGCTCTCAATCAATCAATAGAATAGTATAGAATAGTATGTAGAATTAAAAGTAAGATCTTTTGTATATCAGTGGGATTTTATAGTTATAATTATAGATTTATATTTGGAAATTAGAATTAGGTAATTGCGTATGAGTACGAGAAGAAGAAAAGAAATTGGCTTTTTGGTGTGGTTTCTTTCTTGGTATTTGTAATCTTATGTTTGGATTTGGATGGATTTATGGTTGGGATCTTGTAGTCTTGTATTCTTGTAATTGTAAGTTTAATCGCGAAGTAGGGGGGCTTGGGTGTAAGATGTCAGGTTGATAGATGTTATAATAGATCAAGTCACCCGACGGTCAGTAATAGTGTAGAGTTATTGCACGAGAAGATGTTCTTTCATTGCCTCATTATAAGGAATTGGGAAAGAAGGCACTGATATGCAAGATAGAACATAGAAAAAGGGAAGTGCAATATGCATTGCGGTTTCGCGGTCTAAGGGTTGGTATGGTCTTTTTTGGAGTTTTGGTGCGTAGGAAGGTGTAGAAAGGTGTGGATCTTGGTGTTGTTGGGGGTGGCTAAAGTCTACTGTGTTGATAATGGTGAAGAGCGAGGTGAGAGATACTGCATCAAGGAGGGAATATCAATGATATGATATCTTGAGCTGGGAGGAACTATATGGAGAACTATATGGAGAGATAAGCTGCGATGAGGCCTCATGAAAATCGCATTTTAGGAAGCTGGACTAATCGCCGCACTTTAAAGAGTCTTATGTCTTATAGGCGAGAACTCTCAGTGTTGATAACTGATTTGGAATTTGTGGGTTGTTGTTCTTTCTCGAAGCTCTGGGCTCTTCCGCGTTGAATGTTATTTCGCCTTGTGTCGGTTGGGATATCGGATATGGTTTGATATGTTCATGTAGAGGAAGGTGAGAGTATACAGCCATGGTCGGTTCTGGTTACTGAGAGGAAAAGAATGAGATGTGTAAATAAAATGTGTGAATACATCAATACACCAAAATATCCGATGCCAAACAGCTCTATGCTTTAAACAAGATTTCTCTAGGAATAAGAGCAACTATTGAGCCAAGAATACTTCCAGGGAATGCAGGCAAAACTTGTACTGCTTTCGGAATAGATGATGATATCATTACCCGGGCCATTTACAAAGCTACTACACCACTCTTTCCAGCACTTTAAAAAGGAGTAAAGCTATCAGTAGTAGGATGAATTCCCAAATCCCAGGCCTGGGTAGTGAAGGTGTAAATGACGGAATATGTTATGTAGTACAGACTTCTGTTACTTTTGCCTAATAATCCCGCAATTATCATAGATGTTTATCCATATTAAATCAAGGCAGCCCGCTGGTGATAATGCAGCAGATCTAAGAATCCAAAGCTTGCTGAATACTAGTCTCAGAGACGTGAGATCTCGGTTTCCGTGGTCATGGTAAAGTCTAGTCAGGGTTTGAATTGCTGTAGAAGTGTACGGAGATGGGGTGCCGATCTTTATATGTTCTCCCATGATGACACCTAATCGGTGAACAGTGGGCGACTGACTATTGCCCGATTGAGACGATTATCTTCAGAGATTACAAGGGAAGCGGAGCCGACAAATTACGACGCATCGATCTAACATCTGCGGGAGTTATGACTGGCGACTGACCAGGCTTCAAAACTTCAAGTAGACTCAACTATTCCCACATACAATTCAGAACTAAGCCCCAGCATATCTTTCTACCTATGAAGTAGTAATAGCATTTAATTCCAATATTTGAACATTTTAACAATTAAAGATGGTATCTTGTTCCTCTGAAAAGAGTCTAACAGTTATGAATAATTCGCATACGATAGCTGAAATCCACACACTGAGTGAGGTATGGAGTACTTCCATCCAGACTATGAATAGCCCAAGAAGAAGAAGGATCCATTACCTTTTCCGTTCAACCTTTAGGCCCATCGATAAGACGCAGGTACAATCATGCATCGCGCATCTCCTAGGGAAACTTCTCCGCATTTCCAACTCTTTGACCATACGGAGTGTATTGAGTATATCTATTGGGAGGTTTAGACGCAATACCCCATGAATGGTATTGGCATTCATGTTTGACAAAACTCTTTTGAGAAAAGTTGGCGCGTAATAGTAAAAGCACACAGATCCATCGTCGTGGCTGCATGAGCCGTTATGTTGTCAGGGCACTAAACAACATGTTGTGATTGGTGTTTGCTGAGTTGTACTGTGGATATACTGTAAATTTAGCTGCAGCTACCCAGCCACCAGGTAAAAAGTGATTGTTTTTCGTCTACCCGCGGACCAGAAACTGTCAAGCTTGGTTCCGTTCTAGGTCACATTGATTGATTGATTACCGGTAATAGCATGATTTTATATCTTCAAATGTGTTAATGGATGATCAAAGGCTTCATTTTTGAAAGAATTAATTGTTTCTAGCCGTTCTGCCCAGCTCAATTCATCTTCACCGCATTGGTTACCGAGTGAACCCCCCAAATTATTTACAAGTCAGTACGATAAGGAAGCAAGCACATTTTGGCGGTTACAAGAGAACCTTTTCAACCATATTACAATCATTCCGGAGCTACATTTTATCCACATTCCCCTCTCTTCCAAATAGCGGTATCGAATTCTTCAAGATAATTACCATCTCGATATAATTTAACGAATTTGGAGATTATCTGCCATTAGGCGGCAGATCCGCCCGCCGCCATGGCGACTGATAATCTCTCTCCGGCGGGGAGTAGTACATATTCATCAGATACAATGTATGTTGGAGATGGGACTTGGGATGCTACGAAGAATGATTTTCTATTACCAAATTTGATGGGGTTGAATTTCGAGACAATGAGGTATAATGGTGAGTGAATCTTTGAAAGCATCAGATCACTGGCATTGCCATGGATGAGGGAGCTGACAGAAAGTAGGAATGGGAAATCGATTTGCGACCATGCCTGGATACAAAGGATTAATTACAGCTCATGGTATACTTGCTGCCATTACGTTTCTATTCATCGTACCTGCAGCGATATTCATTGCGAGATTTTATGGTCCAGATATAAGGAGAGCGATACGATACCATATATATTTACAAATCATGACGGTACTTCTATCAACAGCTATTTTCATACTTGGGTGGATGGCAGTCGGTCCTGCGCGAAGTTTAACGAATCCTCATCACGGAATTGGGTTGGCAATATATGTATTAATTTGGGTACAGTTTCTATCGGGCTGGTGGACACATAGTTCGGCGGGGAAGCGAGTTCTGAGAAGGGTTCCTTTCAAAGCATTCTTCCACCAATGGATAGGTCGCGTAACAGCACTACTTGCAATTGCCCAAGTACCTTTAGGATTGACTTTGTACGGATCACCCAAATATCTCTTTATACTTTTCGCTGTCTGGATGGGTCTTCTGGTGTTGTTATACTTCATCCTATCATACAGAGCACTGCAGGCACTTCCAGAAGTAATACGAGAAGGAAGTAGCCATGGCGAGGTAATTCGGGAGAGGAGGAAGAGCTCATTTGGTGCAGGTATACTCGGACCTTTACTTGCAGGCGCAGGAGCTGCTGCTCTGCTTGGAAATCGAGATCGAAAGAGGAGCAAGAGCAGGACCAGGACCAGGACCAGGAGCAGCAGTAGTCATAGAAGCAGCAGTAGTCGCAGTCGCAGTCACAGTCACAGCAGAGTCCGGGAGGAAGTTATACCTTCGCGCCGTGGCTCGGGATCTCGGCGTGGCTCCGTAAGCTATGTCCAAGAAGAGAATCATGAACCCAGGAAAAAGGGCGGTGGAGGTGGGATGAATTCATTGTTTGCGGGTGGTGCTGCTCTCACTGCTGGCGCGCTTGCAAAGACTTTTCTCGACCGACCACGACGAACACAGAATGGAGACGAATATTCCTCTGTTGCTCACGATACTCCAGGTAGAAGGAATCATAGGCGTAATGACAGCGAGTATAGTGAATCTACTATTCCAATTGAGCGAACAGGCCGTTACGAAGATCGTAGGAGAAATCGTCCCATCTTACCCGGTCCCGGAAAGTCAGCATCTGCCGCAGCTGAAGTACACCCAACGACGCCAGGGCCTGTGACTCCCGTGACTCCTCGACCAATACGGAGTCAAGCCGGTCGATCGCATAGTCTTGATTCTTTAAGTTATTCTTACTATGGATCCGGTAGTACTGTTAGTCCATCTCGAAGACCACAGGAAAATCATGGACTACGAAATTCGCTGCTAGCTAGCTTGGGAATAGGCTGGTTTAGCAAGATGATGAAAGAGCGGAAAGAAAAGAAGGAAATGGATTGGGATCAGCGCGATGAAGATGAAGGACGTGAGCGAAACAGAGCTGCTCTAATTCGCGAGAAAGAGGAAACTGTTAAACAAGAAAAAGATCGAATTCGCGAGAAAGAGGAAAGAATTGCACGAAACAGAGCTTCTCGAAATCGCGAGGTAGAGGAACTTGTTGAACGAGAAATAGCTCGAGGTCGCGAGGAACAGGAAAGATATGAACGAGAAAGAGCTTCTCGACACATTAATCAAGGCTCACATTTGACAAGTGACGCATTTCCACCAAGAACTAATCTCAAACGAAGCTCTATAGAATCATCAGAACTTTCATCGCTTGTCGACCCTCATCCTAGACCTGTAGCATCAGCGCCACCTCCAATTCCTGTTAGTATGGGTCAATCTCGTTCCCGCCATGATATCGTAACAGAACCAGTCTCAATGCCTCCCATGCCCGGCGACACACATGGTATCCTCCATCTACCTTCCGATAGTGATATAACACCAACTCCTGGTCAAAACGTCCCCCGATCATCGATTCGCAGAGACGAAGGTGAGGCTGCTGCTGCTGCTGCGGTAGCCGGAGCTGCTAGTCTAGCTGCAGAAGAGGAACGTCGCCGTCAAAGATCTCGCTCTAGATCTGCCGTCGCAAGTCCACCTGTCAGCGTTAGAGTGAAAATGCACGGAGACAAAGAACGCAATGTTACTTTAAGACGACTTACAGAACAAGAAGCGGCAGCAGAACGTGCATCGAGAAGAGCTCGAAGTGGCCAAAGACGTTCAGGAAGGGATTCCATAAGTGATTTCAGTGATGGGGAGGTTTCATCTCGATATCGAAGAGAAGCAGAAAAAAGGGCGGAAAGGAGGGCAGAATCAATGGTGAGAGATAAAAATGATGAAGCGGGCCTCCCACCACCACCCATAGGTCCCCTAACACCACCTAATCCTCCATTTGCTGGAGGAAAGAAACCTAAAGACTCGGGTAACCAATCTGGGAGACCACAAAGTTCTGGTAGACCACAGAGTTCTGGTAGGCCACAAAGCGCCGGTAACCTAGATCCGAGTGTGGCTGGAGGGAGTGTGTTTGACGCGGGGAGGAGTAATATGTCAGAAGATACTCATGGTACATGGAGTGCAATGAGCCCTGATTCCGGCACGGATCATGCTAGGGAAAGGAGGCAAAGGAGGAGAATGGAGAGACAGAGGCGAAGTATAGGGGCAGGGACGGCAGGCAAAGTTGATTTTACTTGAGTGCTTTGTGCTCGAGTTGTATTATTGTTTGGTGTTTGGAGTTGGAAAAAAGGGTTTGAGTTCTGGTGGCCATGAGGTCGAGGTGGCAAAATGGAATGGAACGAAATGCATAATGTCTGTTTATTTCACATCGAATTCCTTTGTATATGGATGACGCAATGACGAATGAGGTCCGCAAAGGGTTATCATAGGATACGAAGAAAATTTTCATGAGAAATGGTTGGAGATGTGTTGAGAAAGTTTAGCCGAGCAACTGCTTCTTCGCGTAGATACCATACCTTGCTTAACTGTATATCCGTTGTTTAGCTTCTTGTTTCTACATATTTTAATTATTATTGATAATTCTTATATTATAATTTCCTCGTTTCTTTTTCTTCTTATTCTTTCTGGGGGTAGTTGGTTAGTTTTGACTTTGTCTTTGTCTTTGGTGCGGTGATGTTATGTGGTGTGGTGTGGTGTGGTGTGGTGTGTGTGAGTAGGTAGGTATATCTTATCTAGAGACTAGATTAGATCTAAGTGGATCATTTGCTCGGATTCAGAAGTTCATATCTGAGGACATGGTAAGACTCACCTAGCGGTGTGAGGTTAGGTAGTAGATAGGTTTGATTGGAAGCGGTGGATTGGATGTGGTGGATGTGGTGGATTACTGTTGCGATGACTTTTGCGATTGTCTGTTCGGTCTGAGGTTTTAACACTCTGTATATATTTTTTTCATACAAATTTAAGCTGTAGTTGTTGTTTGTGTTTTGCTGTTTCTTTTTTTTAATGATATTTTGAGGAAAGAGGAATAGTTGGGGAGAGAAGGCGAAGAGGTGTGGAGAGGGGATGGAAAAAAATATTTTCAAAATTTTTTATTGTTGATTTGTATACGGAGTATGTATGATTGTGGTATTTAGGGGGTTTGGTGCTGTTTTAAAATAGAGTGGTGGAGAGTGGAAAATGGAAAATAGAGGATGGTAGATGGAGATGGAGATGTTGCTTGGTATATGGTGCGGATTGATGATTTTTTATTATTGGAAATGGAGCTTTGAATTAGGAGGTTGTATGCATATGGATGGGGGATGGTCACAAGTGTGAAAAGGAGTGCATATTTTTCTTAAGATTTAAGATAGGAGGCTCCGCGGTGCGGATTTATGATTTATGATTGGGTTATGGCTAGGACTTGATGAGTTTGAGTAAGGTATTATATGGGAGTTGGAGGGAGTCTAGGATTATGACTGTTGGCTTTATGCAAGAAGTCATGAAGTTTGTTGTAATTTTTGTCCTTTTGATTCATTCTTTCTCCTGAGATTACTCAAAGTCGAGTCTTCCCCGGAATAGCAACTCTGCGACCATGGAGTCATGAAGTTGTTGATTTATCGAGTCATGATCAAAATATACCATAAAGCATTTAAATCACATCAAAATGTTACTAGCAAAATTTATCTTAATGACTTACCGTTTCCTTTCCCCAGGTTTTTTTTAAAAAAAAAATTTAATTCATCCTGATTCACACTTCTCTGCAGGTACAATATTATTGTGACTAGGGACCAAGGATTCAATTATTTGCGGCAAATCAACCAAAATGATTCCCAGTCATGTCGAACGCAATCAAATGGCTTTTTAAATACACGGCGTAGGCAGCCAGTGTGGGCTTTTCTGAATGCCCGTGATATGACTTCACACAAAGAAGGGATTTAAAGACCCTGGAACTCTCATGGTAGGAGATTTGAGTCAGAACTTTCCGAGAACGAAGAAATAATGAGCATCTTTGAGGCTTTCACTTCTTGCGAGACCGACTTAAATAGCACTTAAGTTGCGAATTCACTACTTCACAGATCTGTCAGAAATTCCATCATTTTATTCCTATTTCCCCATGAAAGCTCCATCTTTGTGCATTAAATTAAACCTGCCTGCTATTTATCGATAGCTTGTTATGAGCAATAGAAATCAATAGGCTAATAATACTGGGTATTTTGATTATTTGGAATTCCAACAGATACCGAAAGGCATATCGCACTTTCAGGAAGAAATATGTTGATGGATTGACGCATTTGAGGTGGAAAAGATATTCTTAAACGTAATGTTGGAATAATAATGTTATACTCAAACTGCGTGGGAATCTTGTTTTCATCAATGAGTGTGCCGTATCAGAGGCTATCAGAGTCATAAAAGATGTAAATGTTCTTCGCAAAGAAAGGTTGTGACTGTAGGGTCCCTTAACTAGCTGTCACTCCGATCAGATAGGTACTATGGACGACAACTTCAGTTCTCTAGTCGTGTTGGCAAGCTATCTAACTCATTTCATATGTTTGTTAGTGGAAGTTTCTACACATAGTTAAAAGATGGTCCAACTTTTAAACGTCCCAGATTTTGGCGGAAATCTCATATCGTACGACTTTTGGAAGATAAAAAAGATGAATCTCAATCATATGCCGCTTTTATATATACTCATTAACGTTATTCCTCCACACCAGTCAGAGGTGACTACCTAATTACCATCATAATGCGTAATATATCATGAGAAACGAAACCAGAATATGTGTAACTTACATTCATTTCGTGATATAAAAAGGCTCGAGTTCCCCCAAAGTTCTGTTTTATTTTTTTTCCCTTCCAACACATCAATACAGTTCTACGAAACACAAGAAATAACAACTCAAATCAAACAAAGGCAAATAAATCTCAAACTTCGTTTTCTTATTCCAACAACCTTTTTATCAGCTTCTATTACCAAATCAGCACCTTCGATCCCCTCCGTCAGCATCTTTAAAGGAAGACCACAATATCACAGCTCATACTCTTGGTTCCCTCGGCATACTTTACCACCGCCTTTTCCAGAAATTCTAAAAGCATGGATAAACAATCGAGAGATGAAGCACGAGAGATATCCGATAAGGAGATGAAAGAACTTGACAACCTGCTTGAAATATTACTAGGTGCCAGGGTGGAAAATGAGAAGTCTCGACTATCTTCTATGGATAGAGCACTGCACGAACTACTCGAAAAATGTTTAGCAGTATGATACAAAACCTCATCGTTGACGCTGTTGACATAGCTAACATTTTTCTAACAGGATACCAGCCCTAGACCAGAAGTTAATGTTTGGAGATCCGAAAACTTCGAAGCCCTTCAAGATTTTATTAGTTTAGTGAAGGCACATTTCCTCTGCCTCGCTACTTTAACCCTCCGGAGAGTGGGTGACACGGATCTAAATATGGATACTCACTTCAAGTACAAATGTCTTGATGAACATATTCACTATTTCGACAGAGAACAGGACAACATACCTATTCTTTTCTTGGATATATTGATTCACACTGGTAACTTTCACTCAACCATGATTCATCCTACGGGCAGGCTAACACGTTTACTTAGAGCTTCTGCTTATCAAGATTGTGGACCCTTCCTCGAAATGGGCTGTGGGTGTTGCCATCACAGATAGGCTCGAAGAAATTGACCCTGGCTTAAAAGTGGCATACATACAGAAGATGGTGGGTCTGCACCACAGTGACGAATCTTGGTTCATGGCGGTAGATTCCCCGGCAGTCAACCGTCATCTGGATTGCATTAAAGACCATATGAAGGATTTGATTAGGCAATATGGAACGGGAAAACCAATCTAGATATTTGGTGGGCTGGTTGTAAACTTGCCACGGTGTGGGCGGCGTCCGAAAGATGGTAACATAACATAAGTACTAAGCATAATGAAAAAATCGTTGAGTTTCACACATTGCATCTCATATATTCTGAAAAAAACAAAACCTCGAATCATATATACTAATGACAGGATTGAGAATCAACCTGAAATACAGCAACCTATAATTCCTGAAGCAGAGTATACATCTAACACCCCACTTTTAAACCATCTCTTCATTAGATCACTCCTTTACACCAAAAATAAAGATTTTTATTTATTAAAAATTTGATAATAAATAAATGGAAACCTATTAAAAGTTCAATTATAACAAATAAGATATATATAAATAGATTCTGAAATTCTCAAAATTTCTGTAATTTCTTTCAACGAGATATTGAGAATTAAATTATTAAAATCAATTTAAATAGAAATTATATAGAGATTAAAAAATCACAAAAATCTGAAATAATATTTCAATGAAAATTATTAAAAATAAATTATAATTTTTTTTTTAAAAATCTTTAAATTATGATAGATTAAATAGTGTTAAAAGGAATGACCTTACACAGGGAATAGTGGGAAGCTGATAGGGCAGAACTGAGGCTACATTGGCCTTTTATATGAATCACACATTGTCTTTGTTCTACGGAAGTACGAAGCTCTCCTACAGAGAGCTTCTCAATCTAGTCCTAATAGGACTAGTGCACTGTGCACGTGCTACGCAGGAACCATTCACTTTAACAAATAGATCAATTCATAATCAATATTTTATTATTGATTAAGTATTTATTAATATTAAATTTTATATAAAATAAAATATAAACATTAATATAAACTCAATTATGAATTATTTTTTTAAAATAATAAATTTACTTGATCAAATATAATTAAAATATTTTTAAAAAGAAATTATAGTTAATCTTGGAATAATTTTGTTGAGAAGTTAATTCAATTTTTCAAATTCTTAAAATTTTTATATAAATCATAAATAAATTGAAGTTTAAAATTTAATTATCAATTTTTCGACTAATAAGATAGTGAAAAATTGTTAAAAGGAATAGAAGTTACCGGTACTAATCACGTGTCGTGATTAGTAATACGGTTACCTAAACAGGCTAGATTAGACGAACCATAAGCAGGCATATTGGTCCCCTCCGAGGATACCAAGAGGAGATTAATATGCCTACAGACGTAGTAATATAGTCAATATAGAGGCCTCTTCCACCCAATCTTTTAATAAAAATCTATATTTTTTAGAAATTACTTGTTACGATAGTAACAACTGTGTGACCAAAAGGGTGTTTATAGACCAGCAATTGTATTTAACTTAGAATCTACAGGTGAAGAGCACCTGTAGATGGGGATAGCTACTCTATATATACACAAATGAATGGCCTAGCCGCAATGGCTAGGCAAAAAGAAGTCATATTTATTCCTCCAATGATCTTACTTTACCGATAACCATTGATACCTAGTACTTGTCCGGATCTGATCCTCAGGTCACCTAAATCGCATACTAATCTCGAGTAATCGTATCATGTGTGGACATGGTTAATGTACCTGAGGTTTCTTATATAATAAGGGTGGGAGGAAAGCAGGGATTTCCGTCACAAACTGACTAATTAGGAGAGCTTGGGCCTTGTGCAAAAGCGATCAGATTTCATCGAATTAATATGTGATCTGGGCCACCTTAAGATCGTATGTGCACGCACTGTCAGAAAGCACGTGACTTGGAGCCTTTGGAGCTTAGGATCCAAAAGGATCCAAGGGAGCATGAATATCTATATAACCAAGATGGATTCCCTTTGTATAGAGCTTCGTGCTCAAGATCAATCATTTATTATACTCTACTATTAGTTACGAATTGCATATCATTATTGTCATTACTTTAAGTCCCTGCTTGACGCCTAGTTATAAACTACCTCGAGAGCCTAGAGCACTTCCACGTGATTTAGACGGCAAACCTCGTAACAAAAGAGTGTGAAGATGAAATCCTTTGGATTAACCTAGATCATGGGGTGGATGATATTAAAATTTCTGCATTTGTCCATACATGTTGCAGTATGCAATCGTGTTTTTATGGTCATGAGGAATTGTATCGTACGGAATTCGTGTTTAGGGATACCCATTGATGTACCGGGGTAATCCGGAGTGGACTCATAAATTTGGATAGTGCCAATATTTTCTACTGACTGAATTCTAATTCTCCTAACATAGAGTATAAGATCATCGAAAACAAAAGTGAAGCGATACTGTGAAGCGGGCTATACAAATTAGCCGAATACCGACATGGACTTAACCGAGTTGGCAGGTACGGTACGGTACTGTAATGAGCTGTTTCCGGACAATAACGGAGAATCGTTCTAATGATCATTGCTACCAATTCCCTTCAAAACTTCGCTACGTTTTGCACAGCCGGCGAGCATAGAAGATTGATGAAGAAAGAATCCTCGTTTTTTTCTCGCTTATCCACCGATATTTAGCGAAAAATACTTAAATTATTCGCTTACCCTAGAGAAAGTTTAACGAGCTTTCATTCCTATTGACATATTAAATCATTCTAAAATTATTATTAAGCTTAGTCTCTAAAGTTACTAAGCATGAAAGCTAAATTATAATGCAATTTCCTAAGCCATCCCCAAAAAATATGAGTGCCATGAAGAAGTTTTTCAGATAACTTGTGAATACAACTCTTTTACAGACTCCAGGCTATCAGGAGTTTTCAGTACGTATACCAAATTTGTGCGATTTTTCAATGAGTCTATTTACATATCTAATTTCAGTGCCTACCTAGAGATTGTTTCCGCGTCGATTTGGGAGCAAATGTCCTGATTATTAATTATCTCGGCGAAAAAAGGGGAGAGTAATATTAGTCTGCCCATATAATTGACGGAAAGAATTTTTCGCTAGCGTGGATCAACATGTGAGCCAGAGATCTTGGGAATATCTGTTGATGTTAGCTGTCACTTATTCATATCATTCTCCTGCATTGCATATCTAACTATCTCAGGCGAACGCCACTTGATCATTTCTAGATCTCAAAAATTCGAGTTTAGTCAGGTAACTCCATTTGTCGGTTTGGATGCCATGGCAGATATCTTCCAATTTCTAAGACTTTGCTGCGGGAGTTCTCGTAATCTTTGCATGCGTAATCGCATTCTTTATTTCTTTGCACCTCTTTGAGGTTGGTAATATTAGATGGAAACATTCTTCTTTCTCATGCGTTCTGCAATATCAATACTAGAAAGCTTGCGCTAGTGTCGACGAGGTAGTGAGACTAGAATGAGTCCAAGAGACGAACTTGTACAAAACGATATCTGGAAATGATGTGATAGCCATTTTGGATCTCATGACGAAAACGGGATATGAATCCGTACGAGCAAGTTCCGATTTAGTTGCTCACGATTGTCCTTTGAGTATCCTATAAGGGCTGGAACTTTTGAATTACGACAAGTTTGCGGTAACGTATATGTAAGTCTCCAGATATCGGTGATAGTGTAATGATGTACAATATTGATAAAGCTATGATAACTTCAACATCATACAGTAAATTTTTTTAATTCTAACTAAACATTAATATTTGATATAAAGAAATGAAAGGACAGGAAATTGAAATGCAGGGAGAATCCGCATCATCTCATGCCTATTGTGAGTGCGAGGACTTATACTCATCCTCAAAGTTAGTAGGTCAGTATTGCTTTTCCACTCTACATAACACATTCGAACAACGAAATCATTCTCCTAAAAATATGATATTAATGGATGACAAAATAAATTTAGATGTTGCCAGTATAATACTAAGACTTGAAAGTGTGGTGATGAATATAACCGGTCAGTTGATAATAGATAACAGGTCGATTTGTAAGATCCTATTTTCCTTGGAGGTATGGTTAAGCATTGAGATCATATTGAGGTGGTGGAATTTTATATAATTTTTCTTCGATAGGGACAAGACGAGACGAGAAAAATTGAAATAGAAGGTGTTTTTGTTTTTGATAATATTTGAGTGAATTTATAGAATCGTCAGTTATAGTTTAATTTTGGAGATAGGTTCAGGTTGGCTATTTGCGGCTACCATGAAAAACCTCTGAGTTTTATGGTACGATAGTATCAAAATTATTGCATACGGAACTTTCATCGTTGATATCTTGCCACTGAAAATAATTTCCTGCATCCATTTATTCACATCCAAGCCATATAAACAGGTGTCTTTGTATTTGAACATCAACGATTTGTTATTAATAATTAGTATCTAGTTCTAAGAATACACTTCTACTCCACATCAACAGATTCTTCAGAATCTAAATCTAATCTAACGTACCATACCACAATCCTCGGAAACTTCCAGATCCATAATTTCCTTCATGATGAGATAAAGATATTTCTCAGAACCATATCTATAAGCCATGAATAATTCCGAGCTCTCCTCAAGCAAAACTCCAAGAGTGTAATGGTACACATTCCGCACCGCTTCATCCTCAACAAAGAAGTTAAGATTCCAATTATTTCGATAGCTGCGCCAATCTGATATCGTTCTAAAATGGAGAAAATCTATAATAATTATTCCCTGTTGACTAATATTCTTCAGAGTGCTTCGAACTGCACTATTACGCACCAATGTGAATCGTTATTTTGATTAGACCATGATAGATATTATCTCTATCGGTACCATAGATGAGAGTTGGTATCTCCTGTCTTGTAACGAGGAAGTTACGACAAGTAAATAGGAGATTCTCTAGATGCGGCTTGAGATCACACACCTCCCAAATATTACGAATATCGATAAGCGCAAGGCCTTTGATAGCCTGAGCACGGAGATCCTTGACAGTCCATGATTTTTCAAGGTAGATATATAAGGAGGAAGACGAGCAGTTGTTAACTAATTAGCACCAATTTTGTCAGATAAATTAATCACCTATTGGATTTGAGTTTCTTACCTGAGTAGCCTTTGATTGGTGGATGCGCAATTCTTCCCGTACAAAAATATCTCGTAATTCTTCCTTAGTGCGCTCATGGCTCGAAAGACGACTGTCCATTATCTTTTCGAGGTGCTTTTGATGTGGTGTGGCTGGCTCATTGAGAATTGTAATTACTTTTTTAGTATCCATCTTTCGAATAACGAAGTTATTTCAAGAGCTGAAAAACATGTCAGTACACTGAAGGTTGTATTCGAGTATAAGAACAAAAGTACGAACTAATTATGAAACTTTGAAATACGTTTAAACGTCAAAGCAGATGATGACTGAAATTCGACAGAGAGAGTAATACTAGACGACTCGAATATATCTCGTTAAATAAATGATATATTAAAACTCAAGATTATTTTATGAAATTATGAGGTAAATTTGGTCTGAGTATACTATTCTCCAGGAAGTACGAGGGATGACGTCCAATAAAGAAGTGATGGTTGAACTAAGATAATGTATATCTAATAAATTTCCGATTCTTAACTCTCGAAAATAGAATAATTACAGAAAAAAACATGAGGGAAAAGCTCATCAATTTATACAACATAATCATACAATAATAATATCAAAATATGATTCATCAAAGATCGAGTCATCTATAGCCACGAGAAAGAATCCAGAAATAGAAGTAATTATGACTCGATTTATCAGTCAGTTTTCACTGTTTTTAGAATACCTATCTCAATATGATTCATCAAGCGAGTCAACTACCTACCTACCTCTTATGAATCAGGTATGGGCTCCCAACCCGAAAACCAACTCACAATTTCTCTTCTCTTCTCCTCTCCTCCTCCTCTCCCCCAGTTTCC